ATGAACACAGTCTTAGCAGTGTGTCCATAGGTGACTGTGGAGTCCAATTCTGGATCCACACGTCCTTCCACAGCAGGAGTTGATCATGGTGAGGGTTTTCCAAATGTGCCTTCCTCTTAGCTCATTTCTCCCTTTCGTCTTGATTTTGAGTGTCTTCCAGAGCTAGTTATGGGCAGAGCCAGGTAATTCTAGTTTTGTCCCCATCCTCCTCCCTGCTGAGGTCTGCAAGGGCAACAGACTAAGGAGGAGGAAGCTGACAGGCAGTGCCAACCCTTGAGGTGGGTGCAGGTAAGAAGAGAGGCAAGTGGTGGCTGGCTGCGGGCAGACTGTGGGGCAATGCCCCTTTCACCCTAACTGAGAAGCCTCCATTAAGAGGTGGGCCATGTCTCTGTTTTTAGTCTCCCCAGGGAACTGTCCTTGTCCCTCTCTCCTTATCACTTACAGAGAATGCTCAGCATCCTCATCCAGCCACAACCCCCAGGATTCTTTTGTTGAAGCCATGGCAGTTAAAACCGTGTAAAAAAGTTATTCCCCCATAAATTGACTGTTGCACATATGAGGCTGCCGTATATGATGCCAGGCCACAGGTCTCGCTGGGGAGCATCAATTCTCAGTCTCTGTTACCTGAGATCCTTTAAACTGGAGGCAGTGGAGGTTGAACCTGGAATCGTAAGCATACAAAGCAGATGCTCTGCCAATGAGCTATGGTGGCTCTTCCCTTCTGCCAGGCATCTGTTTAAAAATGGTGTGCGTCAGAGCACAGTTGACCTGTACCATGCCACTTCTTGTGTTTTCTTAGTTCTCCTCTCAACCATCAGCGCTTTGCTAAATTTGTCCAAGGTAATCAAGAGCCTTTGATTGGGTTGGGGCTGATAGCAGTCCCCACTTCTCCCCTTTCTCTTCCACTGTGAAATATCATTGCAATGTGACCGTGAGTCCACCAGGTGGAGGCTTTGCACATGTTTCCACCACCTTCCCACTTAACATAAGGTTATGAGGCTAGCTAGCTGCTCTGCTTTCTGGAGGACCACGTGGCGTATGTTTGTCTAGGAACAATCCTCATCCCTACAATGTCTATGGCCAGTTTCCATCTTCATCTACAAATTCCTTTTGCCTCTGGAGTTTATAGATGGGAGAGGTGGTAGGCTAAGGGCTCCCCCAGACTGGTGGGCTTCTTTCTTTCTTTCTTTCTTGCAGGTGTCATGGATGCTGTAGTAGTGGTGGATTTACACTGGACCACCCACACATCATTCAGCTTTATGGTTGTTCTGCGATACTTCCCCAATGTTACTACGTTATTGCTGTTTGGAGGGGTACTCTTCACTGCAGTGCAACAATTGGAACAGCACACATACCCCGAACATTTGCAGGATGCAGTGATGGGGAAAGAAGCAATATAACTGGCCCAAAACTTTTGTAGGCGCAAACCGTATTGAAAGTGGGAATTGTGTATAACTGCCCAGATACCATCCTGAGTACAAATCATGCAAGCATGCACAATAAAAGGTTTGGCCAGAGGGGCTTTTATTTTACCTATCCCAGAGGGACCAGATTTGGCCTAAATTGCTGTCACCTGGCCTAAAAGGTGGTGAACTGGCTTTCCCAGTTCTGATGGTTAAGTGAGGCTGAGGGACCAAGATTTTGCCCAAGTTGGTGACTTAGACCAGGAATCAAGTCCAGCTACCAGTAGATTGCCTTTTTAGCTGCCCAAATTAAGACCAAGACTGGCTTGAGCATATACAAAAATTAAGGCAGCAATCTTCTTTATGCCTTTACTAGGTGATGGCAGATACTGATCGTTGGTAAGAGGGGAATTGGGAGAACTTGAGAGGTTCTCAAATGTTTGGGAGAATGTTGACTATTCAAGCTGGCAGATTCATGCATCTTTTTGATTCACTACATTGCTGGATTCTTGGGGTACTTCTCAAAGGACTATTAAAGCATCGTTTGGATCCTCAAAGGGAGAGGGTGAGTAGGAGGGCAACATCCATCTTCAAGCCTAAGAGGTGAAACTACTTCAACCAATAAATAATACAATGTTTTGTTCTTTGGACACTGAACCCACCAAACTGCACAAGCTAGTGAAATGGAGTGCGGAAAAGCAATGGTATTTTTAAGGGTGTCCAGGAAGCAGTGTGGAATTCAGTAGGGGGTACCCCCAGACTCTCTTAGTGAGCCAGGAATGACTGATGCATTGCTCCAAAAGGATGGGTGTACTTCTAAGGGCTGATTCCCCTTATCTAAGGTATGCAGGTGTGAGGTAGCTTGAAAGCAGGATCAGGCCAGCTGCCTTCCTGGAGAGAAAGAGTGATGATGTCACATGAAGGTGTAGCAAGCTACTTGAAAAATGACTGGTGTGTGTGCGTGTGTGTTGGCATGTTTTTGTAAAGATTACTGGGAGGTGAGGTGGATGATGCAACATGCCACACTGCACACACATCAGGTCACCAACGTCAGGGCTAGAGGGCAGGCTTCACTCTCTCTCTCTCCACAACCAACAGTGGAATTAATGGGAGCCATGTGCTTGTATGCAAGGAAGTGGAATGGGGTGTGCTTTCACAGGGTCACCATTGGGGTGGATGCTGTTGTTGACAAATTTCAGGATCCAGTCTGCCTACCGCCTGCATAGTTACACATTCTGGATTCTATTCCTTGGAAACAAAGACTACAAGAGAGAGAAGACTTTGTCTCTCTTGTATTGCTGCCAGTCCTCTTCAGGAGTCTTGCAGGAGCCGGAAGCTGCTAAGACCATCTGCTCGAGGGGACCTACAAGATTCAAGAAGCAACCTATTTGAAAGAAGTTCACAGAGGTCCAGGGTCACAGGGGGTCAGAGATCTGCTACTATTTTTGCAGGTCATCCAGTGAGCTTTATGCCTGAGCGGGGATTTGAACTCTTGTCTCCCATGTCCTAGTCCAACTTCCTCACCACTAAACCACACTGGCTTCTCCACTGCTAATGTGTACAAAAATAAATGTGAATTTTCATGCGGTTTAAAACAAACAAACATGAAAGTGCTACAGACGGAGGGGAGATTAATTAAGGTTGCCAATGATAGTTGTTGGGTTTTTTTTACTGGACCAGTTCCAATGTAATTAAGAGCATCCTTCCAGGCAGAAATGTAGCATCCAGCTTTTCCTGGCACAGTAGCAAGAAAGAGATGGGAAAAGCTTGCCCTCATATATTCCTGGCTGCCACGGCTATCATCAGCCACTGCCTGTGGTGTGTTGGGATGGTGACTGGAAGTGTAGCCAGTCGGCAGGGTTTATATAATGACCGGAAAATCAATCAATATAGCTTTTCTGTAGATTGAGTTCCTGCCCTGCCTCCTCTCAAAAGCGGTTGCCCTTCTGGGACTTATGGAAAAATCTATGAGTTAATTATGATAGAGCCCCAGGACGTCACGTGAGATGCAAGCTGTTCTTCTCTCACCTCTGAAGTATAGGGACCAGGCAAGGTCAGCCCTGAGATGTGGGCAATGAACATGCTGAGCTTATGGGAACCACTGGGCAGAATTATGTGGGCAGCTGGGTGCTTTGCCCAGAGAGGACCACTGTGCCTTTAAGGATGGCACAGAGGAAAATTACACCGAAAGGGGAATCTCTTGTCACTGCAGGAGTGTGGTGGAGAATATTCTCCTGATGAAATTCTAACTTTGGGGTCTGACATGAAAAGTCAAATGTAGTGCCTCAATACATTGTTTGAGCAGCGGTTGAACTTCATTTAACACCAGATTAAAATGCAAACAACAACACCCCAAACTCACACTATCTCCAATGTGGAATGATAAATAATGTTGGCCATGTTGCCAAAAGCTGCACACAAGAAGGAGAAGGCAAGCTAGGGGGATTACCCCCCCCCCAAGGGTAATCTAGTCCAACCCCTGCAATGCAGGAATCACAGCTAAAGATGGCCATTCAACCTCTGGTTAATAAAAGCCTCTAAGGAAAGAGAGTCTACAACTTCCCAAGGGAAACTGTTTCACTGTTGAACAGCTCTGACCACCAGAAAGTTCTTCCTGATGTTTAGTTGGAATCTGCTTTTTTGTAATTTGAACTGATTGCTCTCTGAAGCAGGAAAAAACAAGCTCGTTCCATCTTCCATGTGACAGCCCTTCAGATATCTGAAGATGGGTATCATTAGTTTTGGTATAATAGGCATGTGCTTCAAGCACATAGAGAGAGTTGTGTGAAAAATCTTTACTGCATTGTGCTTGTACCTAAGGCGGATGGGTTGGTTGAGCTGCGGTGAAAGCTTGGAATGTTTATTTGCTCAGGGAACAAAGCTGTCTGCGGTCCAACTTCTGTGAGGGAAGGGAATCCTGCTGGCATTAAAAACTCACCTAACAAATGGCTGATGACTGGGAAGAGGTCTAGGGAGGGAATATAATATACACAGGAGGTAAGTAGGTTGAGAAAGGAAAGGAGGATGGGGAAATGATGGAAGAGGCAGGGAACTGAGCTGAGGTCTCAAAAGTAAGATGAGGAGAAATTGGTTGCTATGCAGACAGGAAAATGGTTGTGCCGGAAGGGCTGGTGGAGAGACAGGATGGCTACATGTGGGTCAACCTAAACAGTATGTAGTAGCCTAAAAGGCAAGGAGTTGAGGAAACAATAGGTGATGGACATGAAGAGTCAAGGAGGAAGAGAGACTGGAGCAAAGCTAGAAAGCAAGCCTGGGCTCATGAACTATTTCCAGGAAGCAAATGGTCAGGTAAAAGGAAGAGACATGGTGGCTTAGTGGTAGAGCACATGCTTTGCATGCAGAAGGTCCCAAGTTCAATCCCCGGCATTTCCTCCAGGTAGGGGCTGGGAAAGACTCTGCCCACTATTGGCTGTGGGCTTCTAAAATGAGTACATTTTGTGATGTTGAGCTTCTCCTCTGGGCTCACAATGGAGCAATCACAATCCTTGCAGTGCAACATGGTGACAAATCGCTGAACCTGCCAGCACAAACGGACCACTGGAAAATGCCTTTTGATCTCAGTGGCTGAAATTTTCAGTCTCCCCCAAGTTTGTGCAGGTCTGTCTCATTCATCTCTGCCATGTGCTTCTGGAATAGGCCTGTCTCTCTGTCGGGTGAGTCAGGTTTCACCCTGACCTGCTTCCCTGCCTACAACATTCTCCTGGCGCTGAGTCAGGCAGGCAGCCGGGGCTGGTTAGAGTTTCGCAGGAAACCTTTGCCTCTTATGCAGGGATGCACTGCTGGAGGAGAAGTAGGATCAGGGTAAGCTGGCCACAATTCAGAGTGCAGCCACAATTACCGTATTTTTCGCTCTATAACACGCACCTGACCATAACACACACGTAGTTTTTAGAGGAGGAAAACAAGAAAAAAATATTCTAAACAAAACAGTGGATGTATGATTTTTGTGGTTCATGCTGTGGCCACAGACGTGATCTGACGGTGAGTTTGGGGTAGCCCAATGCAAAAATCCTGAGGATCCATGTGGATCCATGCTTTGTAACCACGTTTTTGCGCCATTGCGCAAGTGGGGAGGGAAGGAAAAGCATTCAAGGGACAAGGAGCACGCATGGGGTGTGTGGAGAAGGATGCTGCTAATAATGCAGAAAAGGGATTTAAGGGGAGAAGGAACACGCGTGGGGTGTGTGGAGAAGGATGTGGCTAATAATGCAGGCGAAGGGTTTAAGGGGAGAAGGAACACGCATGGGGTGTGTGGAGAAGGATGCTGCTAATAATGCAGAAGAGGGGTTTAAGGGGAGAAGGAACACGCATGGTGTGTGTGGAGAAGGATGCTGCTAATAATGCAGAAGAGGGGTTTAAGGGGAGAAGGAACACGCATGGGGTGTGTGGAGAAGGATGCTGCTAATAATGCAGAAGAGGGGTTTAAGGGGAGAAGGAACACGCATGGGGTGTGTGGAGCAGGATGCTGCTAATGATGCAGGAGAGGGGTTTAAGGGGAGAAGGAGCTCGCGTGGGGTGGGTGGAGAAGGATGCTGCTAATGATGCAGGAGAGGGGTTTAAGGGGAGAAGGAACACGCGTGGGGTGGGTGGAGAAGGATGCTGCTAATGATGCAGGAGAGGGGTTTAAGGGGAGAAGGAGCTCGCGTGGGGTGTGTGGAAAAGGAGCTTTTCGGCAAGCTGAGCGGGGAGGGGGAAGGGAAAGAGCACTGTTGCTTTAAAGGCGCCAACCGGACAGCAGCCACTTACAGCAGTGTAAGCAGCTCCTTTCCTCTCCCGCTTTGCTCCTTCTCTCCCTCTTTGCTGCTTTACGCAGCTAATGGCGAATCCCCTGCAACCCAAGTCCTGCTCAGCGGATCAGCTGAGACGCTGGGAGAATAGTAATTTCCCCCTCTCCCTCATCCCGTGCCCTCCTGTCCCCAGCAGCCTTTTTAAAAACTTTTTTACTGGTTTTCACTGCGCTCGTGGCTCAGAGCCCTCCTGTGCCCTGCCGTCCCTCTGCAGCCCCATTGCTCCGTTTAGAGAGCGCACGGACCTTTGCTAGCTGAGGCTGCAGCAGCTGTTGCTAGCTACGCGACGCTTTTTCCGGCTCGCTATGGCTCCCGCCTGTCCCTCCTCCCGTGTAAGCGGCTGCTGCCCACTTTGCTGCCATGGCTCTCCTTCCCTCCCTCCTCCTCAGCTCCTCCCCCTCCTCCTGGCTGTAAAGCAAGCAAAGGTAGAGCCGCGCAAAGCGGGACAGAAGCCCTGCAAGCGGCTCCCGCTTTCCTTGACTGACAGCAGCCATGGCTCCAGTTGAGTGCATTCGCTCCGTAACACGCACAGGCATTTTCCCTTACTTTCTAGGAGCAAAAAAGTGCGTGTTTTGGAGCAAAAATTACGGTACGTGGTAGACAGAAATTCAATAGGTGCCAACAGAAAGATGCTGTTAATGGCATGAGTTCCAGGTCTGGGACTTTTGCCTCTTGTGTAGGTTTTTTTTTTCTATTTAAAGCACAGAAGCCCAGCAAAAGCAAAGGGCGAGGTAATACAGAAAAATGTAGCATCTGAACAGCCCTCTGCTCAGAACTTTCTGTTTCAGAAGTTCCTGTGCTCAGATAAACAAGCCAGGCACTTTCCCATCCTACCTGCAAAACATGGATGGGTGGAGGATCTCACGTGGATTAGGTTGCCACATTTTATTGGCCTTGCCTCTGGGCCTTTAACAGGAGCTTGATGCGCACACACACACACCAAGCTTCAGTTGCTTAAATTTCTGTGTGTCAGCTTGCTGTTGAAGGCTCAGGAGTACAGCCAATACAAAAAAAAATGTGACAATTCCTGCCCCTTGTGCATTGCCAGAGAGCTCCTTGAAGTTGCAGTTCTCCATCCTGAAAGCCACGGAGACTCAAGCGGGAGGAGTGAACCACTGCCAGTTAGGAAAAGGTCACCTGCACACCTGCACAGAAGGCAGCAGCTGCTATTCCTGGTGGCAGATGCAATGGCACAGGTGGTGCTAAGAGAGGTTGACTTGCCAGGGACTAAAGCTCTCTAAGGAAGAAGCAGGAATGAAGTGTGAATCGGGAGATGATTTCAGAAAGAAGGTCTGGTTTAGAGATCTGTGATGTGGAAGAGTTGCTTTCAAACCCACTAAAGAGTCACCTTCCCTTCTGGGCAAATTCCTGGGGGCCGTGTTCCCAGGGTGGGCAGGGCCAGAGGCAAATGTGGGCAGAGCAGCAAACATGAATTTTACTTTTGTACAGTAGGCTAGTTTCTCTCCGTGCTCCCACATCCCTCTCTGCCCACCATCCAAACAAGCAAGAACCATTGTCAGAATTGAAGAAAACATTCCAGCCAGGCATAATCCCTTAAGGAGGATGCAAAGTAAGTGAGTTGCTGGGGAGGGTGTGTGGCCTGGAAGGAGTCCCGAAGGCCAGGCAGAGTGCCTGGAGGACCCCATTTGGCCTTTGGGCCTTACTCTCCTCACCCCTGCTTTAACTGCGGCCCGACACACTGATACAGAATAATAGAACTGTGGAGTTGGAAGGGACCACGAGGATCATCTAGCCCACCCCCTGCAATGCAGGAATCTTTCGCCCAACACGGAAGCAGGCAAGCCTTTCTGCATCACTGCACCTCCCTAGCAGGGAAAACGTCAACAGCTAAACGTTTACAGGTGTTCAGCTGCTGTTGAAAGACACAGGGCCAGTTAAAAACCCAGGCAATTCTAGGAACATTGGAGTTTGGCCTTGCTGCTGGGAACAGCTCATAGGGGGAACCGATGTTATTGGACTACAGCCTCCCATCATTCCTGACCCTTGAGCATACCAGCTGGGGCTGATGGGAGCTGGAGTCCAACCACTGGAAGGCACCACACTGGCTGCTCCACCTAAAGCCCCATTTAACACCCTCACCTACTGAGCCACACCTGAAGTTGGTGTGTGTCATGCAAATGACGTGGTGTCCCTTCCTCTCTCTCTCTGCTTCAGATAATAGGAAACCCTTTGAGTGTGCCAACTCATCGGTGCCCAGCCATTCCTTTTATCTGAATCATGCTCAAGCACCTACGCTTCCAGAGAGCAGGGATCAGGAAACCTGCCTGGCTAGTGTGTTTGGGAAAGATTCCAGTCAGCTGGATGTGCTTGTTGCTCAGTGGCAAGCTTCTACAGTGGGAATTAGGCACTTTTAAAAAAGTCTTATTTTGCCCTGAGCTCTCGAGGGCAGAAGACACACCACTTTCTTCCAGCGGAGCTTCAGCACATCAGCACAAAGGTGCCTGACCTTATTCTCATGCTGGGGAGAGTGTGCTTCCTGAAGGGCATCCCTCCAGTCTCATCTGCCCCACATATATTATCCAACCCTTTTAATCCCATCCCAGAGGCGTTGTCCCCAGATAGCTTCCTCCTCCTCCTCAGTTACACAGGGCCTGGTACTAAACTGCCCAGATTGGATTTTGAATCGCACTCCAGGAAGATCAATTTCTCCCTTGTGTGTTTCTGCCTCTCTGTTGCTAATGCTCTTCCATTGCCATGTCCTACAGGCAGGCCCCTGCATACAATCATGGAATGGGAAGGAATCCCCACAGTTTTCCAATTCTCCTCCTGGCCCCAACGTAGGACCTCTTCAGCAGATGTCTTTCCATTCGTTGTCGCGCCCCCCCCCCCGCCTCTGCCTTAACCACAGCCTCCTCTTGCCAGCTTATTTAGCTACTGTACTCCTCTGTAACTGGACACGAATCTATTATTTTTATAGTCTGAAGCAGGCATAGGCAAACTCGGCCCTTCAGATGTTTTGGGACTACAATTCCCATCATCCCTAGCTGAGAGGACCAGTGGTCAGGGATGATGGGAGTTGTAGTCCCAAAACATCTGGAGGTCCGAGTTTGCCTATGCCTGGTCTGAAGGCGGGGAAGGAGGAATATTAAAGACTTACTCAAATTTCTGGGCACAGTCTGCACCGGGGATGGAATGTAAGGGTGTTCTCCTGTTCCTGTACTTCAGGTCTGTGGAAACTAGGACTCTCCAGATATTTATGGACTACAACTCCCATCAGCCCCTTTGGGTCCCTTCCAACTCTACAATTCTATGAGGACTGCTCACACTGCCTGAGCGGATGAGCATCCTGGAGGGCCACAAGTTCCCCTGTCCTGCTTTTCTCAAAACAGCCTCAGACTGGGTAAGGGAGAGAATTGCTGTGGCAGCCAGGGATGCATCTATCCATGACTACTGTCATGTTTCAATGGTATTGATATGAACCCAACTGCCTCAGACAGGAGACATTTGCAATATCTATCTGCAGATCTCAGGACTGAAACTGGGACCTTCTGCATACAAAGGAAGTGCTCTGCCATTGACCATTGACCTACTGCCCTCCCTGTAGCTCATATGCGGCAGTGGAAGTGCTGGTCACATCCACACCATGCATTTAAAGCATAGTGTTTCTTTGTCACAGACCTACAATGCTCAGCACCCTTACTCTTAAAGTGGCACAAGAGAGCTTTAAATGGGTGGTGCAGATATGATCTCCGTTTCCCCGTTTGACTAATGCTACCAACACAAAATTATACCCAGTGATGGTGCATTTAGCTAATGTTAGATTCTGGACTTAATGGTCTTAGGGGGCTTTTTAAATGGCAATGTGCATTACTGTCACTTCAAAATGTAGGAAAGCCAACCCTGGTGCATCTGGAGGTCTTCCTGCACATTCTGCTGAGTGGGACCCTGGATTTCTTGACCACATCCTGCAATGATTTTACTGCTTCTTATTATGCTCACTAATCCTGAAGAACTGCCACACCCCAGTTCTATATGCACGGGAATCCCTACAGCATCTATAAAATGTACTAAAAACAAGTGGTGGGAGTGTTAAGGAGTATAGTTTCGTTACAATTCACTAACTGCACTTTACAAGTTTGTTTTTTTATTTTTATTTTATCTAATTTAAGGTAGATTTAAAGGCAAAGGGTGCTACTTTTCCAGAAGGGTCAGGTGCAAACTAAGGGGGAACAGCAATTTACATATTTGGAAAGCTGGTTCAATTCTGAACTGAAAGCACGCTCTGCACATGCTCATGGCTCCTGTTCATTCATTTTCTTTATGTGGCTGCCATCAGTGAAAAATAATAACATGTATAAGAAAAGTAATAAAAATGTGAAATGACGTATTCTTGATACTGTAGAACGTGCATACTTTCCTTACCCACTGGTAATACAAGTTATGCTGGTTGAATTTGTATTTTGCTACACTGAAAGCTAATAAAAATATGGGGGGGGGTGTTATGTGGCTGGTAAAATTTGGTGTCCCAACAAATCTGGAGAGATCCTGTGTTCACTAATTCCCTTGTTAAAAGCAAAGAAACAAAATAAACAATTCTTTTCTCAGACAAATGACACTAGGCCTTTGAACAGTGTTTGGATGGATCATGTCCATCACAGACACTTTCCTTTGGATAATGTTGAAAAGGAAAATGCTTCCCTCTGGGGAAGACAACTCTGCATATGCTCTGAAGCACCTGGCTCGAAGTGGCCGGGCTTTTTGTCCCCGTCCCCCGTCCCCCGTAATTTTTTAACGCAACAGCTGACAGCCCTACTCACCAGATCAGGATGAGGAGAGCATGACAAATTGATGGGGTGGTGGTGGTGGTGCACACGCGGTCAGACCCAGCTGTGGCACTGAAGACCCACGGCTGGGAGTCCTCACAAGAACAGTTAAAGACACCCCCCCCCCCGTCTAATGCCTGTTCATACTTTTCTGTTATGACGGGTAAAGGAAGTGAAGTGGTGAGTGCCGCCCCCCACATCTGCCCTGGAAATTCCCCCAAACAGGCTTCATCTTACATCCTCTCTCTTCTCTCCCCCCACCAACTTTTCCCCCTTTTGCTAAATGAGTCACCCTTTCAGAGTCTCAACATGTTCACGGCGGCGACCAAGAGGCGAAAGCAAAGAGGGGTGCGTGCGTTTGGCAATCTGGGTTCCCCAAAGCTCCTCTGTTAGTTTCGGTGTCCAAGCGCTTTGAAACGTTGTCCAAATAATTTCGGCTCCCCAACTGTATGTGTCTTTATACTCTAGTCGGGCTGAAGTGAGCATGACGTGAGTGTAAAACAAGGCTTCCACCCCTCCCTTCTGTCTCCCTGGTCATGGTAGCTCCCAGCTTCAGAGGCCAGACTAGGCAGGGACTGTACAATAGTTGGAACTCTCTTTGCAATATCAGCTGCTGCTGCTGCTGTTGCTGCAACTGGACAAGGGGGGGGACGGGGTTGATTTATGCTGGTGGTGTTTTTAAATATATATTTTAATATATATATCCCTTGATTTGCTTTCAGTCTCCCTGGCTGAAAATTCCCCCCCCCCCCCGCTTTCAAATTCCAGCAGCACTGAGGGGAAATTAGAAGGATTTTTTATTTGAAGGAGGGGGGGCTTCCTCCCCAATATTGTTGCATTCGGAGAAGATAATTTTATGAGTCTCTTTGCGGGAAGCAAGTTTGTTGGATATTCTCTCTCCACCCTCCACACGCCCGGAAACTGTGGTGGAAGCTGGAATCATCTTGAAGAAGGAGGAGGCGGAGGAGGAATGAAAAAAAGAGGAAGGGCTTGATTTATTTTTGTTTCTAATAGGATTATATGTTTTATTTCTGCTTTACTTTAGAAATTAGAGGATCGGGAGGGAGGGATTAATAAGAACCCGGAGAGAAAGACAAGGTGGGGGAGGGAAATCACACCCATCCTATCCATCACCTCCTCAAAAAAAAAAAAAAAAAAAACACAGAAGCCACCATGGAGAAGAAGGAAGAGGCAGCAAAGGCCTTTTCGGTGAAGCAACAGCCGGATGATATCCGAGGTAAATATTTGCTCTGCTAAGAAGTCATTTTTAGAGGATGATGTTGCAAATTGTTGAAAGGGCGGCGGAGCGGGGCGGGGGCACAGGAGGAAAGAGACAACAGACTTTGAATCTGTGTCCGGATTTCCACCCAGATCTGCGAGTGGCCACAGATAAGGGGGTCCGGGGGTGTCTGTTTGCTGTAGCAAGTTGTAGAACATTCGTTCTCTTAATTGTTCTCCCCCCTTTCCAAAAACATGAACTCATCGCCTGGCTATTTTGTCTGTGCGGTTGGCTGTGCCTGATGGACATTTGCTACAGGGGCCTTTTGGGGAGGGGGGAGTCGGGGGTGCTGGATGGATGTGCAGAAGGATACAGTATTGATTCTTTAACTAGGATTCCTTATCCCCCATGCAGGGAAGGGGGCATTTTGGGAGGGGGGCCGGTTGGAGGCCACGTTGCTGTGATATTGAGGCAGGGGCTGCCCGGCCTTCCACAGGTCACTCATGTGGGGTTTATAAATAACCCTCTGTCCGAAGCCCTACCCAACCCCGGATTGGCATTCCTCCCGACAGCTGCCTTTGGGAGGCGACCAAGCCCTCGAGGAGACCACCTGCCCCTTTCTTCTGACTTTGTGAGTGGGGGAGGTCAACCCCTGGTCGCTGTTGAGAAAAAGGAAAAAGAAAAGCCGATCCAAGTTCAACCTAGCCGAATTTGAAGGTGTCCAGGGCCAGGACCCCGGGGTGGCCACGGAAAGGGCTCCGTCGTGGGCCTAGTTCTGCTCCTGCTTGTGCGACTGGGGTTTTTGTGAGAGGGTGGACTCGGGAGGGAAGGGGGGCAGGGCCCAGCCCCACAATGGATTAAACTTCCCTGCCGCTTGGAGGGAAAAGTTGGGGGCTGGCTCTCCAATTAAAGGGTCATTTTTTTGTCCCTGGGGAACGTTTTGAGATGGAACTCTTGGTCCTCTGCCAGTGAAGTTTGTCGGAATCTCAGCATCTTGCCAGTTGTGTGTGCAGTCAAATAGAGAGAGATAATCTTTGCCATTTTCCCGCAAGACAGCAGATATCTGCTTGTCTGCAAGGGCAACATCCTGTCTCTGTTGTACAGCCTGGAAATTTTTGCCGGCACACATGTGGGTGGGCTGTGTTGGCTAGAATTTGGACAGGACGTTTTGTGTGCTTGTGTGAGTATGTGTTTGCTTCATTTGTAGAGAATTTGCTTTCTGGGTTTCTTTTTGGAGTTCTGCTTTGTTTTTTGTTTTTTTGTCCAGAACTCTTTAAAGGCCTGCTTTCTGAAATCATCTGCAGCTTGGGGCTTAAAGTTCCTTTGAAAACTTCAGGGCTTGGCCATTTCCTTTGTCCTTGGTTTCGGAGACAGGCTTTAGAAGATGACAGCAAATAAGCAGAGTCCAGTGTTAAGGATCTCACGAATCAGTAGGTTCGCCTTGCAACTTACTTTGAACTGCTAAGGTTTGAAGTTCTTGGTTATACCTTTTGTCAGAAGCTTGTGGGGCTACTAATATCTCCCACCCCCCGGGATGGAAGATTGAGCTAAAGTGGAACTATCTCTTCTCAACTGGCAAACTTTGGTTTTGTTCCCTGAATGTTGGGAAAGTGAGATTGTTACTTTGGTGTAGTTACGCAGTGGGTAATCTTGCCAAATGAAATGTAGGCTGGAAGTAACAAGGGGGCTGTTCCGAAGGGCATGAAATTGGCAAATGCTGGGTTAAGTAGGGAGGGGTGTGGCTGCCTTCTGAGGCCTCAATAGCATGCCTGGGACCTGGCCAGATGAAGCAGTGTCTGTGAGTTGTCTTATTTTGGGTTTTGCTGACTCCTGCCAAGTAACTGGTGACTTGAGTGCAAGGAAGAAACAACCAACAAGAAAGAGGAGTGGCAAACCAGTGGGATATGGGGGACTTCCTATCATCACTCACTGCCAGTGATGGCATTGAGTGTGTTATAGGCAGCGAGTGGTGCATTTACTGGAAAGCACCGGAGGTTTTACATGGGGAAGTAGGAAGGGCTGGGTAAGAGAAGGTGTTTAGGTTTTTGGGCTGGGGTAGCCCAGAGGTGATTCAGAAAGAGACAAAGGCACAGGGAATTAACTGATACTGAGTCAGACCATTGGTTTATCTAGCTCAGTATTATTGTCTGCATTGACTGGCAGCAGCTTCCCAAGGTTTCAGGCTGGGTTCTCTCTTGGCCCTCCCTGGAGATGCCAGGGATTGAACCTGGGACCTTCTGCATGCAAAGCAGACGCTCTGAGAATGCAGATGTGTGGAAATCAATTTGAACAAAATCCCAGTTTTTGGATCCAGGCCAACAGGCTTGACTGGATGAGGTTGGATTCATTTTTAATTATTTTTTTAGGTTTGGAAAAGCCTGGCCCAAATTTCCAGGCTTCTAAAGTGTGTACTTAGGGAGAAGCAATGGGAAGTAGCTCCCTATTTCTGAGGTATGGAGGTGGAAGAAGCCACTCCCACCCCCCAAGTTGCTACTTCCCATAGAAACCTCACAGGGGATCTGGAGCCAGACTTAACTGCACACTGTGGGATTTAAAATGTCTGGAAACATGCAGGCAAAGGCTGGAATATGAACAGCATAAAGGCCGCAAGGAAATGTGACCTGGTGGTGCTTCCCCCCTCCCTTCCCCTTCTCCTAAGAGGCTGCTTGACAGGAGGCCCCCTTGGTGCTAATTTGATTCTCTCTCAAGTGCCTGGAGATCATTTCCATGCCCTTGGAGAGACCTCTCAGTCGTTTGCACCATTCCAAGCTATGGGGCAGGCGAACTCTGCGTTGCTGTATTCTGGGCCTGAATTGTGTGCCTGTGTGTGGGCCATGCAGGATCTTGCCCCTATAGTATGACTTGTAGTTGTCTTAAGCAATGTGGGCTGTGTGTTGGTGATGGATGGTATATATGAAGGGAAGCTCATAGCCTCCAATATCCTGCAGCATGATCATGGGGTCATGCTTGTTGACATGTTGAGGATAACACTTTCCTCTGCCTGCTCCTTAGGTTGTTTCTTATGCAGGAGCTTATCCTCCATGGATCTGAAAGCCAAGGCAGTGCTTAAAGATAGGATAGAAAACCATAATTGCCCTACAGTAGGTTTTCAACAGTTCAGAGTGCATCTCAGCATCTATAGTGTATGAAATGGAGGATTTTGTACCACGTCCGCATGATGCATTTTAATGTTTGTGCGCAGGATTCTCTGTGCATGTGCACTAGGGATGAGATAGCTCAGTGGTAGAGCTTCTGCTTTGCACGGAGACGGTCCCAGGTTCAATCCCTGGCATCTTCTGCTACTATTGGGAAAAACTCCAGTAGAACTGTTGCCAAGTCATTGCAGACAATACTGCTGTGGTTCAACCGTAGAGCACATGCTTTATATACCGAAGGTCCCAAGTTCAGCCCCCAGCATCTGAACCTCTATTTTCAGCCTGAGGACCACATTCTCTCCTGGGCTACCTTCTGGGTGCCACATGTGAGCCCAGAGGCAAAAAATGGATGGAACAGATAATGTGTTTCCCAAACGTAGGCCTCTCCAGCTATTTTGGAACTACAATTCCCATCATCCCTGACCACTGGTGCTGCTAGCTAGGGGTGATGGGAGTTGTAGTCCAAAACAGCTGGAGAAATACTGATGTAAATGTCACAAACCCCTCTCAATTCTCCATCTATGCATTCAAAGACATTTCAGCTAGGCAGAAACGCTCCAGCAGGGCTGATGAGGCACGTGACCTTTGGGAGAATTTTGAGGGCCAGGTGGAGAGACCTGAAGGGCCACATTTGTCCCCTAGATCTGAGGTTCCCCATCCCTGGTGCAGACAATACTGAGCTAGGTGAAACTGTGGCCTGGCAGAGTCTGTATTAGGTTGATAGGTTCCTCTCTCTCTCTCTCTCTCTCTCTCTCTCTCTCTCTCTCTCTGCCTCTTCCAAACTAGATGAGATTCCATTAACAGAACTATCAATTGCACGAATGACTTTTAAAAAGTAAGCAGCAAACATTGAGCTGGGGGTGAAATCTAATCTGGACTTCAGCAGGGGCCAAAGGGTTAAAGCCCCCACCCCATCCCACAACTGAGCTTCAATCAGGATCGGGACCCCACAGCTGCAATGTGCTCGCAGGCCATTTGTGAAATTGCTTGTTGGCATAGCATCTCATCTGTGTTGCTGCTTATCAGTTTCCCCTATTTTGTGTGAGCTGTGGCTCCAGCCCCTTATGCAGCCGCAAATCATGGTTGACATTGCCTGTTTTAATGTGTTAATACTTTCAAAACTGAATTGTTTATCAGGAATGTTGTATGATGTTTTGAATTGATCTCACCTCCCTTGACAAGTCGGCCTGGGTGATTTTTTCATGCTTCACATTTTTAGCTCAGTGCTCAAGGTAGACAACCAGCCTTTGCTCTAGTCTCAGCCTGGCCAAAACCTTATTGATCCCCCTCGCCATATTAGAAGATTAGAAAAAGTAAATACAAGGTGAACAGAGATTACTGGTGGGGGATGGGGAGACTGAAGTGTGGGATAAGACATTTCCCACGATAGGCTTCCCTGCATAAAGCAGGGGTGGAGAACCTGTGGCCCTCCAGGTGTTCTTGGACTGTATCTACGGTCACCCATTCTGACTGAGACTGATGGGAGCTGGAGTCCACCCCCATCTGGAGGGCCACAGGCTTCCCACCCATCTATCCACCTCTGCTGTAAGATATCCAGTGGAAAAGACTATTCCACAGGCCTGAGGATGAGCCTTGTGGGCCTCTTGGTTGGGTCTTGTATTCAGCAGCACTCCAGCCAAATAGGTGCTCCATTTCCACCCTACCCCAGCTGAAGCAACTCATTTATTGCTCCTTGATTTCCAGCCCAGGGCTGGAGTCATATGGTGGTGTGTGTGTGTGTGTGTGCAAGGATTAGAACTGCTGAAGATGCTCCATTACTGACCTAAAGCCCTTCCTCCAGCCTAGTAATATGTTCCCACCTGTAGCCTTGTGCACTACAAACCATCCATCCAGACCTTCCATTAGATTAGGGAGTTAGGAAGCTGTGTTAGGTAGAGTCATAACATTGGTCCACCTTACTCCGCCAGTAACTGATGTCTGTGTGGAAGGACTTTGAGTTCAGGCCATTTCTGGTGCTCAAAATAGCTTCCCAGGCTCAGAATTCTTGAACGCTGAATGTTTGTTTTTTGCAGCTGGCTTCAGTATGTGGATCTCAGGATTCTAGTAAGAAATACACAGAACAGTCTTCACAAGCCTGAACATCAGAAGAGCTTTTCTGCTGGGTCAGGCCAAATCCTAGCCTAGCATCCTGCTCCTGCAGTGACCAAACTGATTCCAATGGGCAACTCACAAAGAGAACCCAGAAGCAAAAGCTCTCACCCCACCTGTGATACCTAGCAATTGGAAGTCTAAGGCAATGGAGGTAGAACATGGCCATTGATATCCTTACCATCTGTGCATTTCTCTGGTCCTCTTCTGAATCCACCCAAGCTGCATTTGTCCCCCTGCAGTACTGGGGTAGATGGAGCAATAGCCTGACCAGATATGTGGCAGCTTCCTAAGCTACAAACAGGAGATAGCTTGGAGTATTGCTGAGCAGTCCTGGACACTACAGTCCCACCAATCCCAACCCTTTTTTGCTGCTGTTCTGCAATCATTCTGGTAGGGAACAAGTGATCAGGCCCCAAATCTACACTCAGCGTGATCGCTGAATAATCAAGAGTTTGCCCTGAGGCTGGCTTTGCGTCCGCTTCATGAACTCCACCCAGCAGCTCTGGTTAGAAAAGACATGGCTAAGCTTGGCTTGGTGGCCCCTTTTGTGGGATGGAGGATTGAAAAGGAGATGAACAAGCCCCTCCCACCTGGCAGTCCCTCTTGCAGAGATGGCTGAGTCACCCCTAACCCGAGATTGCTGCGTCAGATGGTTGAATTAATGAATTAATTGATCAAACTTTCTTTTGTCAAGCAACCAAAGCTCTGTGTTAGCTCTCCTAGCTGCCTGTTTCTCAGGCAGATGAAAAATTCAGAGCCTTCCATTGTTTAGAATGAAGCAGGACATTCCTTTCCTTTCCTGTTTCGATGATCTCCAGATGGGGGAGGCTCAGGCAGTTGTGGAATCTGTGCGCAGTGCGCAGGGTATGCCTAGGCAGCCAAGCAGTGTTCCAGGGGAAGCCGTTGTGAGGAAGCACCAAAGCAGGGGAAGGGCCACAGCTCAGTGGCAAAGTGCTTTCTGTGCACACAAGAGGTCTCAGATTCAATCTCGGGCATCTCCAGGTAGGGCTGTGAAAGATTCTGGTAGAAGTGCTTTGGGAGAAAGGAGCTATTTAGTGGCCTGGTTCACACAACACTGAACTATGGTTTGTTTCACTTGACCATGGTTTGTTTAAACGTGCAAACCCAGCTCAGTAGACTAACTATGGCTTGTTTCCTGCCAACAAATCATGCTGTGAAACCATGATTTGTTGTTGGCTTGCAAACTGCAGCTTGTTTTAACTATCGTTTAGTGTACGACTGAACCCAAGTGGCACCTTAACTATGGTCTCTTTGGCGACTCCTCTCCAGAGGTGCTTCAGGCTGCAGAGGCATGTGACAAGAACTGATGGAAAACAAGCTAAGTGTAGGAATAAGCCATGGATTATTTGGTCATCTGTGAGCTGGCTTGGTGTTTGTTGAACAAACCCATGGTTAAAACAAACCATTGCCTTATGTGTGAATGCAGCCAGTGTATGACTTGACTTGCTTGACATTGCCTAATACATCTAACTATTTGGTCTGCAGGCCTCTTTCTGAGCACCTCTGAAGCCCAGTTGGGGACACGCTGGAGCTGGTGGAGGCTGGGAGTAAGGGACTCATCCACAAAGCCCCACTGTATTTCGGAGGTGCTCAGAAAGCAGTGAGATTCTCATTGCTTTCTAAATAGTTCTAAAGCTCAATTCAGCCATGGGGACGAGCCTTCTCCCCAGCTCTACCCTCCAGTTCAAAGGACGGGGTTGCCACTGGCAACTTGGTGTGCATGTTTGTGGAGCCCCTGTTCCAACATGATTCTGTGCACAAAGTGCTTTCCCCTTTCCTCAACCTCCATTTCCACTTTGGGGATCGTGGCTGGATTTCTGCAAGACAGGGCACAGATGCCAGGTGGTCCTGTGACAATTGCCTATACCCCAGATTTTTCTGAGCGGTGTGTGCATGTATAGTCACCCTATAGCAGCCCCTGCTGTCGTTTTCCAAGGTGTTCTTCTAAATCTGCCCAACCCTTTCCCATAGCCAAGAAGTAGCAGGTGCCCTGGCACTGCGTTCCCTGGGCTCCCTATGTCTTTCAGTTTGGATAAAGCTGCACCGTGACGGAGCACTTGTGATTGGGAGTGACGGGCCTTGCAGGGCATCTCAGGTTCCCTGGCTGGCTTTCCTTCATGTATATTTTAACCCAAGTGTAAGCCAATGCCTGGCTCCCACCCCAGAGCCAAACGCAGCCCCTTAGTCCCTGCCAAGCCACAGGTACGGAATGGCTCCAGCCCTCCGCTATCTTTTCTTGATGTCACTCCAGGGTATGTGTGTGCGCACGTATAGAAAAGTGCACTCCATGTGCGCACATAGGCCATCCATCCACAAAGGATGCTTCAGCGGCCCGGCAATTTCAGACTCAGCCTGAGTTTTGTACAGGGTCCCCTCAGGGATTTCTCCCTTTCTTAAAACCACTCTCTTCTAAGTTTATTTTCTTCGAAGCAATCTACATTCTCTTTCACTCTGCAAAAAGAGTTATTTTGACTGCTTACGCGCAGAGAGGTGCTGTCATCTGGAAACATGCTTTTCCTTAAGCTTTTGCCATGGACCGGAAATCTTGGGGAAGGGAGACATCCTCCCCCCACCCCCACGCAAATAACACTACACTTCTGAGCCAGCTGATCTAAAGGCAATTTGCAGAAGTTGGTTTGGGACAAACAAACAAAAAAGTCTTTTCTTTCCCACAGTGAATTAATGTATGAAGCTCCCTACTACTCTTCAGGTGAGGCAATGGCCACTCGCTGCCATGGCTGGAGGAAAAGTCAATCAACACAGCAGCCAAGTCAAAGGCTTAACTTTCGTGTTTCCTGCAAAAGGACCCATGTTTAATCCCAGCATTTCCAGGGAGGCTAGGAAATGAGCACCACTTCCTGAAACCTCAGAGAGCTTCTGCCAGTCAGTGTTGACCAGGAAATGGGTCGCCTCCAGATGTTGGACTACAACTCCCACCAAACCTGACTGTTGGTCATGCTGCCTGGGGCTGATGGGAGTTGGAGTCCTGCAAAACTGGAAGGCTACACTTCCCCCATCCCTGGTATAGATAGTACTAAGTTAGATGAACTAACAGACTGACTTGGGGAAGGGCTATAGCTCAGTGGCAGAGCACGTGCCTTGCATCCAGAAGGTCCCTGGTTCAATCCCTGGCACCTCCACTTGGGTCAGGGAAAGACTCCTGTCTGAAACTCTGGAGAGCTGCTGCTGCAAGTTAGTGCTGATGCTCTGACTTGCTATAATGCAGCTTCCAAAGCTTTGTGGTCAGAGGCAGTATACCTCTGATTAAAAGAAGCTGGGAAGGCCATCATCTTTATAGTGTGTTAGTGAGTTTCCAGAGGCACCTGGCTGGGTGATGTTGGAAGCAAGATGTTGGACTTAGACAGACTCTGGTCTGATCCAGCAGTTCTTATGTTCCTTGAGTTCCTGTAGGTTGATAAATCCTCCATTTGCCCCTTAATGCCAGGTAGGACTGGCAAACTTAATTCCTTGGACAGATGACTTCTTCAGGCTTGCTAGATAAAGTTTGGCTGAGATTAAGAGTAATAATTCCTTGCGCTCAAATTCATTGGGGTCCTTGAGGGGTTTAAAACAACGAATCCTTTCCCCATATGTGACAGGAGAAAATAGCAATTGGTGTTAAAAAAATCTGAACTCTCTTCAATGCTTCTTGTTATTTTTGTATTGCATTTTGCCTTGTGGTCATTTAACAAAGAGAAAAGCAGATGTTACTTTTTAACATCTATTCTCTCTCTTTGGTGCACTTGACTCTTTTCAGCCTTTGGGACACCCAACCTTTTTTACCCTGCTTTGCAAAGCCTGGAAAGAAAATGTTGATCCTTTTTGACTAGGGCTGCCATTTCAATTTTCACTCTGGTTCTGTCAAACACTGAAGCTTTATGGCGTAAGGGAAAAGAAAATTCTTTAATGGTTAAACTTTACATTGCTGTTTTCAGCTATGAACTATCCCGAATAGGTAAAATGATGCATTAGCTTGTGTGTGTGGTTTTTTTTAAAAAGAAAACAATATCACCATGCAGACTTTTATAATAACCTATATCCCACCCTTGTAATTAAGCTCTAGCCTGGTAAGCCACACATGACATGGGATTCCACTACATGTGAGGGAGTGAGCTGGCGGGGGAAGGCTAGAGAACATTGACCATTCCTGTATGCAGCCTTGTGGGAGGGACAGACCTCTCTGCCCCATCTCTGCCAGCTTGCAGCAGACTAGTAATTTATTTATTTGTTTATTTATTTTTGCCTGCTAGTAAATTTTGTCAGCTTATTTACAAGGCTATTCTATCCTGTTTCTGAACTTGGCCAATCTGCAGATGGATACTGGAAAATGGAAACTAGGGGATCAGGAGCTCATGCTGACATACATTGTTCTCCCCACCCCAGCCCTACAAGGTAGGTTAGGCTGAGCTTGGTGGCTGAATTGGGATTTGAACTGTGGTCTTCCAGCACTCTAACCACAACCCCACACTAACTCTCACCTCACCACACTTACAGGCAAATAGATGACTGGGGGGAATCACTTTTGATTTTCTCCCCCAGGGGTAGTCAATATGGGGGCCCTCCAGATGTTGACAGTCTAATTAGCACTTCCACCACCAGCCATGCTATCTGTGGCTGACAGCAGCTGTAGCTGAACGATATCTGGAGGGCACTGTGTTGGATACCTGTGTTCTAGCCCCTGGTTCTCCACGTGGCTCCTGCTTGCTTACTTCTGCTTACGACTCCTTTCCCTTCAGTAAAAATGAGAACCAGAGCTGAGTACACACCGTACAGACCTACAGTTCCCAGCACCTTTAACAAACTTTAGTAGGCAGGATTCTTTCTTTTTCTTTTTGCTGGGCTGGCATGTGCTTTAAATATGTGGTGTGTATGCAGCCCAAGGCAGGGCTGGTGTTAAGGCATTTGTGGCATACTGGGCAATGTGGGAGACATGGCTGACCTCGTTCCCCAGTGGTCCTTTTTAACCTGTCCTGTCTGAGCATCTGGTTGGCACCCCTACCACCTGGGTTTTCTTCCTTTCCCTCCTGTAGTTATATACACAGGAACATATCCTTGCACTTCAGATTGGCTTCATTTATCACATTTATATCCCACCTTCCCTCCAAAGAGCTCAAGGTGGCAGGCATGGTTCTCTTCCTCCCATCTTAGCCTCACCACAACCCTTATCTGGTAGGTTTAGCTAAGAGGCAATGGCTGCCCAAGGGCAACCAGTGAATTTCACTGCTGGGCAGGGATTTGAACCTGGGTCTCCCAGCTCCTAGTCCCAACATTCCTACCACCAGCTGTCATTTGCTTTATTTGACCACATCAGGTTTGGTTGCTAGTGTGGGGCTGACTTTAGCCCTCTTGACACATTACTCGTGTGTAGGCAATATCCTTGCTGATGGCAGAGTGAGGATGTGTTTTTTCACCCACACTATGGTTAGGTCTGCTTCTCATACGAACTATGCAGGGGAATTCAAAGGTGTGAATATGTATGTGTAAGGGACACCTGTGTCCACTCTTTCTGTGGATGTTGTACCAAAGGGTGGTGGTTATTCCGGGTTTCTTAATCCAGTTTAAAAATGTGATGATGTGCCTCTGACAGGACTCCTGGTTCATACATGCATGTTAATTTCTTGATGATTGCAGCCTCAAGAGATCATTGGCTTTTGTGAATGCTCTGTAGTGGATCCAACACAATGAACAAACCTCTCTCGCAGCCTTATGTCACAACAAACACCAATATGTTTCTCAATAGGGTCAGCTCACACGTTAACCTACTAGCCCTCAAGGTTGTGGGGCATTAGGAGAGCACATTGTTGTGAGCTTTAAATGGATTGAAGGCCAACCTGCTCTCTAGAATCCAGTTTGGTCAGGGTAGCTTTGCAAATACATCCACAAAAGTGACATCAGTCATTTTCCAACAACCAAATATCCCTCCTGATAATGAGCTCTACATAGTGAAATGCTGATTCAGGGTGTGGTCAGTGACAGCAGAGCCGGGGAGTTGCTTCCTGAATCTTGGAAACAATTGCTTTGATTTTTCTTGCTTTGGCCTCTCCCAAACTGGAAGAAAGCCCCAGGAAACCCATTTCCTGATTCCCTTCTAGCTAGCTGATCCTAGATTGACACTGATATGACATCCCTGCCCCCAGCCCCCAAGGTACAGGGGTTTTTCCCCCTTGCCCTCCTGTCTTTGCACAAGGCCCTACATCCCAGGGAACAGCCCTGCCACAGCTTGTATGCCCAGAGAGACTGCACGCCTCATTAAACACACAGACACACAAATACTTCCTGCAGATTAACTTGCAAGTGTACCTTTTCACACCTGGCTGGGAACACCTGTCATTGTGATCAAGCAGCCATGCCTTAAGGGAGGGCACTAAGCTTCGCTAAAGGTAACCAGCCAGCCTTATAGTTCCTGATTTGCACTGCTGGATGCAGCATCAGTGCTCCCTCTTTCCCCAGTTTGAATCCTGCCTTAACAAATTCAGCCTAAGTTTAGAGAGAGTGTGATTTCAGCAGACATAGGTTCCTTACTAATTAATGTGAATGTTTAGAGCGGTATCTACAGGTTGTGGTCAACTCACTTTTATTCAGCTCACACCCTTTGAAATTAATGGACCTAAGTTGGTCATGTCCATTCATTTCAATGGGTCTTTTCAATCAAAGTTGAACCCTGTATACACCTTTTTTCTGTCTGGTGGGCTAGGGTTGCTTAAAGGTTTTCTCCACCTACTGCAACTTCCTTTCTCCAACCATCTTTCTCACAGCTGGATTTATGTCTCGTATGCATTGCAGGAGGCAGGGGAAACTACCAGGAAATTTTGCAGTAGGAAAAGCAGCAGGGAGAGGAAGGGTTAAGCACCCTCTGGCCAGCTGCATTTCCCCCTAAAATGACCCTTTACAAAGTCACAATATTCAGCAAACACAGAGAGGAGAGTAACATGTCATTTTTCCCCCTCTGCTGATGAGTTTGAAATGTTGAAAGAATAAAACTGGCCTCCTTTGTAGGGTTGGTGACTTGTTCTCTTCACACAAACCCCTTCTTCAGCTCTGCCATTCGTAGCTAGGCAGAGCATTTTCACTCTTGTTTACCACCTTGTCCCTCACCCAGCTGCACACCTAGGCAAGGGCATTTGGTTCAGGGCCCTACCTTGTGGCGGAAAGGATGGGAGCTCAGGAAAGGCTTTGGACAAGGCAGGGCAGGGTTGCTAAATTGGTCTACTTGGCAGAGAAGGCAGAAACTTGGAGTGGGGGAGGCTTAAAAGGACAGGGTTTGTTTTGTCTGGAGACATGAAGGCAGGGCCTGATAGCATGCATTGCTTGAATGTTGGGAAACTTGTTATCAGGATCCTTGAGGAGAATTGAGTCTCCGGGGCCACCTAAGAGGCAGGGGAGAGAACCACAGATTCACAAAGTCATTTTAGAGCAGTGTTTTCCGAACTTGGGTCTCCAGCTGTTTTTGAACTACAACTCCCATCATCCATGGCTACCTGGTCAAGGATCATTTGCACACTAGGCTAGCCTTTTCACACTCACAAATCCCCCTCTATCCTCCAACCAGGCAAGCAACAGGCTTATCAGGGTTCAAAGACATATTCTAGCCAGGCAAAAACACTCAAGGAAGTGAGGGGCGTGGCTGGGGAGAGTCCCAAGGGCCAGATAGGAAGGTCAGAAGCACCACATTTCTCCCCTGGGCCTGAGACTCCCCACCACTAGTCTAAGTCAGTTGTTCCGCAGTTTTCTCCACTTCATGCTGTGGACAGCTAACCCAATTCTCCCTTTCAGGGTGTAACGGAGACTGAAGGATGTTTTATCAGGCTATTTCTGTCCTGCAGGAAAGGAATGGCTCCTTCAGAACAGTCCAAGTACAGTTGCATTTGTTTCCCAACAACCTGGGAACCGTCTCGCTCTGTTTTCTAGTTGCAAACTAAAATTGGACTGAGCACAAACTCTCTCATGGGAAGTGCAAACTTGATATTCTTGAGGCTTTTCCAGAGTAATGGCGGTTGCTGGGGCCTTTGAACGGTTTGAATTCAGCCCACTGGAAAAGTGCTGCATTTTAAGTGATATGAAAGTCTTGCCCAGCAGTGTTTGATCTGCGATGTTTCATTCACACATGTGAGCCTGTTGCTAAGCAGGGACTTGTGAACAGGCCATAAGAACAGAGCATAAGACGGGGAACACAGAAAGCCTACCAGATAAGGGTTCTTTGCATTGAGTGGCAGCTCTCCAGGGTTTGGGGCATCAGGCCTTTCCCAGCCCTATCTAGAGATGCCAGGGATTGAACTCTGGTGACGTCTGGGGTGGAAAATCACAATAGTAGTCTATCAGAGCCTATCTTGGGAAGATTTAAAAACAGCTAATCTGGTCTGTGTGCCAAAGGTGGGGTTTGCACCGCTTGACATTTCTTCCAGTCTAGCACCTTCAAGGCCCTGTCTGTAGACGCATATGGCAAAGTTGGCAAGCTGGTGTCAAGGGCATGGTAATGTTAGCAAGCTCAGCTTGAAATGTGCATTTAAAGACCCCCTTCCTCCTTTTCTGATCTTTTCTTCTTTTGGTTTTGTCTGTCTCTCCCCCTCCTCTTAACAACTATGTGGCTGAATGCACCATCAAGATTGCCTCTCCATTCCTGGACAGGGATAGTCTGATGGTTGTAGTCCATGCATTGATAACTTCAAGGCTGGATTACTGTCATTCGCTTTATGCAGGGCTGCGCCTGAGCCTGGTTTGGAAGCTCCAGCTGGTGCAGAATGCAGCAGCCAGATTGCTAGTGGTCGACAACATGTAACACAATTGTTAAAGCATCTGCACTGCATCTACTGCAAAGCCAGGTTCAAGGCAGTGTTGGAAACTCAGATATATGTATTAGCTAAATGTCAAATGACACCTTAAACCTAGGTTACGGTCACCACAACAGAATGTCTAGGCGCCTTTTTTGTTGTGGAATTTGTTATAATTGTTGTTATTATTATTATTCATCTCATTTCTATACTGCTTTATATTTTAAAGGGAAAAAAATCTCAAAGCGGTTTACAGCATATTAAAACATCAAAATAAAGCAATCCAGAATAAAATGAATTCAAGCTTTGAGGAAAATATTTCAGATCCTTCTTTAAGTGACATTTTGCTTTCTGCATATCTATTTACCTACTTAATTGATATAGCTGCCCCATAGCAGTACTTAGAAAGCCAGTATGGTGTAGTGCAGGCATCCCCAAACTCGGCCCTCCAGATGTTTTGGGACTACAATTCCCATCATCCCTGACCACTGGTCCTGTTAGCTAGGGATGATGGGAGTTGTAGCCCCAAAACATCTGGAGGGCCGAGCTTGGGGGTGCCTGGTGTAGTGGTTAGAGTGTCGGACTGTGACCTGGGAGATCATGGTTCAAATCCCCACTCAGTCATGAAGCTCACTGAGTGACCTCAGGCCAGTCACAGCCTCTCAACCTACCACACAGGTTGATTGTGGGGATTAACTGAGGGTGGGGGTAAACCATGTACACCTTGGAGAAATATGTGGAAAGAAATGCAATAAATTAACCTTTTCTGCTTACCTGCTGGAGGGACCAGCCAGTTGGAGATGTTAGTTGTCAACCTGGCATCCAGAGATCTCCATGTGGTTGCAGTTGGACATGCACCAGTCGCAAAACGCACCTGGTGCCTGCCTAATTTCTAACACTGGTTCAGTGGTGTTCTTGTATTAATTTACAAAGCGATGAGCAACTTAAGTGCTGGGTGCTTAAGCTCTGTCCCTGATAATCATCTGATGGAATGTCGCTGGAATGTTCCCGGAGTTGGGGAGGCTCATTTGACAACATGGAACTGTGCCTTTAAGTGTCACCGCCCAATCCTGTGGAATATTCTGCCAACAGAGAGTCAGCAGGCACCTCCTGTTTCAACTTCTGTGCCTGCTGAAAACTTTTCTATTCCATCAGGCTTATGCAGGCAGTTCAGAATACATTTTCCCACAACAGTTAGCTCCTTCCTTTTTTTAAAAAAACCCCCACAAAAACCTTTCTTTATATGGTTTTATGTGCAGTTGTTGTGAACTGCTTTGATCTTCTCTGTATGAATTAGCGGTGTGCAAATACTTTTATGAATAAAGAAGACAGTAAGCTAAGAAAGTCAGCTTCTAGTCAAGCTTCTGTCTTGCTGAGTGGCACAATGCACTTCCCTTGTGCAAGCCCAGCTTCCAGCGAACGGGAGTTGCATCAGAATGCAGGCATCCTCTGGCACTGTGCCTCTTCCCTTCAAAGCAGCTAGCATGGGAGACGCTTTCTTGTGGCTTGCATCCGGGCACACCTCTTGCATCTCTTTTCTGGAAGCACCCATCCTGGCTCCATTAGTGCAGCAGGGTGAGGTGCAGCAATGGAAAGGATCTCCCTGGACGCACAGCAGAATCCAGCCCTGCTAAGCCTTCTTGAAAGCACCCATCCATTTGCCCCCCATGTGCCTCTGTGGGCTGGAGCCAAGGGGGCAGGGCAGGGACTGCCTGCTCTTGCAGCTGTGGCTTTGCGAACCCCATACTTAAGCTCTCCGAGGCTCCCTTCAGTGATGGGGTCCGCTGGCTCTTCCGCCCTGTAATTGGTGACCAGGCGGAGAGAAAAATGCAGCCTGCAATCCTTCTGTGTAAAGAAGCTTAGCTGCCTTCTCTACTTGTGTGTTGTGGAGTCCTTGAGACAGGCTTCACTGGCTGCCATCACTGACGGTGGTAACATTTTTAAAAAACATCTCCTGATATCCCTTCCTCCCCACATTCTCATCCCCTAATTACAGAAGGATGCAATTGGGTGGGTCATTGCTGAGTCCAGTTGTCTGCCCTGTTCCTGATATCCTGCACCAAAATCCTATCTGATGCCTGCCAGGGCTTTCCTGGTGCCACGTAGACAAGATCATGTGTTGGGTCATCCTCCAAGTTAACTAATGCAGAGTCGGGACCAACTCCAGTGCCTCCAGTGAATGATATGGATTAGGATCTGACCTCCCTCAAGCATAAGGATGCCTGGGAAAAGCAGCAATGCCCATTGGTAGACCATGCCAAGATGACATTACAACATCATCTTGGCAGTCTTTTTGTGTTGGAGCTGCCCTTGGGAAAGAAAGGATTCAAATCCGTTTTCCCTGAATGCTGTGGTTGCGATGAATATTGGGTACACACCCCTGCATCAACCTTTTTTTTTAAAGGTGTGGTTCTAAGGGCCCCTCCCAACAGTCTTTTTTTATTGTGTATTTATGATTATTTGCGCTCATTATGGTATTGGGGTGGTTATATGCAATATTACTTTCAATACTGTTTGCACCTGCATAATTTTCAGGTAGGGCATGTGGCCTTGTTTCCAGTCATGGCATGTTCTGTAACTTCTTGTTAAAACCCTCTGACTTTTTATACCAGCAAAGTTCTGGTTTGTGTGGTCCTAGTAAGCCATATAGTTTAGCTCACCACATTGTGCAAACTAGACCAGAGTAATCCAACAACAACCATGACATATTTTCATTTACAGGCTATAGTTAAGGCACCAGGCTGGGTTTGCATATAATGCTAAAGCAAGGTTTATTAACTTAGATTTATTTAAACGCAGCAGAGCTTATATTTGGCCCTGTTTAAATTTGGTGCCAATTGCAAACTCCCACTTTCATCAGTGATTAACTCCAATTGGGAGCTCCCAAGCGGCACTCATAACAGCGGGGCTTCCATTGCGTGCCAGGTTTTTAAGCTGCTGAATTGCAAAGCCACACTTGCAAAAGAACAATCAGGAACACACTCAGAAATTCCTGTTGTTCCTTTGCAACTGCGGCTTTACTTGCCCCACACCTGATGTCATATTTTGCCTGAATGGCAAGCCTTCTTTAATGCAAATCACCAAGATAACATTTTTTGTTATTGGGAAATATGTACATACTGTACATAAAATAAATAAAATGCATTTGGCGGCTTAGGAAATTTAGCAAGCGTTGCTGTCATCCATACACTTTCAAGATCCACATCTCCAAACAGCCCGATTTGTCTCCTTTGATTCTCACCAGCCCCAGCTGTCAGCGTTGCTTTTTGAAGAATCCTAAAGAGTAAGTAGTTTTCTGCTTTGAAAACTCTTCGCTTCCTCCAGTAGGTTCCCAGATGCTTTTACTCTGCCCTGCAGAGCTAAGGTGCTTTGGTGTTGCTCATTCTGTATCTCTCCCTCCACCCTGCTGAAAGGGGGGGGGGCCTTGATCGAAGCATGCTCAGCCTTTTGTGGGTAAACATTCAGAGGAAGAGGGTTTCCCAATTCAGGCATACTGCGTCCGCCACCTGTTGCAGGGCACCTGCTGTTGCGTTTCAAGGAATATGCAGAATTATGCTCAGTTGCATTCCATTAAAGTATCAAAATTCAATTTGCTGCCGTCTGTTTTGCAGTCTGTTCTGCCGCTGGTGGCAGAAGCTGCTGAACATTTACATAGTTGGAGCTAGGGTTGCCAGATGCTGGGTACAAACATCTTGGGGGGAGTGCTGTGGTCACATCCTGTTTGTGAGCTTCCAAAGGCTTACCTGACTTCTGCAGCCTGGAAACAGACCCCTTGACTAGATAGATGCTGATCAGATCCTGTAGGCATTTCCTAAACCTGACCTCTTGTATACAAGGCAGATCTCTAGCATGAGAGGTAGTGGGGTGCCAACATACCACCACTCAGGAAATTGCCTCGAGTTATTGCCGAATTACGGCCACAAGGGTTGTGTGGGGTGAAAGTGCCTATTTTAAGCGTCTAATCTTTATTTCAGAAGCAGTCTGATGGAGAACCAGCAGCCTCCCGACTGCAGTGGTTTAAATGAGTGCCACTAAATTTGGAGTCTTGAATGTTCCCCGGCTTCACCACACAAGTGTTGATCTGATTATCTAGCCCGGAACATGTCATCGGGAGAACCTGAGAGTGGTCATAAGAACACAAGAAGGAGGAGCCTGGCTGCTGGGTCTTATCTGATGCAGAGCCAGCAGTAATGCATAACCATTTGATTGGGTGGCAGGGGGGCTTTGTGCAGCAGCGATCCTTGCGTGCGGGCAGGACAAAAAGTCTATGAAATGTTGGAAGGTGTGTTATGTGGACCTCACTGCTGGGATCTCATGTGGTGACTTGGTTCACACCCACCCACACCGTGCATTTCAAGCACATGCCTTCCTGCAAAGAAAGCTGGGAGTTGTAGTTTAAGGGAATTGCAGCTCTGTATGTTCCCAGGATTCTTTGGGGGAGCCTTGTGCTTTAAATGTGGATGTGACTGTGTGTTTCTATTGATAACAGTGTCTGTGTGTGTTTAGATTGCTTTGGGGCTCAGGCTTAGTAAAAAGAAAAAGGTGGGGGGGTGCGGAAAGCAGTTGATTCAATTAGCCACGCGTTCTTGAGTTACTTGACAGCCTTATGTAATTTTTGTCATAACAGCAATTTTCAAAGCAAAACCCTCCCTGATGCCAAATGTTTCTCTGCCCTGCTGCAACCTTTTTTATGTTATCCTCCACCTCCTACTCCTGCCCCCCCCCCAGTCACTCACGGTTCCCATGACTTAAGTACATCAAGCGATTCCATCCTTCTCCCTCCTGCCTCACTCTCCTCCCCTCCCCCCCGCTTCGGGCCTTTCCCATCTTGCTCATTTGGCCTCGGTTTGACACGTGTGTGTGTGTGTGTGTGTGTGTGTGTGTGTGTGCATGCAGATACAGAATAACTGTGAGCATCTTTCCTTCCCCCCCGCCCCGTTGTAAACTGGAAAGAATCACGGGTGTGGAACAAAAACTGAAAGAAGGGAGATCTTGTGACCAATTTGAAAGCACTCCCAGCTTCAGAGTCCTGCAGGCTACCCAGAGTTACATCTTTCCATTAGCAGATGCCATCGTGTATGGACAGAAAGTGCAACCCCCACCCCTTTAAAACCAAGCTGCCAGTGATGGAAGGGAACCTTGCACCCAGAACGTGCCCACACTTGTGGAAATATACTTTTTAACTGAATGCAGTTTGGTGGAAAAATAGCTGGAGGAGATTGCTCAACTTTTGCATCTCTTTTTCTAAGTGTGTGTGTGTGTGTGGTCAGACTGGAAGAACTCGGCTCTCTGCCTTTGGCCTTTTAAAGTCAATAGAAAGTAAGGTTTTCCCAGAGTTGCTTTGCCCAGAGTCTTGCTGAAACTTGGATGCTAAATTGACATTTGCACTGAGACTGTGTCCATCATATTCCCATTTTCTGCACTGACTGCGTTTCCAGTGCTAGGTGGGTTTTTAATGCATGATCACAGGACATATGTATACTGTAAGGTCCAGTTAGGTCCAGTTGTGGACGACCTGGAGTTGCAGCGCTCATCTCGCTTTACTGGCCGAGGGAGCCTGCATACAGCTTCCGGGTCATGTGGCCAGCATGACTAAGCCGCTTCTGGCAAACCAGAGCAGCGCACGGAAACGCCGTTTACCTTACCTATTTGTCTCCTTGCACTTTGACGTCCTTTCGAACTGCTAGATTGGCAGGAGCAGGGACCGAGCAATGGGAGCTCACCCCGTTACGGGGATTCAAACCGCGTCCTTCTGATCATCAAGCCCTAGGCTCAGTGGTTTAACCCACAGCGCCACCCTGTAGTTCGTTACAAAAAACTATTGTTTGATGTGATGCTTCTCAAACAAGCTTCACTCTGATTGGAGTCCTTAAGCCCTGGGATCCTTAAGCCAGTTCCTATCTTCTCCAGCCAAGATGTAAACACCTTTGCATAGGGTAGAGATATCCCCTCCCATGCTCCCTGTGTGTGAACACAAACAGCAATGAATATGACACTATGAAGCCCTGCTGATGTGAACAGCTAGGGGGGAAAGAGCTGGGAAATGCATTCACTGGCGGCTCTTAGGCAGTAATGTGAACACACTCTGAGATGGGGATTAGAGTCATCTGTGAACACACCAGAGATTACAAAATGTGCAAACTACTTCCTTTTTAAATGTAGTAGTTATTTAATCTTTTTGAGTGCATGCTTCTAGTCCCCATGTTCACACAAAAAACAGCATGGATAGTCTACAGCAAAAGAGTAAGAGAAAACAGTTGGCTTACATCAGACTTCCATTGGTCAGAGGATATAATAATAGTTCAACATGGGCCTCAGGCATTTACTGTGCCCCTCCCCATATTGTTACCCCTCCCCCTTTTAAAAATAAGTAATTAATCCGCTACTTCATGCAAACCAGTTTTGTCTGCTGGATTTCTCTACTCATCCCTTCTGCACTGTGAAGCTTCTAATGATACCAAGCCCATCCCTGCCTGCATTCTGCAAGCCTCATGGACCCTTCTTCTGGGTATAAACAGCAAATACAGTGGTACCTCAGTTTATGAACTTAATCTGTTCCAGAAGTCCGTTCTTAAACTGAAACCATTCTTAAACCGAGGCGCACGTTTCCTAATGAGGCCTATCGCCACTGGTGCCCTTCCACTGTTTGGATTCCGTTCTTAGACCGAGGTAAAGTTCGCAAACCAGGACACTACTTCCGGTTTTGCAGTGTTTGTAAACCAAATAGTTCGTAAACAGGGCTGTTCTTAAACCAAGGTACCACTGTACTGTTATTGCTTAATTCTAGATTAGGGCCTTTAGCCCTATTTATGCAGTGCTTTCCCACAATTTTGTGGAAGTGAAATTAGAAGTTCGACGTAAGCATATAGTGCTAGATTATACTGCAATGGTGTTACCCATGGCCAAGATCCCTTCTATAATATTACTCATAAGCAAGTTCCATTTAGCAAATGTCCTTTCTAATGTTAATTAAAAGTTTCCTGTATTCAGTTTTTATTTGATGTTTTTATTGTTTCATGCTGAGCATGGCAATAAGATTAGTGGCAGATTTATTTCCCCTTAAAAGTTGTCTCAAAATTGCCCACCCCATGGGCAAGGGAAGAAAGCTTTAATTACAATTTTTATAGTTAAATAGTCCCCCTTCCTTGGGAAGAGAAATGAACTCTGGGAGGCTGTATTAAAAAGGCTATTCATGGCAGGCAATTAATAGGACATTCCTCACTAGTTTTACTGCCACACTGAATGCAAAGCAATAAATTACCTGAGACTGCAAACAGGAAGTGTTTAATTAAAGCTATAGTAGCGTCATTAAGAGTCATCAACACTTGTCTGCACAAAACAAAATTGTGCAGCAGCTGTATTTTACTACCCCAAAATTGCCACAAATCTGGCCTGAGAGGAGACCACAACAGAACACCACAAAACTGGCTGATCGTGACATTAACTGGGAACTCCGTAAAAAGTGAGTAAACAAAGGGTGGCAATTCTAGGAGGAAGGATTAGCTCAGAAGCAATCTGCCTTCCTCCCTCTTCTCCAAAACCCACTATTTTTGCAGTCTGAATAGGTTGTGCTAAGGTAGCGGAGTGATGACGTTTCCCCCTCCAGCTGCATAATTGGGGCGAGATGCAGAATTTAAGGCAAGTGCTTTATTGGCCAGGTGCACCAACAGTGTCTGCTGTGATCAGTTTTTGGAACCTTGTACCAAAGTCACATGCTGTGTTTCTGAAAACGGTAGTTACTTACAAAGAATATTCCTGTTTGAGCTTGCAGACTGACTCTACTATGGTCTTGCCATCAATGTGTCCTTATGCAGCAGGTGCCAAAGGAGGAAGGAGATCCGTACATCTCTGTGTCTGTCTGTGTACATGTTCAGTCTTTGCCAGTGTTCTAGCTATATGGACAAAGAACAGGATATTGGTGAATCTGGAGCTGGAAGTTCTTACAAGAGCCTACAGTTACAGACAGTGGTGTAGGTACGGACCTACTAAACTGTCTTATTCTGAGTTAGGCGTTTGTTCATCTGTGCTGACTGGCGGTGAGTCTCCAGAATTTCAGGAAGGAATTCCTCCTAGCCTTGGCTGCGGATTGAACCTGGGACTTTCTGTATGGAGAGCATGTGCTCTGACACTGAGCTATGGCCCTTCCCCAGAGTAGGGCAGAGATGGGATAAAGCACAGCCACTTATTTCACAGCAAGAACAATGATGTCATCTCCCAGGGCACTATTTGCCAATCCTCTGAATGCCAAATATTGGGGCTGGGGTGGGGACATAGCCAAAGAAACACATCAGAATAAAATTAAGGGAGAGTTGTGGTTCGCTGACAGAGCATCTGTCAGTGCCTGCTCACTCCCCCCCCCCCCGCCAGGAACTCACCAGTTGGGAGTGGTGAGGACAGCATAAAGTGGGGGTGGGGACTGGAAAGCTCAGTAGTAGGGATGCAAATTGCTAATGGGAGGGGAGGAGGCAAGGATCAGATGAGGAGCAGGGCTGTGTGTGCGTATGAGAGAGGAGAGCATGTGGAATAGTTACACCCACTGCGAGGGATGAGGGAGAAATCCGATTCAGTTTACATTTGAAGGAATTTATATTTAGCTAATTTGCACTTCTGAAACAATATGCAAACCGAAACACCGCTGTCCTTCAGAATTCTCTGATTTTTCTGTGCAGTTCTGTAGCCAAATAAAGTGTACAGAATGCTTATACTGAGGTAAAGTATGCACAAAATGCGTATATTCTTGGAAATAGGATACAGTAATGGGGAAATTGCTTTGCGAAAATTGTATAATGGGGGAAATTGCAAATATTTGGAGAAATTCACATTAGAATGCTGGTGAATTTTCTTTGGGACTTAAAAATAATAATCCCAAACTCAAGTGGAAGTGTGGAGAACTCTTAAGACTTGAACATGAGAAAACAGAGAGAAATAAACATGGACAGATCCAACTATCCCTCACTTCCCTGCTGGCATGTGGCCCGCAGAGCGTTAGCTGACGGGATATGTGGCCCTCGGGCCAAAAAAAAAGTCCACTACCCATGATGTAGAGACAATACCAATGGCTGGACTTAGTGTAATTGCCTCCCTAAAATTAGCAGCTTGGAAAAGAAAGGCTGTTGCACAGTGGCAGAAGGCCATCAGAGAAGGGCCAAGTCCGTCCTCTCTCAACAGAGACGTGGCTGCAGAAACAGCTGTCTTCAGCAGACCCTGCCAAATGTCATTCGGAAGTTTCTGGGAAGAGTCATGGTGGGCTTTCTTTTTGCAGTCCTGCTTCTTTCCCCCACTTCTTCAGGCAGCAGTGACGTTTCCCCAAGACCTGCCCCCCAAATCACCTGGATACTCTGCAGCAGCTGTGGCATGGGCCTTAATTAACATGGATTGGAAGAACGGCTTTGTTAGTCAAAACATTAATTACGATAGCGCAGGAAAGCCCACACCACCACCCCTGCTTGGCATTCCTGGGTGGCATGATTAAACTGAGTTGGCTGTGGAAGAGCAGCAGAATGAAAAGGAAATTTGTTAATGCCATTTGAAATAAACTTGCAGCGCTCTTTGGAATCGATTTCTCAAACGCTCTGGGGTCTAGTTGTCTCCAGATCTCCTTGCCAACCGCCATCCCTTCCATACTTGCCACTCGGTTGTTCTCCTCCGCCGCTCCCCCCCCCCCATTTCCACCTCCCTCTCTCTTTACTTTCTGTCTGCTGAGGTCCCTTTGTCTCGTGCATGGAAATGCACCATCCATCATTACCCAACGGAGCAATTCTGTTGACTGTGCAACTTGTAGCTGCTAATTACACAATGCAGAGATGGTTAAAGGTTTAAAGGAATGGCGGGGGGGATTGGGGATAGCAGAAAATATACAGCATTTTCTGTTGGCTGCATGTCTCTTGCCAGAGAGGAAGGTGGTGGGCCCAGAGTTCAGAGGCAGAGCACAAGCTTCATGAGCATACGGTCCCTGGTTCAATCCTGGGCACCTCGAGTCTTAAGAAAGGAACAGTGGGCAGGTGATGAGCAAGACCAGGAGGGCGCCATCAGGGAGTCCACTCAGCTCTGCTCCTAAGACACTGTTACATCTTCTTCACACAGGGCATGAAGCTGTTGTGGAGTTGGTCCCCACAGGAGACAGTGATGGCAACCAACCTATATGGCTCTAAAAGAGGATCAGACAAAATGCATGGAGTGTTGGAGGTGTTACGTGGCTGGGGCAACTCTGTCAGATGGGCAGGGTGCAAATAAAAAAAAATTCATTATAAAAATTGTTATGTCTCTGAATATCAGTTGCTGGGTATCTCAAGGGGGTCAGTGGTTTGAGATCAGATTTTTGGGCTAGATGAGCCTTTAGCCTGATTCAGTAGATCCCTTCCTGGGCTCTGAAGCTCTTACCTTTCTCACCACCCCCTTGTATAGTTGCTTTTAACTGCTTGTCTTTTGTTTCTATCTTACGTTTCGTGAGTTATAATCACTTTTATCCCTTTCCTCTTTTTAAGTCTTATGTGCTTTATTTTATTAGCATGTTTTTATCTTATGCTGGTCTGTGACCGTAATAAAGTTTGGTGATGGTACCTCTCTGAGGCCCAAGGCCCGAGAAAGCCCCTTCTAGTGAAGGCTGCACTATAGTGGGCTTCAGGGGACTGATAGAATGAGGCTCCCTAGGGTGTTTCCGTGTGACGCTTTGCTACTGCTCCTAATAATAATAATAATGATAATAATAATTTATTATTTATACCCCACCCATCTGGCTGGGTTTCCCCAGCCACTGTGGGAGGCTTCCAACAAAATATTAAAATACAATAGTCTGTCAAACATTAAAAGCTTCCCTAAACAGGCTGCCTTCAGATGTCTTCTAAAAGTCTGGTAGTTGTTCTTCTCTTTCCTCTGGTGGGAGGGCGTTCCACAGGGTGGGTGCCACTACTGAGAAGGCCCTCTGCCTGGTTCCCTGTAACTTTGCTTCTCATAGTGAGGAAACCACCAGAAGGCACTCGGCGCTGGACCTCATCCGGGCTGAGGGATGGGGGTGGAGACGCTCCTTCGGGTATACTGGACCGAGGCCGTTTAGGGCTTTAAAGGTTAGCACCAACATGGAATTGTGCTTGGAAATGTACTGGGAGCCAGTGTATGTTTTTCAAGACCGGTGTTATGTGGTCTCGGCGGCCGCTCCCAGTCAGCAACATACATGAGAATTCTACAGGATTCTGGAAATGTAAAGACAGCACCCAAAGAGCCTACGAAGGCAGTGTTAGAAACTCAGCTATATAAGCTAGGCATCAAATGGCACTTAAAACCTGGGTTATGGTTGCCACAGCAGAATGTCTGTTCTCCAGGGGGTGGTGCTAGATGGCCCTCGGGGTCCCTTCCAACGCTACAATTCTGTGATTCTATCATCTCAACTACATTGCTTGCCTATAGCTTGCACTTGTCCCAGTATGCACAAAGGAGAAACACACATAGTGGAAATGGAAATGGTATTAACTATGGACTAAGGCAGAGGTTTTTAAACTGGGTTGATGGAGATGACTGTCACCAGCCTGGCACCCAGAAATCTCCATGTAGTTGCAATTGGACCCGTGTCAGTAGTAAAATGCACCTGGCACCCAGGGAATTTCTAACACCGACTGAGCGCCAAATGACAGGGCTGATACCAAAGTAAAGAGGTACCTCTGGTTACGAACTTACGGTAATTCGTTCCGGAGGTCCGTTCTTAACCTGACACCGTTCTTAACCTGAGGTACCACTTTAGCTAATGGGGCCTGCCGCTGCGCCGCTGGCACACAATTTCTGTTCTCATCCTGAGGTAAAGTTCTTAACCCGAGGTACTACTTCCGGGTTAGCGGAGTTTGTAACCCGAGGTACCACTGTATCTGGCCTGTTGAGATATAAAGCTGGGTGTGGGTGTGTTTCAGTTTTACACATGTAATAATTTGGGGGGAGGTTTCCAACACATTTCCCCCCCACACCTTGCTGGGTTGCTTTCATTCGTTTTCTCCCACCCCAGTTGCCTGTACTGCAGGGATAAAAAGTGTGTGAATTCTGTTATATGCACTTGGGATGTGTATCACTTTGGAATAGGGACTGAAGATTGACGTTACAGGCTTCACTGAAACATGCATTTTGTATTGGGGTCCAAAGGAACAAAGGGAAGTGATGTTCTACAGAAGGTGTTCTGGGACAGAGTTCCAGGCATAAGGGGAAGTACAGGAGAATGGGCAGAGTTGCTTGCAGGAAGTGAGGTTAGTTGAGTTGCAGGGATGAACCTCAGAAGAGCCTGGCTGCTGAATCAGACCAGAGGCCCGTCTAGCTCAGCATCCTGTCCTCACAGTGGCCAATCAGATGTCCCTATCTGCAGTGTTTCTCAAACTTGGGTCCCCAGCTGTTATTGGACTACAACTCCCACAATCCCTAGTTGGCAGGTCCGGTGGTCAGGGATGATGTGAACTGTAGTCCCAACAACAGCTGGGGACCCAAGTTTGTGAAACACTGCCCCCATGGGAAGCCCGCAAGCAGGACCCGAGTGCAACAGCAGGTCTTTACACTTGCTCAGGGAGAAGGGATGCATCCAGATTGAAGAGCAGAGAGGATATATGTGGGGATGGGACAACCTCTTGCCTTAAAGGAGGATTCTCTGCAGGCAGCCACTCCAGGCTGTTTACAGCCAGAGTGATGATGGAGGGTTGTGACACAGAGATGCATGGGACAAAGGTGACTCAGATCAGGAATTCCTGCAAGCTGAGAAGCATGTTTAGCAAATTATCCTTGCTATGAAGCTCTGCAAGAAGAAGGCAGAAAACAGCAGCATAACAACTTAGTCACCGGTGAGTCCAGGCTGGGGGAATGCTCATTCCAAGAGCTCAGCATGGCAAATAACTTCTAAATATGAAAATAACTATCCAAGGCTAGGAGTTTGTGTTAACTGCTGTTCTTTTCTCTTTTTTTAACGGTCCAGCTGGGCCTTCCAGATGTTTTGGGCTATTTGCCCCAGCCAGCACAGCTGGAGGACCCTAGGTTGGAGAAGGCTGCTTTATTTTGCAATTTCCCTTAAGCTTTTTACATGACGTAGCTTTGAGGGGGTTTGATCTGATGGAGGAGCTTCTCTGAGTCGGAACACTTCCAAACCCCCACTTTTCTCATTCAAAAATAATGGCTTGATACAGGATATTTGGTTTCCACTTGTTGCTCACCCCAGGTCTTTTTGTTGTCACTGTGTCCCCTCCCTTCCCCAGGACTTTTCTCTCCCTTCAATCTTGACCGCTAGCTGGCTGGCCTCACCCCACCCTCTCCCCTGCCTCTTCTTCATGCCTTCCATCCTGCAGGAGTCTGCAAGGAGCCTTCTTCAGCACAAGGCGGGGCAAGCATTTATAGCCTTCTTTTGTGGCTTCCGCCAGGTCTCACGCTGGACATTCTTGTTCCATTACTTAATTGTTGTCTGCGAAGGACTCTGTTGCTATGAGGGAGGTGTGTGTGTGTATGTTGGGGATGGCAGTGAATTATGTAACTGGAAGCAGGAGTGAATTGTTGACTCTTCCTGGTCCAGATCATGGGCTGGTCCAGATCGAGGGCACTTGGGGGCGGAGGGTGGCCGTGAGTTTCTCCCCCTACATGAACCAGCTAATAGAAAGTGTAAAATATTTGTAGAACCTGAGATAGGAGGCACTATTATTCTCTCTCTCTCTCTCTCTTTTTTTTTTTTTGGGCAAGAAACTATCCTGCGCCCCCACTTTTCAGTGCTTCTTTCTTTTGCACATGCATGCACACACAGACACCCTGGAAAAATTCCTGCGGGTGCCTGTGCTCCAGGCAGGGTGGGTGGGTAGAAGAATGGGGGCCCACAGCTCCTTTGAAGTCCTCCATCTCCATTTAACAATCAGAGGAGGGAAGCTTGGAAACAGCCACCTCAGGAAATCTTACAGAAGCAAAAAGTGAACTGCACTTGGTGTCAGGAGAGGGTTTTGTGTTTTGTGTTTGGCCTGCTGTGCAGATATTAGAGGTACAGGGACCCTATGGGGCGGGGGGGGACAACCACCCTAAAGGTGGCAACTTTACGTAGGGCCCATAAAACGATACTTTGCTGCTTCATCTGAGTATGCCAGTTTCCGGGCCTGAGGGAGAAGGGGTCTTTGTGCCCTGCTGGCACTGTGCCCAGCTGCGATTGCTGTTTACTTTAAATGAGCTGTGCCTGGCACCCCTGCCTCAAGCTGTGAGGGGAGGGAGGGATCGCTTGCCTAACTCTGGAGAGCTTGCCTGAGAAGTATTCAGAGGGGATCTCCTCATAAGCCTTCTTCCCTCCTTCTGTCTTACAGCCCCGGAAGGTACCCTCCCGGAAGCAACCCCGCTCCCCCTCAGTGAACGGACTAGCCATTCGCCTGCCACGGCGCCCCTCATGAGGGAGACAGAAACACACCCAAGTGACCAGCCTCTCCCTCCCCTCCCACCAGAAGCCACCCCTCTGCCGCGTGCTGCCGCTCCCACAGGGGCAACGCCGCCTGCTCAGAATGGTCCCCCGGGTGTCAAGACTGCCACGGTGCCCCCTGTGGAAGCGAAACCTTCCCTTCAGACTAACCAGGCCGGCCCACTGCCTGCCACAACGTTCCCGGCTATGGAGGCCCTGCCCCCTAAGAATGGCCGCCCCCCGCCGATAGGTGCCCAGGCATCGCCTCCCACGGAAGAAGAACATCGCCAGGAAAGCACCCAACAACCAGCACCCAAGAGTGAACAGCCTTCCCCTGCCCAGGGGCCTTCCAGACCCCGGACCAAACAAGGTATGTTTGGGGCAGAACTCGAAGCTGATCAGAAATTTGCAGGGTGAGAATCTTTGTCACCACATAATTTTCCTGAACTGTTTGTTTCTTGTGGAAAGACAGCAGATAAGTGTGCAGCTTCTCTGTTTGAAACACACACACACACACACACACACACACACACACACACGGCAGCCAGGGGTTTGTCATTATGATGGGTGGGGTCTGCAGAAATAGAGAACCTCTGTCCTGTGGGCTTCATTTGGAACCCTAGGCCTCCCCCATTTGGAGTCTCCCCATCTCTGTCCCATGTGAGTGTTGTTTTTATTCTTTATTTAAAATGCTTTCATTTAACCTTTCGGTACAAAATTTTCTGCACAGCTTGCACTAAAAATTACAGCAATATAATAAAACAATTTAAAAAACCTGTGGTAAGAAATGCAATAAGGCAACAGGAGAAAGGATTCCCTCTCATAATGACGTCTGAGGATTGTTGGAAGATTCAAGTCAGAAAAAAGAAAGTACAAGAAATTACATTTTCACGCAGCACCTAGTTAAATTATGGAACTCACTGCTGCAAGGGGGAAGTGATGGCCACCAAAGTGGGTGGCTTTAAAAGAGGAATGAATAAATTCAATGGCTACTAGCCAGGATGGTTATGTTCTGCCTTCATGGTCGGTGGCAGTAATGCTTCTGAATGCCAGTTGCTGGAAACCACCGGATGGGAGAGGGCTCTTGTGCTCAAGTCCTGCTTGCAGGCTTCCCTCGGGCACCTGGTTGGCTGCTGTGAGAACAAGATGCTGGGCTAGATGGGCCCTTGGCCTGATCCAGCAGGCTCTGATTCTCATATGTTCTTAGTAAACCAGAGAAAGAGGAAAGTGTCATATTTAGTTCTGTGCAGGCATGTGAGCTGGCTGGGAGAGGAGAGGCAGGTTGCTCCATCTCTGCCCTAGCTATGGAGGAAAGAAAATCTCTTCTTCCGTAAATCTCTTCTTGTGCAACCAGCCTGGAAATGTAGCAGGCTAGAAGAGCAGGAGATGGATTCCTCTGTCTCTTCTTCTTCTCCTCCATTTGACTTGGTAGAAGGCAACATTTTATTCTGGCCTGCTGAGAGATGAGTAGCTTGCGTTTCCATGCTGCCCAGGGAGAAGAGGGCCTTCACTCCCCTGAGTCCATCATGGAAATAGCTAGTGCAAACATTTGCAAGCTAGTAGTTTTTTTGGTTATTTATGTGCCTGGCTTGATAGCCTTCTGCTGCTGCTGCTGCTGCTGCTGCTGCTGCTGCTGCTGCTGCTGCTCCTCCTCCACCGTGGGGTATATCGCCACAAGGCATCTAGAGTTGGCTCCCTGAATTGGTGCTAGAGAAGGCCGCATGATGGCTGGCAGAGTCACAGTATCATCTGCAGCAGTTCTCTTGCTTCTTTTCAGGTTTTTGGTCCTACTTGGAGCCTCAGTCCTCCCTGTTCATATTAATTTGTTGTGTGATTATACTCTTCCTTACTTGTCTTCCTCCTCCTCCCCACCCTGCTGTTTTACTTCTCTAAAAATATAAACATTGATAGTTTGTTTTTGTTTCTCCTTTATTAATAATAATAATACTGCTGCCAGTGATGCCACTGGTGTGACCCCCTTCAGATCCAAGTGGGACACAGTAGTCTGGAAAGACTGGTGCAGACATGAAGAGGATTTGATGAACGTCAGGGTTGCAGGGGGTGGGGTGGACTTGCACATGACTTTTCTAACTGGCTTAACCTCTTCCTTCTCTTCCCCAGATACCCAGAAGGCGCAAGCCAGGCACAAACTTGCTCGAGAGCGACGGGAAGAACGAGCCAAACATCTAGGTAAGAAGCAAGCTTGTGTTTGTGGGGCAGAGGAAGCTTCAGGCCCTCTCCAGGCAACGAAGCTTGCAGATCTTCTGGGATCCTTGCCCAGGATCCTTTGGTCCATCTATCTATTGCACACTGACTGACAGTGGTCTCCAAGGTCTCATACAGGTGAGTGAGAAGGCAGATGAAGAAGGGATCAATCTCTCTGTCCCTCCTCTACCAGTCAACTTAGTTTCTGTGATGGCCATGAAGGAAAGCCGCTTCTTCCACAGCTGGCACACAAAGTAGACTGCCAAAAGGGGAATAGATTGCTTTGTGATTCCTCTGCCAGTCAGTCCATCTGATAGACTGCAGAGTGGGTTTTTTTTTTTACCTGCTAAGAAACTAGTAGCCTGGATTTCCTTGCTGTCCTTGGAAGAGGGGATTTTCCTTCCTCTTCTGCCAGTACAGAAGTGCAGGCTGCTAACTTCTCAGCAGGCTGGTACAAACATATGGGAATGCGGAAAAAGAATTGCCAGATAACTAAATTTTTACAGAATAGATAGCTTTCTCTCCACCCTTCTTTACTGTGGATTTAGTTAGGTGAGTTAAAACCTTAACATGCATTTACTTGCATGCAATTTGCCTAATCAGTTGTGTTCCCCACCTCCCACAGGATTACCATCATGTAAGCAGCAGAGCAAGCAGAAACTTCTTAACCCTGACCAGTAACCTCTTACACCTGCCCAGCCCCATCCTATACCCATTCCCCCATGTTTGTAGCTGACCTTTCGCAGCACAGTATGTAGGCTCCTTGTGTGATTTAGAGCCCTGATCCTCCAGGACTCTAAATCACCCAGAGAGCATCTCCGAATGAACAGGGCAGGCTCCCTGTGGCAGACATTCAGCCCCCAACACGTGGATGGCTGCAGGAGTGGCAACAGGAACATGCAGTAGTGGGGTGAGGCTGTTGATCTTTATCCTTTCACCCTCCCGCAACAGTAATTCTGCGTGTGCGGAGTCTGGGAGAACACGACTTTGCACGGCTCTTGTATTTTGAGAAAATTCATCTCTCATGTGTACCAAATTGTGAGTGGGAGAGAAATCATCACACTCCTTCCTTCCTTCCTTCCTTCCTTCGTTCCATTGGGCCAGCAAGTCTAGACAAACACACAAACTTCATCCAGTTATGCATCCCCCTTCTGCCCCCGTCATGTGCATCTGTGAGATGTGTTGTAGGTAATGTCTTGGCAAAGAAGATTCCTTTCCCATGCAGTAGACCTCTAGTCATTAATTTTGCTGGGTGCTGCTCTCTGTTCTGCGGCCTCTCTCCTGCTTTCCCTCTGCACCGCACTACCCACACCATCACTCCCCCTCCTAATACTTTTGCCGCTCCAGTCTAAATCACTTTCCACCCTCATTCCCCCATTGTTTGGCCTGAATGTGTTTTTCAGGCCAGCTTCCCATTCCCTTTGTTGACTGCATTGCCCCTCCCTCCTTCTCTGCTAGTATCCTGATCCACTTTGTTGTTTAGGGTCTTCCCCCCTCTCCCCCCCCCCCAGCTTGCTGTCACCAGCTGTGGGCTTCATTCCTGAAGCTAGGGGTTCAGTTACTGCAACCCACTCCTTGTTTGAGTGAATTCCTGCAGGATTTTCCCTCATTCCTTCCAATTCTCCTGCCAACCCAGCTTTCCATTGCAGATAGGTCCTATTATTATTTAGTTAAAGTATTTGTGCCTTGCCTTTCAAAGTTTGCTTCAAGGCAGCTTGCAAGCATTTGAAAGCATTATGCATGCAAAATGCATAAAAACAATTAAACGATAACCTTAAGTCAAAGTCAGTTTATTTATATACCATGTCCCACAAAATACAACTGTTCTCTAAAGCGGTTTGCATATTTAAAGCAGTCTAAATGCAGCAGAGTAATAATTGCATAATAAAAAGTAGAATTATCACTGCAATAACGTAACAACATAACACTAAACAAATCAACAATTAACCGTATATTTAACATCCATCAAAATTAAAGTGAGCATAAAGTTCACCAGTCGATAAAGTAAAAGTATCCAATAACTTCACATCCAGAAGTGGCCCCAAAGCATTAGCAATGAGCAACTGCTCTCCTTCATCGTTTATACCAGAAACCCCTCTCAATAGTTCTTCTGGAAGCAGCTGCTTTATGAAGGCTCCCAGTGCTGGAGGATAGAACAAGGCAGGTGGAAGCAGCCACCCATCCCCTCACCTAACTTTAAAAGTGCAGACATTCTCCTTCTTTACACTACAACCTCTTCAAATCTCCTCCCACCTCCTCCCCCCCCCAAAGTAAATAAATAAAATCCCTAATAAAAAGGCAGGCCTAGTTATCACGAGCATCAGATGAGGTAGTCGGCCTCTTTCTGGACTGTTCCCAGGCCTGGCATCAGCAGAGAAGCGAATGCCAGGTGCCTGTTGTAGCTAGTGCCAGCTCCCGCTTTCTAATGTTTATTATTATTTTTTAATGGTCCAGCGCTGTGAAGTGATGCACTGGGGAAAGTTGTAACCATTGGTCTGCTTCTTAGCCCCAGTGACTTAGGGCTTTGCCCCTGAGGTGCAGGTCGAGGGTACGACCCAGAGGCAGTGGGGATGAGGAAGATGATGGTGGCAGTAATGGATGTAGTTAAAGGGGAAGGGCCACAGCCCAGTGGCAGAGCATCTGCTTTGAATGGAGAAGGCCCTAGGCTCAAGCGCTGGCATCTCCAGGTAGGGCTGGAAAGCCCTGTCTGAAACCCTGGAGAGCCTCTGCCAGTCACATTGAACTAAATGGGCCGATAGCCTGACTCAGTATAAGGCAGCTTAATTGTTTGGTGAAGGGCCATAGCTCTTGGAGAGCATCTGCATTGTGTGCAAAAGTCCCAAGTTTGATCCCTGGCATGTGTAAGCATGAAGGCCCAGCATCAATATCTGACATCCTAGTGCTCATCAGAGCCCATCAGAGCTAACATCTGCCCTCCATGCCTGCTGGCTGGATCTGCAACATGCCATCTAAACTCTGCCATTATCAGAGTTTAGTGACTCTTTTCCAGCCAGGCTAATGGGTGGGCACATGTCCTGTGGGGAGAGGACGTGGCTGGGGAAGAGGTGTGGCCTGGGGAAAGTCCCAAACATCAGGCAAAAGGAGGCCTCGAGGGTGTGGTTCTCCACCTCTGCCTTGGGGCTGATGGGAGTTGCAGTTCAAAACACCTAGAGGGAGCCAGGTTGGCAAGAACTGTTTTGTTGTATTCTGTGTCAGAATTTCCATCCCTCCGCATCCAGCCTGCTATATGTTCCCTAGGTGGTGAGCTAAAAGCGATAATAATGTACATTCATTTTAAATAGTTTTTAAAAGCTGAACAAGAGGCCATATCGTTTTAGACAAATATATGGAGGAGAAGATCTGTTAGTGGCTATTAGGTGCTATGAGGCAAATGGTGGGGGGAGGCTGTTGCCTTCATTCTGGGTTTGCAAGATTCCTGGAAGGATCTGGCTATAAGCAGGAAAGTGGCAGAGTGTTTGTTTCAGATATATATTCAGACTGCAAGACTTCTACAAAATACTCACCTTCTCTCTGCCTAAGGGACTTGTTGGATGAAATGAAAACCACACCATTTCCTTGTAATGTAATATGTCCCAGGAGTGAGGAAGTGTGTGTGTGTGTGTGTGTGTGTGTGTGTGTGCGCGCGCGCGCAGGCAGAGCTGGCTATGCACTACATTGCTTTATCTCTTCTGTCTGCTTTCCTCCCTCTTTATTCCTTGGTCTTTGCCCCAGTAGCTGCCAAGCGGGTCCTGTGGCTGGAGAAGGAGGAGAAGGCTCGGGTGCTGCGTGAAAAGCAACTGGAGGAGCGGAGGCGGCGACTGGAGGAGCAGCGGGTTCGTGCCGAGAAGCGGCGAGCAGTGCTGGAGGAACGCCAGCGTCAAAAGCTGGAGAAGAACAAGGTGGGCTTGGGGTAGCTTGGGAGCAGGAAGGGAGGCAGGCAAAGGGGAGGAGAGCTGGCAACAAGGCACATGAAGAGGCAAGCTGCGGATTGCAGTGCAACTGCCAGGCAGCAGGAAATGGAATTGCATAGGACAAGGGTAGCTATTAACCTGTGGTGCTCTGCAAATGCATGTTGGACTACAGCTCTCTTCAAAATAATAATAATACAAAACCAATACAGTCATACCTCTACCTACGTATACCTCTGGATACAGAATCTTCAGGTTACGGCCACGGCAAACCTGGAAGTGTATACTTCCGGGTTTCTTGGCGTGCGCATGCACAGAAGTGCTCAATCGCGCCTTGCGCATGTTCAAAAACACTCAGTCGTGCTGCGTGCGTGCACAGAAGTGCGGCTCTATTTGCGTTATTTTCAGGGTGCGAACGGACCCCTGGAACGAATTAAGTTCGTATCCGGAGGGTCCACTGTAGTATGATAATAATACAGAAAAACAGTGTTTTCTAAGTAATAAAATCCAACAGCATTAAGCAGCAAAATATCTCTGTTATAATTCTATTCTCCAGAGATCTGAATTAATTATTTTGACACCTTCAGAGCCTTTTACTGGTTTGTGGTTTGGAGAGGGACGTTTCAGTGGGGGGGGGGGGCACGTTGCTTATGAAATACCTTTTCCAAAAAGGTAAACCAAGCAACCTCATATCCACCTAGAGATCTTGGGGAAGGGTTTTTGTCTCCTCCTTTGTTATTCACTCCATCCAAACCCTTACCTCCAAGGCTCTGAAATGGCAATTGAAAGTTTAGTGTCTCTCATAGAACATAGAAAGCTGCCTTATTTTCAGTCAGACCATTGGCCCATCTCACTCAGTATTGCCTACAGGCCTACACTGACTGGCAGAGGCTTTCCCATGTTTCAGATGCCAGTCAGATGCTATGGGGATGCCAGGGATTGAACCAGGGGCCTTCTGCACACAACAGCACCCCCTGCCCCATAGATGATACAAGGCGTGTTTTTACAGGATAGGCAGCTTCCTTATACAGTCAAAGCAATGGTCCACCTAGCTTAGTACTGTCTATGCTGGCTGGCAGCAGCTCTCTAGGGATTCAGACAGAGGCTCTGTCCTTCCTGACTCCTCCCCTTTCCCCTTCTTCATCAGGAGCGTTACGAAGCTGCCATCCAGCGCTCAACAAAGAAAACCTGGGCTGAAATCCGGCAGCACCGGTGGTCATGGGCTGGTGCCCTGCACCAGGGCTCCCCTGCTCACAAGGATGGTGAGTGGAGACATCTGGCACATGTGCATCTTTGTGTGGGCACAGACATGCATCCACGGGGGGGGGGGGCAATAAATAAGCGCATGTAGGCTGACCAGAGTGAGCTCGATAGGATCACTAATGGTAGCATGGGGGGAGTGGGGCTCAGTGCTTTTGCACGTGCATGCGCTTGATCAAGAAGGGGCCTTTGCATGCTGATTTGTAATTAGATTGATTGCAAACCAGCCCTTTTTGCATGGGGGCAGCTGGCCATGTATTTGCAGCTTGCTGTTCAGTAGGGCCACTAGCCAGTGGATGCTGTGGCATGGTAACTATGGTGTTGGATGCGCTGGTGTGGTGACACCCCTTCCTTACCTCCGTGCTATTCCGAACCTCCCACATCTGTTTCCTCACTTGTTTGCTTTTTTTGGACATCAGGTTTTGCAAGAGAGTGACACAACGCAGGTCTTCTTGGGGCTGGGCAGTGAGGCACGTGATGCTCTTGGCTCAATTGATTTAGTCCACAGGCACTGGCAGCACAAGCTTAGGTGCAAGGCTTTTTTTGTTATTCAGGGCACAAATATATAAGGGCTCAGTATCTGCAGGAGAATTTTCCATCCCAAGAAGCTATGATTTGTGATCGAAGATAGTTTCGAGCCCTTATGGTTGTGGAGAAGAGCTTGCAAGAGAGTATGCAGTTTGCTATGCAGGCTTAGCAGGGCTCCCTGCAGACAGCAGACAAGCCAATAATCAAAGCTTGCCTGGTAACCTGTGGTGAGTAACCATTCCCTCCAGGCAATCAGACGGGGAAGCTTTGCTAAAATCAGTTTTTATTTTCTTCCGGGCCTTGAGTGATTAGCATAGCTATATGACAGGCAAGCAACTGGATTATTGCAGTGCTCAGTTTGGTTTTGAACGCTGAAGTCCTGAGTGGGCTGGGACTAAACCTCCTCCTCCTAATTAGCACTATAAGCACTTTAGAGTGTTAGAAGCACTTTACATGTATTACGGTTTTGGAATCCTTATAGCAGCCTTGTAAGGTAGGTCTGTTGGCCATGACTGCTGTTAAATGGAACCCCCATGATCAGGGGCAGTATACCTCTGAGTACCAGAGTCTGGAAACAAACCTAGGAGAGAGGGCTGTTGCATTCATGCCTGCTTGTGGGCTTCTTGGAGGTACCTGATTCGTCGCTGTGGGAAATAAGATGCTGGGCTTGAATTACCTTTGGCCTGATCCAGTGGGGCTTGCTTTACTTTCTTATATAGCTCAGTGTTACTGTCCTAGCTGGGAGAGAGGAAGTGGCTTGCCTAAAGTCAGCTCAGTGAGTTTATGCAAGGGCAAAATTCAATCTGGGAACTTCCTGACAAACAACTCAGTCTCCTCTCCTCTCAAGAGAGATCCTCTTCCTATAGAAGCCCTCTGATCAGGAACTGGGAACCCTCCTCCCAAGTCCTATATTTTTACTTGGTAATAGGGCAACGGTTGTGGCCTCCTCTGTTTGGTTGCACCCCTAAGAATCTTTCTTTCATGAATGGAACCTCAAACAATGCAAACTTTTAAAAACAATTCCATATGCAACCATGTGCATGGAGTTGTTCTTAAATGTTTGCTTTGTTTTTTATATATAGAACTGTTTTTAACTGATGTGATACATTTCTTGTTTTACATTTGTTAACTCTCTCTGTGTGTGTGTGTGTGTGTGTGTGTGTGTGTTATAGTATATTTTATTGCTGTAACCCACTCTGTGACCTTCTGGTGAAGGACGGGTAAGAAATCTCATAAATAAGTTCCCAAACGCTTCGGCTTTTCAGAAAGACCCAAACCATCTAATATTTCCACAGGCGTTGGGCTGGTTATGAGTCTCACTTGAGGTTTTATGTATATGTGGATTAATGTAGTGTATTTATTTAATTGGCTTCCTTTGCTTTTTATAGTTTTGATATCACAGAGTTTTTCAAATTTTATTAGCTGTGTTTGGTTTTGAGGTAGGAAAGGTCACTAGTCTAAATAAATAGCTAAATACCTTTCTGAAATGATAGGTACTAGGGTTCATGCCTGCTGAGAAACTTGCCCTTCAGCCTGGATGTTCTTACCCTTAGTCCTAGATGGACTGAGGTTGGTTGATGGGTGGTTACAATGGTGGCAGAAGAACACTCTATATGTGTTTAAAGTACCTCTTTTAACATTATTTATTTGCTTGTTTGTGACTTTTGTGGCTGAGCAGGGAATCAGTACCCTGTCTCCCCTACTCCAAGACCACAACCGTTACAGTTCATGGTGACTGGCTAAGAGCTTGATCATCTGCATGTCTTTTCCAGTGGATTGTAATGACTTCTCATTGTGCCCTAGCTGTAATCTACACCTAGTGCTGTGACTCTGTACAGGACAGCTCTTCCTCCAGGGCAGGGGCTATACCTTCTCCAAATTGCAGTTTGTTATGACAAGTGAGACCTGCAACAAAATGTTGCCGCATATCCCCTCCTTCTGAGACAACCTTCCCACTTTAGGGTCCCACAGGCTGCTAGTTTGCAACTCCCATCTTTCCTTGCCATTGGCTGTGCTGGCTGGGGCTGGTATATTGTCCAAGAGGATCTGAGAACCCAAGGTTGGGGAACCTGATCTTAGAGGAATGCTTCCATCTAGAGCTCCAGCCAGTCTGAAATATGAGCTTTGTTCTCACCGGGGAGGACTGCATTTTGCAAAAAGAGGACAAATCACATATTTTCCTTCCTCTGTTTCCCCCCGCTAGATCTAGAAGGGTTTGAGTCAGCATCTTAGGCATTTTACAGCTTCAGGATACTCATTATAAGCTGTTACGGTAGGTGTGGGGAACCCTGAATTTTGCTAAACTATAATTTCCATAATCCCTAGCCATGTGTGCTGGAGCTGAGGGGAGTTGTAGTTCAGCAAAATCTGGAGGGCCACAGGTTCTCCATCCCTGCTACCAAAGGAGTGAGAGGGGGAAACAAGTCGTTGTGGAACTTTCTCTCATGGGGCTGCATCATAGTTCCTTCAAGCAAACTATGCAACAAGCTTAATATTTTACTATCTTAAGCTACAACCATCTCACATACATATATACCCAGATAAAAACTCTTTTATTTCCCTCTATCTCCTATCAAATTGCTGAGGGCCTGTCCAAATGCTATAGAAATCTCTCTTTGTCTGTCAGAAATTTGCCTCAGGGGAAATTTCCTCCACAGTTTACCTCAGAAAATGCAACCAACTGGGGCACCTGCATCTCCAGGGCTTTGCCGTCTGTCTCTGTGAACTCTTTACAAAGTACTAGATTTTAACAAAAGTTGTTGGACCACAGTTAATCTTATCCATTAATTTCAGGTATGACTAACATTGCATCTGAACCTATATGTTTTGGCATCAGGCTTTCATCAGTTTTGTCCTTCCCCAGAATCAATGAAAGGCCTACTGAGTGGCAGGTGTCTTGGTTGCCATGGCAGTGAACATGGCTTGTGAGCTTCTGACGGTGATGGCAAGAGTGGAAGGCCAGGCAAAAACTAACTACCAGTATCTACTGAACTATTATAGCATCTTAATAGTTGGGGGTACCAACAACTGCTAAATATTGAGAAAGAAGATCCAGCTATCTTTTGAGGCATTTGGTTACCTATTCAGGCCCAAATCTCAACATTGTTGCTTCAGAATGGAGATTCCTTCCTTGGAAAACCACAAATCTTGCCATTTTGATTTGAAGCGTCTTGATTGTTTTCAGCCCAGTTTGTTGTTTGGTGTCTGAGCCTGAAGAGGGACACACCTGTGGTTGGGCACAGCTATTTTCTGTACCACAGTCTGGCCTCCATCTTGTATTCACTGTGATAATGGAAATGTTTCATAACAGCGTTCAGGGATGCCAGGAACCTGGTATTTAAAATCTGCTACTAAGGTCCCAGCCTATATGTACTAATCATGGCTGCTTGATGGGACCTGATTTTGATAAAAGTGCAGCAGGAGCAGGCTATGAATCGGTGCCTGCACTTTCTGCTTTGGATGTAGAAGGAAAGGGTACTAGGCTCTTTATATCTTACCAAACAGGGCGTTTTTCTTTCACAAAACCCAGGATGTACTGCTTTCCTGGAGCTGTATACTCTCAGGCAGTGAATGTGCCAACCCTCCTTGTGTCAGGCTGAGCTTTGGCATGCCATTGAACAAGGTGTGGTGGTGCTGTGGATCAGCACGAGAACAGGTGGTGCTGGTCTTGTACCCTTGCAGACATGACACAAGATGGTGCAGACTGGCGAACCAAACACCACACTCCGAAACCCCTCCACCAAATGTCTCCGTTCCTTTCCTGCTCCTTCCACTGCATGACCTTTTGCCCTCTGCTGCTGCATGCTAGCATGACCGCCACTTCCCACCCCCACCGCCCTTAACACCCGTGTGTCTTTTCCCTCTCGTAGGTGCGGGCAGGTGCTCCCTCTCTGCCGTAAATCTCCCCAAACATGTGGACTCTATAATCAACAAGCGCCTCTCCAAATCTTCCGCCACTCTCTGGAACTCGCCCAGTAGAAGTAAGAGACCCCTTGGGGCACCCAGCAGTGCCAGGGTGAGGGAGGGCAAGGGGCGATACTGATTTAAAACCTGTATCCATTCCTATCCCATTGGCCAAGGGCTGGCGAACACGTTTAAAGCAATTATTATTATTTTTTAAGATACCTATAACACCATAAGAGTTTGAGTAGCAATTCCGCCCAAGCGCAGAAGTACAGAATTTGGTATTCAGCAAAAAATTCAGCATTGTAAGGACCTCAGCTTTAATCCTTTTTTAAATGCAAGTTTATAGTCCTGCTTTGTGAACATAGATCCTGAACGGCAGGGTATGCAATAGGGAAAGTAAACGGGTAGATCTGGGTGATAGGCACAGTGATATCAGAGACCCTGTTGTGCCCACATAACTGCAGTATGTGGAGAAGGAGGAGAAGGCGAGATTGTGGCTGAACATTAGGAGAAAGATGATGACAGTAATAAGAGCCATTTGACAATGGAACCAATGGTCTAGATAAAATAGAGTTGGTGGGCTCTCCCTCGCTGGCGGTCCTCAAGCAGAGGTTGGACCAAGTCATGTGCGGGGAAGATTCTCGTTCTGGACTTCCTGCAACTAACTCTGATTCTGAGGAAACAAACCACTGCCCCAAATAATAATGGGAACTGTAGTTCATTAAGCGTGCTGAGAGTTGTTAGGATATCCCTATTCTTCTCAATGAGTTACAGTTCCCAGAGTGGTTTAACAAACTCGCTTTTCCCAGAGAACACAGAGTAAGTGCCTTGGTGCCAGGCTCCCTGCAAGACGATGGGGCACAAGGCAGCCAGGTGCTGGATTTGGGCTGGGAGAGGGTCTGAGTAGGGAACGTGCTCAGATCTACCTCTTATGCAACATTAGGTTGCACATTTTAACCTGCAATATCAATGTGATACTTTCACAGCCCAGCCCCTATGCTGCATTACTAACGCTGGTCTACTCTCCAAGGTTGTTCTAAACTGTTCTTACTCTTCACTTCAGCCTAACTTCAACCTGCAATATTAACATTGGACTACATTGTAAGGGCTGTTATTTGAACACTTGCTTTTCAGCTATATTCTTGCCATATTAGTCGCTCCTTTCCTATTTCCTATAGCTAATCCTAGGTTTGACGCCAGATAAAATAACCAGCCCTGGTCTGAATGATTCTTCCTTCCTGCCTGTCTGCTTTCCATTTTTTTATCAGTTTAAATCCTACCCTTTGAAAGGCAAGCAAGGATGGAGCCAGGCAGGTGTTCATGGGGAGAGTGTTCCATAATCTAGGTGTTCCTGCATCAGGGATGGAGACCCTGTGTAGGATCCAGGTGTAGGATGTCCAGCTATCATGGTCAGTGGCCACACAATCTAGGTCAGATGGGGGGGGGGAGTGGTTGAATATGGAAGAAGCCAGAATTGAGGATGGGTAATATGGATGGAGGTGGAGATGCTAACCAGGTGTTGGGACATCTGTGGCATTGAGCTATCCGGACTCTTGCTTGCTGGCGAGGGGAACAGTTAAGAAAGTTGGTTTTCATATAGTGCTTTCTGAGTATTCAAAATGGTTCATGCATACTATCACAGTTGTCCTTACAAGACACTTGAGAGGCAGGGTGACATTATTGTCCCCATATTTCAGATCAGGTGGGTTGGCCTGAGGTTAAGAAACTAGGATTTTTCAATAGCCTGCCTGATTAGCTTGTGGCACAGAAGTGCTGTCTGGGGCTGATGGAATTTGTAGTCCAAAACATCTGGAGGGCAACGGGTTGGAGAAGGCTTGTCTATTTTATCTCAGTAATGCCAAGTGTGAGTGCCACTGGCTCCCCAAGGTCTCAGCTAGAGGTTGGGCAGTTACCTGAGCCTTTCCACCCCAATGAACTTTTAGCTGGAGATGTCAGGAATGAGTCCGTGCAAAACAAGCATACGTGACCACCGTTGCCCTCTGCAGAAGAACCTCTCGAACACACACACACACACACAGAGAGAGAGAGAGCGCTGACTTGCCACTGATCTTGGACACAGTGCTGAGATATACTTGCTCCACTTACTGCTCTTTCTACGCCCTTCCCCAAGTCTCTCTCTTTCTCTCTGTGCTGCAAAGGATAGTATTTTTCCCCCTAGTTGTTTTGTTTCCTAGTTGCTTAGTGATGATTAAAAATACCCTGGCCATCTGAACAAGATTCCGGAAGAGGCTAAGTGAACAGCAGAGTGAGGAGAGGCCTGTGTCTGAGTCAAGAGGGGCCCGCAAAGAGAACCATTAGCCTCAGAGGGATTGTCCATGTGGAATGTAGGGTTGGGTGGTGCCCCCCACCCCCACCCGCGGAGAAGGAGCTTTATCCAGAGAAGAATAGCATCCCCATTCAAGGCTTTGAAAAATATATTTGTGCTATTTGTTACTCCACTCTACCCCAACCCCAAATTCCTCTGTTCCAAGTGATCGTTGAGAAGTGTCTCTATTTTATCTGATTTAATATAAATTATTTTTTAAAAAAAAGTTATGCTGTAAGCTTGGTACAGGAAGCAATTCCTACAATATCTGACAACACAAAGATGAAATACCCTACAAAATAAAGTTATGTGGTATTATTTAAAGTGAATTAAAAATCTGCCCAACTGTGACCATTGAAAATAAGGATTTCTTTCTGGAATATGCTTGAGTCCCATTGTGGGATATGTCATGCCCATACTTAAGCTACATACCTTTTGCTTCCATCCCCCTCTTTGATACTGCAAACATCACATTTGTCATTATTGTGACTTGCTGCCTACTGGCTCAATCCGTACACCGAAGACTTTATCAGGTGCTGCTGGTCCAAATCTTAATATGTGTCAATATTGTTTGCTAAATCGTCTGCCTTGCCCAGAAAGTCAACTTGTCACTGCAGAAAGTCACTGCGGAGTCCTTTTATTCCTCTGGGGGAGGTGAATGGCTTTGGTTAGTTTCTCAACCAAGTGGACCTAAGTACAAGCCCTGCATCTGGCAGACACCTTTCTCCCCTCTGAACTGTTCCTCTGCAACCAGCCCTGCATATTGCTTAGGAGACAAAATGCCTTGTATTAGGTAGGCTTGGTCCCTGGCCTACTTTTGAGGAGAAAGTGATTCCGGAGTTTGTGCCTTGCTTGGAAGTCACCGGGAAGCAAACAACGAAATGGCGGCAAGACTCCCCTCAACTGAAAGCTGGAGGCTGAAGTTGTTGCAGAGTTGTTGAAACTGGAACTAGCAGGTCTTGGCCTAACGCGGAGCATTTTGTCTCCCTTTCCCCCACCAGATCGTAGCCTCCAGCTCAGCCCCTGGGAGAGCAGTATTGTGGACCGACTCATGACACCAACACTGTCTTTCTTGGCACGCAGCCGGAGTGCTGTGACACTTGCCGGCAACGGCAAAGACCAGGGTAAGTGGGAGCAGATGAAGGAACTGAAATGATATTGAGGGGGAGGACTTGTCCCATCTCTGATTCAGCACTATCGCGACTGGGTGGGGATAGTTCTTTTTTGCCAGGGCTGGCCCAAGACATTTTGCTGCCTGAGGTAGAAGAGCAAACGGCACCACTCACTCACCCACCCACCAACCAAGTCAAGGTGATTTATACCCCAAAGACCAGCCAAGCCTCTCTCTCAACACTGGCAGAAACAACAACAACGACAGTGATAAATTACATAATTTAATGATATTTGTGACACCTAAAATCCGCTGCCTCACTCTGCCTAATGGTAGAGCTGGCCTTGATGTTCTGCTAAACCCCTTCGTAAGTCCCACACTTTGAATCCTCCACCCTCTTCCTATAAGCATGTAACCCCTCCCTTTCGCCCCATTAAATTGGTGGGGGAAAGAGGCACCCTTTTACTACTAACCATTGTGCCAAATGAGTACGAAAGACAACTAGCATTTCATTTTTTTTCACTCAACTCTCATCTTTATTCATTTACAAAACTTGTATCCCAACTCCCCCCCCCCCTTTTTAAAGCAACCTCCATGTGGCTTGCAATTTGAAAGCAGGAACAGAACATCATTAATTAAAACAAAATAAAAGGATAAAACAGTATCGTAATGAAGGGTATCAGCCAGATGAATTTAGCATGTTTCATCAATATTTCTAAAGCAGCTGTATTAGTACTTCGTATTTCAGAATGAGATATTTTAGAAGCAAAATTAAGGAATGCTGATTATGCTTAGCTTGCCCTGTTTTCAGTACATTGGACTCAGCTACATTAGTAAAGAAACAGCGATTTGAATGCACTATAAACATGCAACACCAGATGGCTCCAGAGAGCAGGAAATTTTGAAACATGATTTTCCAAAGAGGTTTTTTTCTTTTCTTACAATGATCTAATTTCTGAGTTATTTATAGGGTGTGTGTCCCGTCCCCCCGCCCCATGGGTCTAGATCCACCCATTGTCTGTAAAGGTTGTGAGTGGGAACAAAGTAGTATCTCTGTATTGTCAGATTTTATTTACAGACTTCTATTTGCAAATAGTTTTATCTTTCAGTGGGACAGCACCTGTGCTTTGGAACTCCCTGCCTAGTGTCCCACATTCTATTGTTTTAGATGCCTGCTGAAAACTTATTTTTATTTCAGCAGCCATCCTAGGCACACAATTTACTTCTATGTGTTTGTTTTGTGTGTGTGCGGGTATATGTTTGTGGGTATCAGCTGTGCTTTATCTACAGTTGTATTATGTATTTCTCTTAGTGCACTTTGTGATTAAGCAGTTCATAAATCGTTCTAAATAAATAAAATACTCTTGGGCCTTCTTGTGCTCTGCTCTCTGGCTGGCCTATTGACAACTCCTCTCTCTCTCCTGTTCCAGCAGTACCCGTGTGCCCCCGCTCAGCCTCTGCCAGCCCCCTCAGCCCCTGCAACAACCAGCGCCTGCATCATCGCTGCTCAGAGCGACGGCGGCCGGCAACCAGCAGCCCTGATGTGACACCCCGGCGCAAGGCTGAGGCCTCCCCTGTGAGTGACTGTGTGCTCTTTCCCTCTCTTTCTCTCCCCCACATCCCCACCACTGATGAGCCACCTATGCCCATGTTCGTGACATAGGATGCTCTTTGAACATTTTGTATTTGAGCCTGACTGTCGTTGTCTTTGTTGGTGCTTCTACCAATGGCCCACTCCCTCTACCCTGCCTCATTCCCTCAGAAAAAGAAGGAGAAGAAGGATAAAGATCGGGAAAACGCCCAAGAGAAAAACGCCCTAGCGCTTCGCAAACGCAAGTCTATGCCGTCATCCCAGCCTCGCCAGCCGCACACACCTGAGAACAGGTAGGAGGAGCTCCTAGGGTGTGGGTGTGTGGTTCTGCTACTCCGTCTTCACTTGAGATTTGGCAGATCTTCGTTTAGCACTGCCAAGCAGGGCTCTCTGCATCAGGCTTTGCAGCGGTGCTGTTTCCTACCTATCCTCAGGAACATCAGGGCAGTAGCCATGGTTACCTTTATTTAGGCACGGGGAACCTCAGGCTCAGGAGCTAAGTGCTGCCTTCCAGACCTCTCCGTCCGGCCCTTGAGACTATTCTCCAACTCGGCCTCTTCCTCAGGCCACACCGCTGACGAGCCATGGTCCACACTCCCCTCCCATTCTTCTGCTGGGCTTGACTTTATTCTTGACATGTAACAATGGCTCTTGCTTGGATGGATGGATGGACAGTATAGACACCTCTTGACTATTTTGGGTGGCCTACTAGAATCACACCCATTGTCCCACCGCCACTGGCATGAAGCACCTGGAAGGCAACGCATGAAGGAATATAGCCCCCAAGCTAAAAAAAGCTTCCCCAGTTCTGCTGTTAGGCTGTGGCCACATACTGAGTGAACTAGGAATAAGTTTACATTTGCCCTCACTGGTTCTTGGTAATTTGGGCCTAGCTTGGCATCAAGTCAGCAGGACAGTGCTGGTTGGTTGGTAAGGTGCAGCAGCTTTTCCTTTCCCATCTGACTGTGTGTATTTGTGTTCCAGCAGCCCAGGCCCCAAGCCCAGGCCTGCATCTCCAGCTGTTGCCAAGCAACGCCCAGCCTCACCTAGCACAGGCCCTGGTTCTCCACATCGGGCAGGCCTGAATCGCAGCGCTCAGTCCTCGCCCAAAGTGCGGCCTCGCAGGGAGCACGACGGGCAGCCAAAGGTCCGTGAACGCAAGGATGAGCAGAAGGAACGAGGGTCAGCCTCCCCTGCTCCAAGTGAGACCCCCAAGGTCACGGGGAGCAGCGAAACAGCACAAGGTGAGGCAATATCCTGCTCTCCATTGTAGAGGGATTTTGAGTGAAGGTTGTCTTCTCTTCTTAGGGAGGTGTTCTAACCACATATTGGTATTCCGCTGACATTTGAAAAGACACTGGCATTTCCTTGGTCCCTTGAACAAGTCCTGTTTCAATTGCTGTGTGGTTTTAAATAAGATTGATTTATGGCATATCTTAATTACCGGTGTTTTTATTGTTTATTACGAATGTTTTCATAGCAAGTAAAATTTATATCCTGCCCTTCCTCCAAAGAAGCCCAGAGTGGCAAATATGTCAGTACTAAAACAATACAATTAAAACTTCTAAAAAGTGTTTAAAGAGCCTTCTAAAACCAGGTGAAAACTCCTAAAAACCATCACCTCCTCTCAAAACTAATAATTTCAGGGTTGCCAGGGACAGGTCTTTCAGCCAGCCAATGCCTGAGTAAACAGAAATGTTTTTAAATTCCTCCTAAAAGGAGGCAGACCACCTGGGAAGCACCACCAAGAAGGCCCTGTGTTGCATTTCACTGCCAGCCAGGCAGCTTCCCAGTGGGAGCACCACCAACAATTAATTGTAATGTTTTATTCGTTGTGTATTTTAATTATGAATGTTTCTGTTTTTAGTTATTGTGTAGCTGGTTTTCATGCTTTGTAAACTGCCTAGAAGCCTTCTCTGCCACTGAACAGTACATAAATTAAAATTCAGTGGAGATGACAATGTGTTTGGGGCTCTGCAGATGCTGCCGCTCCCTCTGGGGCTGCGAGTCCAGTGCCCGCTCCTCCTCCTCCTCCTCCAACTCCAGGCAAACCCATGGCAGGCACCACAGACCGAGAGGAAGCTGCCCGGCTCTTGGCTGAGAAACGGCGTCAGGCACGGGAGCAGCGGGAACGAGAGGAGCAAGAGCGCAGGGAGCAGGAGGAGCAGAAGCGGTGAGTCCCTGGGTTGAGATTGATCAGCCATTTAGACATTCAGATTTCTAGACCTTATGATGTTCATTGTGCAGGTGGAGCATAAAGCTGGTGAAATCCTAGAATCCCAGATGAAGCTGAGGCATAAGAGGCATTAGGCCCCCCACTTCCCTTGGAGGCAATGTTCTGCTGGCATGTTGTCCCCACAACCCACCAGTCTTTTGGTCTTCACTTTCTACCAAGTTCTTGTTTAAAGATTTCAGTTTCTTTTGAGGGGGAAAGGGAAGCAGAATAAATAAATAAATGCAAGCATCTCCATTAGGCTGCAAGATGTGGGCTTTCTTGGCAAATCATTTAGGGGTTTTCAGTAGAGAATTTGGATTCATGGTGTGCACAGGGCACATGCAACAGGTTGAGTGAGGGCTTGGTTTAGCTTTATTAAATTTGTTCATTGGCATCCCACAACCAAAGGAAGCTCCAAAACAACTTGCAGAAAGAGAAATACAGTGGTACCTCGGGTTACATACGCTTCAGGTTACATACGCTTCAGGTTACATACGCTTCAGGTTACAGACTCCGCTAACCCAGAAATATTACCTCGGGTTAAGAACTTTGCTTCAGGATGAGAACAGAAATCGTGCTCCGGCGGCGCGGCAGCAGTGGGAGGCCCCATTAGCTAAAGTGGTGCTTCAAGTGAAGAACAGTTCCAGGTTGAGAACGGACCTCTGGAACGAATTAAGTACTTAACCAGAGGTACCACTGTAAAACCTTCAAGTACAAGCAATGGCAATCTGTCCTGTAAAATAATGCAAATTTACTAAAAGTGTCCATCCAATTAAAAGCAAATATAGCCACACCTCTTCAAAACAAATGTCAACACCACAAAATAGCTACTGAAAGCCAAAATCATTATTGTTCTCCAGATGCCTGTGATTAAATAAATATGTGCCAGGGAAACCTCCCTGCGGAGATCATTCCATAATCGGGGGAAGGGGTGGGGCTTCGACAGAAAAGGCTTGTTCTCTTCTTGCCACCCTCCAACTCTTGAAGGGGGCACACTGAGAATCCTGAGAGATGTTTCACTTGTGTTTAGCTTGCAAACCTGTTTTCAGGCCCTTGAATGATAATAACGCAGTGCATTTGACCACGTGTATATTCCATCATTGTCCAGATCTCTGGAATTAGGGCAAAATATTCCCAGAGCGGGGGATGTGGCTTCCAGGCAGCCCAGTTTTAACATAATATCAAATCCCATTTTTTGTGCTTTCCCCCCAGTATAGAGGAAGGGCTGAAGGGCAAAACACCTGCTTTTCATACAGATCTCGGGTTCACTATCCGGTATCCCTAAGTAAGGCTGGGAGAGACCTCATCTGAAATCCTGGAAAGCCACTATCCATCAGTGTAAACCAGGGCTGGCCCACCTATGAGGCAAAGCGAAGCAACTGCCTTAGGCAGTGGGATCCAGAAAGGCAGCAGATACCAATGTAGATCTTTCTCCCCCACCCCCCTTGTTTCTGATGTAATAATAATAATAATAAATAATAATAAATTTTATTTATATCCCGCCCTCCCCAGCCGAAGCCGGGCTCAGGGCGGCTAACAACAATAAAACAGTACAAAAGTACAGCACAAACAACACTCTAAAATCATTCATTATAAAATTAATTAATTCAAGCCACTGGCAACCATTGGGCCAGAGCTCCGCGAAGATTGCCGAGGGAGGGAGTCAGGCTGTGCCCTGGCCAAAGGCCTGGTGGAACAGCTCTGTCTTGCAGGCCCTGCGGAAAGATGTCAAGTCCCGCAGGGCCCTGGTCTCTTGTGACAGAGTGTTCCACCAGATCGGAGCCACGGCCGAAAAAGCCCTGGCTCTAGTTGAGGCCAGCCTAACTTCTCTGTGGCCTGGGACCTTCAAGATGTTTTTATTTGAAGACCGTAAGTTTCTCTGTTGGGCATACCAGGAGAGGCGGATGTAGATCTTCACTCACCCCTTTTTCCCTGGCGGGGAGGAAGGTGCCATTTTGTGGTTCGCCTCAGGTGTCAAAATGTATTGGGCCAGCCCTGGTGTAAACAATATACTAAGCTAAGTGGACCAGTGGCCAGACTCCATATAAGGCAACTTCCTATGTTCTCCCCGTGGAAGTGGGAGGGTGGATGGGCCCGAAGCAGCTGTTGTAATGGTGGTGTTTGGTACCCTTAGGCGCCTAGCAGAGGAGCGGGCTCAGCAGGATGCCAAAGATCGGCTACAGCAACAGGCTGAGCTCGCCAGGTTGGAGGAGGAGCGGCGGCAGCAGGAGGAGGAGCGGGCCCAGCAGGAGGAGCGCGAGGCCCAGGATCGGGCCCGAGCTGAGCAGGAAGAGCAAGAACGGCTGCAGAAACAAGTGTGTTTGCTGGGGTTTTTATTTGCTGCTTCTCAGGGACTGCAAGAAACAATATAAAACAGTTTTAAACAGTTTTAAAAACTTACAGTTAAAAAATTACCTCTAGGTAGGGACGGGAGAGACCCTGCCTGAAGTCCTGGAGAGCCACTGCCTGTCAGTGTATACAGTACTAAGCTAAATGGACTAATGGTCCGGTCTACGGTAGATCGGGGTGGCCCTATCATTGGGAAAACTGAGATGGCTGCCTCAGGTGGCAAACGCTGGAGGGCAGGCAGGGGTTGGCAAGATGTTGGAGAGCAAGGCATCATGCAGCCTGTGCTGCACCTCCTATGCCAGGCCACAGACTGCTATGGGGCACTTGGATTGTGTAAACCTAAATCTTATGGTCTTTGCTTGAATCCCTCCAGCAAAATAATACCATGCTAAAGGCACCCTAAGACTCAAGTGCCAGTTATGAGGAACGGCTAAGGGAGCTGGGCATGTTTAGCCTGGAGAAGAGGGGGTTAAGGGGTGATATGATAGCCATGTTCAAATATATAAAAGGATGTCACATAGAGGAGGGAGAAAGGTTGTTTTCTGCTGCTCCAGAGAAGCGGACACGGAGCAATGGATCCAAACTACAAGAAAGAAGATTCCACCTAAACATTAGGAAGAACTTCCTGACAGTAAGAGCTGTTTGACAGTGGAATTTGCTGCCAAGGAGTGTGGTGGAGTCTCCTTCTTTGGAGGTCTTTAAGCAGAGGCTTGACAACCATATGTCAGGAGTGCTCTGATGGTGTTTCCTGCTTGGCAGGGGGTTGGACTCGATGGCCCTTGTGGTCTCTTCCAACTCTATGATTCTATGATTCTATGGTGATACTTGGTACATGAAATTGTGCGAGTGTGTGGACATTTTTGCCTCAGATGACAGAATGTCTTGGACTGGGGCTGTAATGCAGGGTTGGTGTGCTTTTCAAGGGAGAAGGTGCTTTCAGGCACTTGGGGGCATTTTAGGGAACCAGACAGGATGGAGAAGCACTACCATCCAGTGGTAGCAACTGGTTACATTTTCTAGGGTGGAAATTACGTTTTGATTCCCTATGAATTTAGGGGAGTGGGTGCCTGCAATTTCTCTCTTTGATTACTGTGTTGAGCCCCATGTCCCTGGCAAGCAAATTAGGATAGGCGTGATTGAAGTGTACACACTTGCTGTGATTTAACCAGCAAATTCAGGTTGCATGATTTGTTTTGACTTCACCCAAATGTATGAACTTCTTCTGTTGGCTGCAGAGGGAGGAAGCAGAGGCCCGTGCACGCGAGGAGGCCGAGCGCCAGCGGGTGGAGCGTGAAAAGCATTTCCAGCGGGAAGAACAAGAGCGGCTGGAGCGGAAGAAGGTGGGTGTGCCTTTCTATGCAGGGGTGTGTGGGGGTGACTGAACAGCCCAGATTGTCTGGCTAGGTGGAAGAAAGAGAGAAGGCAGCTGTCTCACTTTGCCCAATGGTAGGGCTGGTCCTGCACAATTGCAAAATGCAAAGTGATCACTTGTACACCACAAGCAAAGGCTTGCACTGCTTCCTCCCACTCCCAGTTGGCACCCATGACTGAGAAAGTGGCAAATGTTTGTCTGTGAACAGGGACAATGTCTGACAACCTTCTTCCTCCTCTTTCTCTCTGCAGCGGTTGGAGGAGATCATGAAGAGGACACGAAAAGCAGATGGAGCTGATGCCAAGGTGAGTCATTCTTCAGAAAACGGGTCAGGGATGACGTCTTTTTATTTAATTTATGTCTTGCCGTTCTTCCATCATGGACCCCCAAGGCTGCATACGTGTGGTTCTCACAAGGTCCCCCATCCAAGCACTGACCAGACCTTGACATGCTTAACTTCAGCAAAGCCTCAGGTGCCTTCATACCCCAAGCCCTAGGGCTGGCTTGCCCTTAAGCAGGTGGTGAGCCACTGTTTGCTGGGCCAAGGGACTTTGGTACCTGAAGCAGAACATGCAGTTGGCAGCCCTCATTATTAATGATACACCAACTGCTCTTGCACAACACCTCTGTGTGTTTCTATGGTACTTTTGCAGGAGGGCTTTTCGGATCTGACCTCAGTGCAACCCATAATCTGCCATCTCATGGTCAGACACTCTCTGGGCCCTTGAGCTCTTCATCCCAGGGACCTTTGCAGGACCTCCTGGAAGGCAAGGCGGGCCTACTTCTACCCCAGGAAACAAAACGGGCCAAGCTTAACTTCTCCAGTGTGCTTGTTCCAGACCTGCTCTCTCCATGGCCTCTGGGACAGAATGACAGTACAGTAGTCAGTCAGTCAGATTTACTTGTTCATCACAAAAATACAAAGCCAGTGTGGGCTGTAATCTATTGGACATGACTAACGTAGTTCCATTTATTTCATAGGGTCCATTTATTTCATAGAGTTAAATTTTGTTAGAAGTACATTTCACTAGGGGACGTGGGTGACGCTGTGGGTTAAACCACAGAGCCTAGGACTTGCCGATCAGAAGGTCGGCGGTTCGAATCCCCGCGACGGGGTGAGCTCCCGTTGCTCCTGCCAACCTAGCAGTTCAAAAGCATGTCAAAGTGCAAGTAGATAAATAGGTACCACTCCAGCGGCAAGGTAAACGGCGTTTCCGTGCGCTGCTCTGGTTCACTACATGACCGGGAAGCTGTATGCCGGCTCCCTCGGCCAATAAAGCAAGATGAGCGCCGCAACCCCAGAGTCGGTCACAACTAGACCTAATGGTCAGGGGTCCCTTTACCTTTACCTTTACATTTCACTAGAAGTACATTTTAGCATTGTTGGTCTCCAGCACGCAGGACCCCCCTGCTCCATGTTGTACAGTGAAATTACAGCTGATCCTTTGAGCTGCTAAAACAACATAGGAACCTTATATGTAGTGTATTTATCCCTATCCATGAACAAATACAGTAACAGATTTTCTCCCTCTTACTACCTGGAGAATCGGGCAAATTTAACAGTTGGCATTTGTTTTTGCAGAAGAAAGACAACAAGAAACTTGTGAATGGGAAGGAAGGGAAACAAGAGGGCGAGGCAGACACAGGTGAGAACCACCCCTTGTACCGGATGCTCTGCTAATTATGAAAGGGCAGGATCACAGGATGGTTTTGGAATCTGGCCCCCTGCAGTTCTGAATCCAGGTTCTAACTCCAGGATATTGCCCACTCTCTAGTCAGCTATACTTTTGTCCAGGTTGTGTCCATAACAAATAGTCACGGAGAGGGAGCTGCAGTCACAGGTAGCAAAGACCTGACTTGCAAGCATCTGGACACAGACAATGAAATGGGCTTGACCAGGAAGAGGGCATAACTTGACCAAGGAAGTCTTTGTAGCACTTCCAAGCAATTGAAAAGGTTTGTAGCAAACGAGTTGAAGCCTGAGGCTGCCTCAGTGGGTTGCATGGCTGAGGTCTCTGTCCCTGGATTCAAAGGCCTCTTGTAGCCTGTAACAACCTCTTTTCCTACATTCCCAGATGGAGAAAAGCGCCCTGGAAGCCTTCCCAAGGAAGAGGAGCTGCCTGAGATGCAGGCGTCAAGTCCAGCCGGTCGCAAGGGGCCAGCCCCTGAGGGGACCCAGCACAGGTACCATCTACAGCAGGAGTGACGTGTTCTTAGCTCAAGTTGGTGCCAGTTCCTCTGTTACAGGAGCAGCATAGTTGCTACTTCCCTGAGATCTTTCCTACACCAAAATGAAGGAATGTATACATTGCAGGCCAGGGGGAGCGGGGATCTCATGTGCGAAGAACCACCAGGGGTAGGAGAAGCATCTATAGTGCTACTCTTCCCCAGGGCTTCCTGTCCTTCTTCATCATGGTTGTGTGACCTGTGGAGTTTGTGGGAAGCAGAATAAACCAAGTGACAGAGAGGGATTTTAAACACATTGCCAGAAGATGGTTTATTATAGCCTCACCCAAGATGTTTTGGGCTACAATTCTCTTCAGCAGGCTGATGGGAATTGCAATCCAAAACAACTGGAGGGCACTAGGTTGGGAAAGGGTAGTTTATTGTAACCCAGACAACAAGACCAACATTCTTTGGATCACCAGAACCTTTATCTGGGGTAACTAGCCTTAAGACTAGACATTCTCACATGGTCGCGCCTAGGAAATTCCAGTGGCGACAAACATTTGTACGAGTTGTTGTGCTTTTCCCATGGTGCAGTGTCTGCATATTCTGCCCATTACTGAATACTTTATTCAGAATACACAATTCTGAATACTTTCCTTTAAAAAAAAGCAGGTTACTAGTCCTTATGGTTGCAGATAGGCCAAAAAGAAGTGGACAGTGCTTGGTGTAATCTCAGAACCCAGATGGAGAGTGAGTGCGTCTGTCTGTGTGTGTGTGTGTGTGTGTGTGTCTTACCAGGAGCAGAGCAGATTGTGCAGTGTATGCGACTTGAGGAGGGCTTGATTTTGATTGCAGTTTTCCACACTCTGTGGTACAGGTTTTTTTGTTGTTGTTGTACACTGCCACCCACCCCCCTTGCTTTCTTCTTCCCTCTTTGAGACAGGCCTTTGCTTGCCACATCTCCATCTGACACCCTCTCCTCTCTTTTGGTTGCAGCTGTCCTGTGGCTCCTGCCCTGTCCCTGGTGAACGGCCTGCAGCCCAGCAAGCACGAGAACGGCTTTTCCTCCCCCAAGGAGCCCAGCGGGCGGGAGCACCCCGTGAGCCCCGGGTTGAGCATGGCTGGCGAGCCCATCCTGCCTTTTGCCAACAAGGAGCCCTTCCTCAGCAAGGCGGTAGCAAAGCCCCCACAGATCACAGGTGAGGGACTGCCCCTTTTTTGTCCAGCAAAGTTCAGGAGCTTTAAGCAAGTTAAAGGGTGTGCTTCATATGCAAAAAAACCTGGCCCAACAAATGCCCTGAATAGAGGCAGTGGCAGGCAGGCAAATGGTCTGGAAGTCAGTACAGAGGATGTGAACTTTTATTGGGATCAAACGGTTCTTAGGGTCCCATGGGCCCAAGTTGTTCAGGGCTTTGTGAATTAGCACATAACCGTTGAACCTGGCCTAGTGGTAAACATGGTCCACCTAATGTAGCATTGCCTGTTACACTGATTCCAGAAGCCAAGGCTTATTGGTGCTTGTGAAAAGCCATAATCAGTTCCTACATGGCAGGAGCTAAGCAGCTGGTTTTGGCCGATTCTTTTTTGGAGGCAGGAGGCAGGCTAGAAGATGCTCTGCAGCTCTTCCAAGTGTCTCTGATCCCTTTTTAACTTCTTTGTCTCCTGCAGAGGTTCTGTAAAGCAGCGACACCACCCTCCCCCACCCCAAAGGATGGGTGCAAACAAGGTGCCAACTCCAGGCTAGCTCTAACCAGAAGATCAGCCCAAGGCTCTCCAACCTGCAAGGATCGAGGAGGTGTCAGGAGCCAGGCTGGGGGCGGCCCAGCCCCACGGACTCTTCTCTTTTCTCTTACTGTTCTCATTTTATGATTATGATTATTTTTTTAATATGCACCTTATCAGACTGACCCTCAACCCATAGCTCATCCCAGACGATATAATCACATAGTTATTTAACTGGCTGGGTACAAAGGATGTTAATAATGTACATAAACTTCAGTGTTAGCATGGGATTACGCAAGCAGTTACCTCTGTGGTATCGCTGCCCCAAAACATGTATTCATGGGAGATGCCTTTGGTGGGTTACTTTTTTTAAATGTGGGCTGAGTCATGGCAGGGGAGATTGGATCCCTTGTACACGGTTGGGGTCTGTGTGCAAGAGTGTGCGTATGTGTGTGTGTGTGTCTGCCTGTTACAGCCAATGGAAAGCGTCTAGATTTCTAATTTAAACTCTCACTATTGGTCCCAGCCAGAATACCTGCAGGAGTGTGTGTGTGTGCACCATTAGCCACTCAACAACTGCCGTTGTCCTACACACTGTGCTTTTTTTGGGTGCTGCTGTTTCTGTGTGTGTATGTGTTTCGTGCGTGCGATGGCTGGGGCTGTGTTTCGCTCAGAGTCATTGTGACAGTATTATGCATCTGAACAACCTTTTGTGGACAATAAAATGGAGAAATGGCAGGTGACATCTCTTCTTTGGGCTGAATGTTTACAGGCTGTGCTGGGTTTACCTGCTGGAAGGACTAGGACAGTAAGCAACCTCACGCCACCTCCCGGACAGTTTGCTCCTACAGTTTACAGTGGTTTGGAGCTATGGGGCAGTAGCCATGTTCTCCTTCCCAGGGCACTGGGATGGAGCAATACAGACCCTGGAGACATGTAGAGAGAAGCAGATGGAATAGTATGCACACAGCCTTAGTAATTTTGATGCTCTGGTGGTCAGTTTAGACAGTTACCAGAACCAAGTGGCTTTTCCTGAACAGTACCACTTCAGTATAAAGAGGAGAAGGAAGTGGAACTTTTCTGGAGTTTTCTGTGGGGGCGGGGAGTACTAAAAATACAAAAAGATACTAGTCTTGTCTCCTCCAAACTTTGGTCAAGAATCTTGAGTCTGGGATGGTGCTATGCAGAGGAAATCTCTCAATGGCTCGGCTGACCAGCAAGCAACCCCGGTGCGTCCCCATCTGCACACCTTATTTTCTCTTCTATAACTGAACAGCTGCCATTAATTCCTGTGGAGCAATGTATAATAATGCAATGCACTGGAGGACAATGGTTCCTCCACTGCCAGGAGCATCATGGGGGCAGGGGAGAGAGAGCAATGCCTCCGTTCTCAAGCGTAAGGCAACGTACAGTAAATAAATTGCATTAGACACACGAACCACAAACCTAACAATAAGCAGCACAAGAAAACCCAGACGACCACCAACTGACTAAAAACCCATCAGAAGCTTGCTAGAGGAGGGGAGGGAGCTGCCACTTGCCAGACAGCCTGGCAGAGAGCCAGCGGGATCCCTAGAAAGAAATACCTAAAGAGAAGAAGCCGCTGAAGTTTCACCTTTTCCTCCACACCTTCTGGAGGAATTGAAACCTGAGAAGCCCAAGTGGCTGAAATGGGGTGGGGGGTGGGAATTGTGTGCATGCAGCGTGGGTGTCGGGGAGAGCCCCCCTCCCACACGTTGCAATTGGCAGAGGCTGCTGTCTGTTGATGGCCCTGCCGTCTCCTCCTGGGAACTTCTTAATATAGGGCTGCCAAAATATCAAAAAGCAAATTACGGTTTTGAGCTATTTTTAGGAAATTTGCCAAAAATCTACACTTCTGACATGGGTTGCCATACGTCCGGATTTTCCTGGACATTTTAGCGATTTTCCACCCGGGCACTGTTTGCGATGGCCAAATCCCTCTATGTCCAGGAAATTGCAGACATATGTCAACCCTACTTAATAGAGCTTTCCTGCGCTAGCGCAGAGCAGAGAGCATCTGCAGGCGGGAGAGGTTGGGATGGGGAAGCTGGAATCCTGATTTTAGTCCTGCAAATGGCCTTGTGAGCTGGCTTTCTTTGGAGCTCCGTTTGCAAGGTTCTTGTTACTGTTAGAGAAGCGAAGAGGATGGTTTCAAAGATATTTACCCCCTCCCTTTTTTTTTACCCCTAGTCAGGGCGAGGGATGCGATTTCCCCAGTAGGCCACATCCTGTTTGCATTGCCTGCCGGCTGAAACTCTTGATGGGAGTGCTGAATGCAAGATTGCTTCAGCATCGATGGTTCTGGACGGTCCCATTTCTCTGCATTGCTTGTTTGGAGCACCAGCTGAGCTCTTCAAATCAGCTCTCACCTCCTCTCCCTCCCCGGTGGTTTTAGACCTTGAGATCTAAGTGATACCTGGAAATGCCAAAGTAGTTTCCGTGCTTTGGAGAAAAGCTGCAGTGGTAACACTTCTACAAGTTTGGGTTCAACATCTGGATGAAATGAGCTTCTGTCTGTTTTCCAAGCGGGTAAAAAAGGGTTTGCATTTTGAGTAGCAGCTGGAGACAGCAACCTTAAAAGAATAATCCTAAACATGAATTGGAAACCAGTGTGACTTACTTGGGAGCAAATGTATTTTGGAGCAAGGTTCTAGTGTGAAATGCAGAGATGGTTCCTCTCATGAGTCCCAGCCAGTAGGGCCAGTTCTTTTCAGGAGTAATGGGAAGGCCACAGATTAGGCATCCTGACTCAATCCATTTTGGTTCTTGCATCCTTATCCAGGTCACTGAAGTGAGAGGCCGCTGAATAGTCCTATCTCTTGATTTGTAATTACCGGTAACTCATCCTTTCTAGGCTTGCTTTGAGTTACTTTCTAGAGATAGATGCTGGCATCTCCAAGGGTTGGTTGGTGCCTGTACACTTGATTCTGCCTTGTGCATGTGTCCAGCTCCCTCTTGGGGACTACTAAATTTTGCCACACTTGGTAGAAAGGAGATTAAAGACTGTGAAGAAACAAAATGAGTTCTCCTTTTTAAATTCCTTCCTCCAGCTAAAAATGCAGCAGATGTTTCCTTTTAAGGATTTTGCTGCCCACGCTTGTAATTTTTATTTTGTGGCTTGAGTGGGTCAGAGACAGTTTGCTATTCTCCGCCTCCTCAAACCCTTCTCCATGGTAACTTGCTTTATCACAGGGATGGGGAACCAACTGTAGCCCTGCAGATGGTGCTAGACTTCAATTCCCAGATTCCTGTCTAATTGCCATGCTGGATGGAGCTGTTGAGAGTTGGGTCCCAACAGCCTCTGGAGGGTCATGGCATCCTCCTATCTGCTCTGTAGTTTGTCCATGTGTACTGTGTTGGTCCTGGGGGGAATCTCGCTCCGAGTGTGAGGTGCTCAAAAACAGGCAGGTATTCCAAGCTATGGGGAAGGGTTCAGTGGTGGGTCCCACATTCAATCTACAGTCTCGTGGATTCAGCTGGGAAAGACACCTGTCCAAAATCCTGGCAGGCCCCTACCAGTTTGCCCCTAGACTAGGCATCGGGAGCTTTTAGCCTACAAGCCAAATTTGGCCTGGCACAGGATCGTTGGATTTGCAGGGCTGTTTTCCCCAAACCTGCTCCACATTTGATGCCATATGTGTAGCTTGGCCAAAAGACCAAGCCCACTTGAGCAGCTTCCAAGGTGCCCAATAACAAGCTGAAAGAATCCCTGCCCCTTGCATGCATTGATGCAAAGAAGCACCTGGGAGGATCACAGAGCCATTTGCTAGCCTCCGACATCTGGGTACAGAGCATAAAGGGGGGATCATAAAGGGCCTTGTGAGCATCTCCACACCTCCCCTTTGCACCCTGGACATAGGCAGCACAAAGAAGAAATCCTTTGCAAATGTACTTGAAGCAGCTACCCACTTGCTCCAATATTTTAAGCGGGGTGGGGACTGCTGCTGCAGAGAATGCTCATTAAAATGGAAGACTCACAAAGCTGAAAAAGGGATTTTGACAGCTGGGCAGCCCCACCTTCAAGTTTTAAGTGTCTAAATATTAGGTAGGCAGCTGCTGATTTATTATGATGTTATTGATATTTACTGTCAGTTTTTCACCATGCTGAACTTTTGTTGAAGGATGGTCTACAAATGATTAAAATAATGCACCTCAGTTGAATGTTCTTGTAACGGCATGGGTTGCTGCAACTGGTATCCCTTTTGCAGTTGGAACCTTGGGTTCAATGCTAGAAATTCCCCAGGCTGGTCCAATTGCAACCATGTGGAGAGCTCTGGATGCCAGGTTGGCGACTGACATCTCAATATGGCCGGCCCCTTCAGCCTTAAGCAGGTAAGCAGAAGAGCTTATTGCATTTTTATCCGACCTCTTCCTCCAAGGAGTACAGTACATGGTTTATGTACCTCCTCAGTTAATCCCTACAACAACCCTGTGAGGTAGATTAAGAGACTGTGACTGGCCCAAAGTCACCCAGCGAGCTTCATGACTTGAGTGGGGATTTAAGCCATGATCTCCCAGGTTAATTCTAACCACTACGGCACACTGGCTTCCGGAGTACTTCTGCTATGCTATATAGGTAAATAAATATGTTGAAGCAAAATGCCACTTAGAGAAGGATCTTGAAGCTTGATATTTGTTATATGCTGGATTGTTTTATTTGATGTTTTAATGTGTTGTAAACCACTTTTGAGTTTTTTTCCTTTAAAATATAAAGTGGTATTGAAATGAAATTATTATTAATAACTGCAAAAAAGACATTCCATTGTGGCAACCGTAACCTAGCTTTAAGGCACCATTTTAGGATTAGTTTATATATCTGAATTTCTAACACTGCTCAGGTTACACTGCAGCTGAATCGGTGGCTGGGGAAATGATGTCAGCAACTGTCTTTGCTGGTGGTAGCCTTTTTGCCATGTTGCAATTAAGTAGTACAGTAATGTCCACCATTTAGGGGAGTGAAGCAGGGCTTGGGCTTTATCCACTCAGATTTGCAATTTCTAATCTCTTTTGTCTTTTTTTCATCCCAGGTGCCGCAGGGGTGCCAGTTGTAGTAACGCTGCAACCACAATTGGAGCAGTAGTGCTAGATGCCTTACCTGAACTAATACAGGACTTGGGGTTTGTTTGTTTTTTTCTGCTAGTTTATGTGAAATGATAGCAACTCATGAACAGCCAGTTAAAAATTGAGATGTCCATAGCACAGAGGATACACGCCAGGGGCAAGCAAACTTTAATAGCAAAAAACATTTGCTTAATATGAATGTTGTTGGCCTGCCAACAGTTACCAGCCAAAAGGGCAAAGTGATATCATATAATCCCAACAAATTACAGAACTTTTTATATTGCAAAGCAGGAATCAGGCCATCCTGTATTAACACTGCCAACCAAAAACATGTCACTAGATACCTGTTTACTCATGGTCTTAATTGGTTGTTGCCTTCATGATGTCAGTAATGTCCTTGAGTGCTCAGTATCACAGAATAAGAGCTGCACAAGTGTTACTACCTACAGTCAAGTCTAGTCAGTGTCCTCTTCTGGAAAACCTTTTTAGCTCATCTTGGCTACTGTATTCAACTGTTTTAATAAAACCTTCATTTATACCAGTGTATGGATTGCTTTCAATGCATTAAGGAAGTTCATAATTGGTGAAGTACACAGTGACTATTCTCACCCACCCTTGATGGGCAGACACCAATGAGGTTTTGCGGAGTATTAACAAAAACCGCACTGTTGAAGAGAGTATAAGTTGGGGCCCTCTTACATTCCCAACAGCATTTTGCCTGCTGTGCAGTAAGCAGAGCCCTCCTTTGTGCTCCCAAACACAAAGCAGGCTTTTAATTTAACTGTTTTCCAAAAAGGCAGCTTGGAGGAGTTTTGTCTGCTGTTGGTTTTGTAGGTGTCTTGAGAAAATTCAGTCCCCTTCAAGTCTGCGATTACAGGATGAGAAGGGGACTGTCAGACTTGGGCTCCTGCCTACTCTCTCTGAGAGGACTTCAGCAGCTCCCCACACCAACTTGCTGGCTTCTTAAAGCTCACCAGTTATGAATGAGCATATTCATATGGTACATGGGACCTTGCAGTCTCTTGTGAGCCCTGCTCTATGCTCTCACGTGCTTTTGCCTGGCTAGAATGAACAGCGGTAATGCCTCTTGTGTATATGGATTTGTGAATGACTGTAAAAACCGTGTTCCTGCAAGGCTGGAATGTGGCCTGCTGCACAAAAGCAGTGTCACGGCTGCTGCGCTACTATATCTGTCTCTGACCCCACATTTTGTCTGCCCCCCAAGTTTACTACTAGCAAACATGGCCCTTTTTAACTGAAAAAAAGGTTTTCCCATCCCTGTTTAAAAAGTGCACTCTCTGTGCCAGATAACATTAAATCCGAAGAGCTACCAAAGCCTTTCTCCCATCTGTAGACGGATCTCATTGTCTCTTCCTCCTGAAGCTTCTGCCTGGACAGAGACATGGCTGTAGCTCTTAAGAGGTCCAGGGTCCCCACAGTTCCAGTAGCCAAACTTCAAGGAGGGCCCTATGTTTTCCTTAAGAGTAAGAAACAAAAATTCCTCTGGGGAACTTCAGAGGCAGAAAGAAAACTTAAAACTCATCCATCGTATACAAATATACTGTTTTATTCTAGGGGAACCTTTGTGTTAAGTTCTACCAAGGGGAAAAACCGGGGAAAGATTTTTTAAAAATTCAACAAGATGGTTTGGATATATTCCCTTGCTGCATATTCCCTGCAGGAACAGAAAAACAAAGAAATCCACACAAATTTCTAAGGAGAACACAAAACAGTCTGACAGACAGATATAGCTGCATGTCTGAGGGTCTTCCCACCTACTGTGGGCTTCTGAATTATAGACTCATAGGAGGACAATTTACATGCAACCAAGACACCACTTTTAAAAAACATTTCTTTTTTTTATAGCCACACAGTAAATTGATTGTACCTGTTTAAAAAAACACACCAAAAAAAGCTCTCATCTTTTTTTAAAAAAATGTGAGGGACTTTTATTTTTTTTTTAAGTTCCAGAAAAACATATTTTGATGTTGTAATCCGTAACAGTGTATCTGCTATTCAACTACTTATTCATACAGCTACAAGGGGTAAAAAGGGATGGGTGGGTGGAGGAATTGGGGGGAAATTAGCGTTTTAAACACCTAGAAAAATTCATGTACTTCAAACTGTGGAAAGTTTACTGGAAAAAGGTCACAACCCAGTAACAACTTTTCCTCCCTTCCACTCTCCAAATTTTTACCTCAGGCTATACAGTGAAACATGGGATTTCTGTTCAGAAGCAACAAAAACATTGTGGGATGGGGAAGAGAGAGATAAAATCAGAATTATACAGAAATTGGGGGGAGGGGGCAGGTGCTTTTTTTAAAAAACCCTATTTCACACATTTTTCCGTATTTCAAAAATACACTAGTGAACTTCATTACAGGCAGGGGACAGGACTATCAAGTACACAACGGCAAAAGAGGACTACTTTCTGATCTTATTTTGTTGTTACCTTTGATACTGTTAAAAATAATAAACTCAAACACACACACACATACACACACACAAGGTGTTCAACCCTGGAGAGGTTTTCAACTAGAGGATTTCTTTTTTAAAAAAGGAAGGTGGTGGCTGGACAAAACTGCCAATAAAAACATACTATTTTCTGTTTTTAAAAAATAGGTTGGCTTTCCAACTGAACTGCAAGACTGAGAAAATACAGTCTAACACATGAGGAGGGGATTGGTGAAATGTATTTGACCAAGCTTTGGAGAAGCACCCTGCATTTTTTATAATGTGGAAGGATTTTGACCGGGGTGGTGGTAAAAGCCTAACAGTCAGGATACCAGAAGTTCTCTTCTAAATTTGGGCCTCATGTCCTTTTTCACCGAAGGATCACCCAAGTATCATTTTGTAGCTGGGCTCCTTTTTTTAAGGGTGCGATAATTAAAATAAAATAAAATTGCGAGGCCCACAAACCCTCATCCCTCCAGGAGGTATACAAAAAAATAATAATTATCACAGAAGGGAGACAAAGAACTGGAGAAGCTGCCACTGAGATGGGTTGGAGAAAAAATGAAAAGGGAGGAACAGAACAGGGAGCACAATTCCTCCAGAACCGTTGCTGTGTACCTTGGCGTTTGATACCAGTATAATGGTCCGGTGTGGGGTGTGCGTGTTCCTGTGTCAACCCTGTTTGTTGTAGTTGGGAGTGCCTACACACACACACACACACACACACACAGGCATTTCCTGTCTCAACGTAGTGATCTGAAAGGATGCTCAGCTTTACTCTGCTGCTCAGTGAGGGATGCAACAGACCCACAGTTTCAAAAGGGAGGGAATTTCACAGCACCCCACTAAGCTGAGTCCTTTGCCCCAGCTTCTGGCTGAAACCGCCTCTTTGAACATCCAATTTGAGGTGTTTACTTTTCCCTCTCTTGAAAAAAATAAAAAATAAAAAAATGGGGGGAGAACAATGATGGAAAATTGGTGTGTTTATCTTACAGACAGAATTTCCATTGGTTTCCACCTTACTACGTTCTGCTTCGCATCCTACAGTAAATGTTAGGAAAACCCCACACAGCTGTGGGCAGCAGCTACATTGCAAAAGCACCCAGGGGTTTAATCTAGCTTTCTTTGCTTCCATGGTTAGAAGGAAAGGACGTACACAACAGGATTCCCTCTAAGGAAAAAAAAAATCCTTAACGGGTAACAATTGATACAAGCACCACTTTGTTTTGAGGAGGGGAGGAGGCGGGACAAGCATCAAGCTCATCTTAAGAAAGCGTTTTCAGGATCAAATGCAGCCACTGAGCCCTCCGTTTTCTTGCGCTTTGGGCTGTTTTCTGTCCTTTGATTCTTATTTGCACTCTGTCACAGCTCGTGCTGCTCCTCCTGACGGTTTGTGTGATGTGACGGAGGAAGTCTTCCAAAGGATGGATGCGTTCACAGTTTGGTGCTTTTGCAAGGTGTATTGGAAAGGGAAAGAAACAAAAACAAAAACAAACCCCAAAAGAGATAATGCCCCCCTTCGCCCAACTTTAGTCTGAAAGCTCAGGGTCAGAGTCCTCTGGTTTGACTTTGGCAAGTTCTTCGTGCACCTCCCTTACCATAAGGATACGCGTCAACATGATGTCCAAAGTCCCAGGATCTATTGGCATAGTGGAATACCACATGGGGCTATTGGGGACACACGAACGCTCTGGCTGGAGGTAAAAGACATCACTTCTCTGCTTCACGCTTTCAGAACTGTGGGAACAGAGGTTCATGTAAGAAGGCGGCGCTGAGACGGTCCACAGAAAGCACAGGTTCAAGGAAGAATTCGGGGTAGAAAGCTAGGCAACAAAGTATGACTGAACGCAAAAGCTAGGAGTGGGAAGGAAAACAGGTAGTGATGCAAGGATGGGAGGGCAGCCAATGAAATTAGCAGATTTTAAAGGGTATAAAGTATCTATTTCTCTTTCCCTACACAGCCAGTGCATGCAATGCCTTCCATTATATTACACTTTGGGGAATGTCTCAAATGCTTCCCATATTATTACCTCAGAAATCCTCTCAAAGGGCTTGCAAAGCAAGTCAGTATTAGCCCGGTTCATATGTAATGTAGAACATGTGTATAGTTAATGCTTAGCTGTGTGCTTCTTTGGCAATTTTCAGTGCTGTTTTTTTCATTTTATTTCTTCACACATCCAGGCTGATGCAAGTAGGTTACGAGGTGGAATCCCAAACTACTCTAATCAAATGGGGGTGTGGTAGGAAATAGGGATGAAAGGAATACTGCAAAATGCCCATGACCAACAAGGCTAGGATGGTAGACACATTTCTACGTCATCTTTTTTCCTGTTCAGAAGACAACTTAGTGCATAGAAATGCAGCTGTTTTGCATTCGTGAATTCACACGACAGAATGGGTGTGCAGTCAATACACATACAAATGAATGCAGAGATTGACACCCTGAATTTATTCAGGAAACCCAGCCAGATGGGCGGAGAATGAATGAATGAATGAATGAATAAATAAATAAATAAAGTCATCCTTATGACCACCTGTACATGTGCACAGCTCAGCATGAATGCACACAGGTGATATCTGATCAGGGTGTTCTGATCCCTTTACAGCAGATGCAGGGAGGGCAGCGCTGACCCTATGAGATGATCGCTTGCCAAAGGATACCTGAAGCATCTGGGGGAAGCTTTTAATGTTTAACAGACCATTGTATTTTAATATTTTATTGGAAGCTGCCCAGAGTGGCTGGGGAAACCCAGCCAGATGGGCGGGGTATAAATAATAAATTATTATTATTATTATTATTATTATTATTATTATTATTATTAGGCTACAGCCTAGGGTTAGTGCCCAAGAGTTCAATTTGTCCTCCAAGGGCTTCCATTAAAAACTAACAGAGCGCTGACAAGGGCTGTAGAAACAAAAAGGCACAGGTTCCCTGACCTGTGCAGCTGACTGGGATCAGGGCAACATGTAGTATTAGGGTGCACCTGCTCCCCTCCCGCTTACTGATTCAGCTTTGTTTGCAGTTGAGTTCCTGCAAGAGAAGGCTTGAATTTGCAGAGGTACATGATGGGAATTGATCCATTTCTTTGTAACCAACTCCAAACTCTCTTGCTGCAAGGGGAGCCTCTGAGCACTGATTTGCTGGAGGAGGAAAGACAGGGAAGGCAGGAAAGAAAGGCAGCATCGCTCACCACTTTGACAAGTAGAATTCATAGAGCCGAACTGGGCATCTCAAGGGGTTGTCAGTGTTCTCGACCATTTCCACCGCTGTTGGGACATCTTCGCCCTCGTGGCGTTTTCTTTTCCCTACTAATTTATCTAGAGATGGAGCAGGGAGGGAGAAGGGAGGAAAGAGGGCAATGGCACAAGAACAAAATCATTAGTTTTTGGCACAGAAAACTAATTAGGGGTAGCAATTGCTTTCGTTACTCTTCCATGCAGAGTCGCCTTTGTAAGTGGCCAATGTTTTAAAAGGAGTACCGTATTTTTCGCTCTATAGGACGCACTGGATGATAAGACGCAACTAGTTTGGGGGGGAGGAAACAAGAAGAAAAAAATTCTGTACCCCAGAAGCCAGAACAGCAAGAGGGATCTGGCTTCTGGGATATCCTCTTGCTGTTCTGGCTTCGGGGACAGCCTTTGAAGCCTTGCGGGGACAGCCTTGCGCAGCCATCCCCAAGCTAGAACAGCGAGATGGAATGCTGCGCAGCGCTCTGTCTCACTGTTCTGGCTTCGGTGACAGCCTTTGAAGCCTCCGCAGGGCAGCGGGGTGCCTTCACCCCGCTGCCCTGCGGAGGCTTTGCGCAACCATCCCCAAGCTAGAACAGCGAGACGGAGCGCTGCGCAGTGCTCCGTCTCCGTGTTCTGGCTTTGGGCTTAGCCGCGCAGCCTGCATTCGCTCCATAAGACGCACACACATTTCCCCTTACTTTTTAGAAGGGAAAAAGTGCGTCTTATAGAGTGAAAAATACGGTAGGCTGGGATTCTGTAAATTGTTGTGCTTGTACAGAATTTCAACGCGCCTGTGTGCAACACCCGGTAACCCAAGGAAGTCAAGCCATGCGCTGCAGGAAAAGAATGTCCACAACAGCTCACCCACCTGATTCTACCTCCTGCTTTTGGAAAGGAGGAAAGAAGCGTAAGTAAGTCAGCTTGGTGTTGTACTTCAGGGTCCGTGTGCGTCGCATGACGTGGGCAAAGGACAACTTCATGTGCTCGCTGACATTCTTGAGCTGGAAGTATTTGGTGTTGAAGAAAAGCAGCGTGTTCAGGAGGACGATGGGGGAATAGGCACCCAGCTGCTTACACTCCCATAAGTGCTCCTCTTCAATTCTTGAGAACATGTAACCTGGAGATTAGATGATCAGGGGACACACAACAGGAAGGAGAAACCTGGTCAGTCCTTTACCACTGGCCAGTGGCTAGTGAACCACCAAGCACCTCCTGTGACTCTTGCACCAAAATGCTGGGCTAAAGGAAGTTGCTGCAATGAGAGCCGGGCACCAGTGCAGCCTTCCCCAACATGCTGAGCACCAGAGTTCTTGGAGTACTTGCCCCATGAACTGTCTAGGCCTGATGGGAGTTGTAGTCCAAAACCTTGAGAGAACACAAAGTTGGAGGAGAGTGCTCTAGAGCAGAGCAGGTAAGATTTTAGAGGGAAGCCCCCGCCCCCAGGGTATGCTCAAGGGGCATAGCTCCTGCTTTCCCACCTGCTCCCAACAGCAGCAGCGCATGTAGGAACTTTAGCTCTGCTCTTCATCTGAGAGGGGTATGAGATAAGCCTTATGGCTTCTAAGAACACACAGCCTCTTCTATTTTCAACTCTCTGCTTCTTTAATAATGTTTCCATTGTTACATTCTGCTCTGTGCAGGCTCAGAAACCACACATGCACGGAGGCCACAACAGGAAAAGCCAAAAACCCAGTAGAAATTAACTAAAATAGCACCAGCAGCCAACAGTCACACAGGCAAATGATCTATGATCCATCAAACGCTCTGGTGGGCAAAATGCAGAAAAAGATAACAAAGGTGGTGCCATGTGAATGTTCCTGAAATGAGGGTGTGCCACAAATAAGAGCATGGGCACAAGTAAGAGCATTTCTGCACCTCTGAAGGCAGGGGCAGCCTAGGCAGCCCTCAAGAGGTGCTCTTAAAAAAGGAAAAAGGAAAAAAGAGGCATGTTCATATGGAAACAATTTTGCCTTAATTGTTTTAAGAGATGCCAAGTTGGCATTCTTGCCTTATAAATACAGACTGTGACCATGAATCAGAGGGACTGTAGTGAAAAAGAAAGAAAAAATACAATATAAGGCTAAAGACAGACCACCCCTCATTTATTAGAAGCCACCATCTCCCTCTCTGGAGTCTATGTTCTCCCTTCCGATACATGCCCACATGACATTATAGACAAAACAAGTAACCTCCTTACCATTTGGAAGCGTTGTAGGCTCCCAGATTTTCAACAGTTTTGTAAGTTCGATCATAAACCTGGAGTAGGGCTCGGTAAAAATGTTATCTATTCTACCATTCTCAAATAGGTACTGCAAGAGAAGGAAAACGATGACAGAAAACTTGGGAGGTTTACATAGAAAGGTGCAGACACAGCCTGCTGATTCAGTTCTATCCTCCTAACATTTTTTGGAGTGGGGTTCTGTATTCTTGGAGGTGATTCTCTTCTCCAGACTGCCTGGCTTTGGGCAACAGCCGGAAAATGGGACTGTTCTTGCAGACTTATGATACCACCTCCAGCCCTATATTCCGCCACAACTCTTGAAGACCATCCCACAATGCTTTCTTACATGCAACATTAATTTGACACATCAGGTATCTATATACGTGTGCAGAAGGGCAGTCTTAGGGACTGGCCCCCAACTTTATCTCTCCTGGGAGACTGGTCAAAGCTTGAGGTTGGACAGCTTCCAGAAGTGCTGCAAGATGTTTTCATTCAAACTGGCTTTGGTGCAAAGGGGGTTTGGTAGAATTATTAGCACACTATTTCCCTGGTGTGCTGCAAGTTCAATTAAATAAATCCACAGCACGCCTGCAACTCTCAGAAAGAACTATTGGCACCACAACCTCAGGAGAACAATGCTACGATAATAAATGTGAATTGTCTTACTCAAGAGTCGTACTATCATTTCTTCCTATAATTTATATCCCAACCACCTATAACCATATATACTCAGGGCAGCTCACAAGGGCTTAAATCACAGCAACAAAACAAATCAAGCTGTAAAACAATGGGAATGATTTCAAAGAAGCAATCAATTTAGAAATGTACTGAGCCAGAACTAAAGAAAAGAAGAAAATGCCTACTGAAATCAAAATGTTTTGAAAGCATGCCCAGAAACAGGCAGTGAAGGGACCATGTGCGCCTCTCTTCTGAGACCATTCCACAAACTTGGTGACATCGAAGAAGCCCACCCACCACACATCTATCAGATGAGAGTGAAGATCCTCAGATGTAGGTTGAAGTTCTCAGGAAGAGAAGAGGCAGAACCTGAGATATTTTGGTCCCAGAAATTTAGGTCTTTAAAAAGGTTAAAGACAACAACTTGAATTAAACCTGGTAACAGACTGGCAATGCGTGAGGTTGACAAAGGACTGGTGTAGCATGAGCAAATCTGCCTAGGCTCAATAAACAATTCTTTTTGCTGGTCACTCTTTAAAAGAACAAATAAGGAAAGAAATATAACACCAAAAGGACAATTACCTGCTGAATTCCAAGGCACAGGTATAAGATGCTGTCAGGGTCATACTTCTCACCATTTGGTCGTCGTACCTCCTGGATAAACTGGCATAAGCCAAAGCTCAGCTCCGAAAAAGAACAAGAAAGGATGTCCTCTTTGAGCTTCACAGGTCGAACTACAAGGAAGAAAAGCACCAAAAGAACATCAGCCTCTTTCACAAGCAGAAATATTTGAATACTCAACTCCATCAGAGTAATTGAGGGCACTGTCCACTCATAAGCAATTAAGGAATTCCCTTTTTTGTTTCCCAAGCTCCTGAACAGCAAGTTGGCAGTCTAAAAGGGAAGAAGAACTACTTTTCCAATAATTAAATGAACCAATAAAAAAGGTGTTGATTCAAATACCTCCCCCTTCTGCAATATGGGGCCTATCTTAGAGGACTGTTGCCATGATAATATATATGAAATGCTTCGAATCCTGAAAGTGCCAAATATTTTAACCAATAACTGCCTACACACTTTCAAACTTGTTTTTTAGAATGGGAATCTTGATGGGAAACCTGCCTGCCACTCTCTGTAAATGATTTTTTTAAAAAAAAATCCAGATATTTGAGGGGTGTAGCTATCTGACCCTTATTGTGGGATGTGCAGTAATACAGCTTTTAATTAGCTACAGCAGCTATGCACTAGCTGTGCAATAAAGGGGGGGGGAATGAATTCAATGCAAATAAAATCATATGCACGATCACTGCTGATGACATGTACTGACATCAGAGGGAGAGACCGAGGAAATCTCTTTCACTTCAAATGGTGGGTTTCAGAGGAACCTGGAACAGGAGAAAATTTGGAGGTGGCCTGTTGGTAGCTTGTGTGAATTAAACTTAGGTCTCAGGTTTGGGAACATAACAATCTCACCCAAACAAAGACCCAGAGTATTCTGCATAGGCATTCTTGTTGAGCCTATGAACCTGTATCCTGGAATCCCAAATCTCCCAATTAATTCATTGCAACTGAGCAGATTCCATTTAAATCAATAGGGCTTGTTTCCAAGTAGTGCATTAAAGGAGCAGTGTGTTAAAAGCCATGTCTGGCACACTTCCAGGACCATGCAATACATACATGGTCTGATCCACCCATCCCATCCTTCCAGGATTATTCTGCTGAAAGACCCAGGTCAGCTCTTCATCCTCCATGGTTCAATGAAGCATAAAGGAAAGTATTAATTCTTATTTTAAAAAGCATTACCTCCAAATTTGAGGTCTCCTTGCTCTTCCTGTGTGTTTTTCCACTGGACCCAGTTCTTCCAGGCGTTCACCCCATACATATACTTGAGACTCATCCCGGAAACGGAACAGCCTGGGTATGAGCTCTGCACAAGCATCCGGGGCTCCACAGCTACTATGGACTTCTTCCTCCCCTGAAGAAAAACCAAAGTGTGTGCAAGGGCCCAACAAAGGCATTGCTTGGCTTAGTCACAGAGGGAGGTAAATGGTTTCTGGACCAAATACACCTCCGGTAAGCCATCTATCTTCGGGATTGGCAAGCAGTGGCCAAATCAGGAGCATCGTTTCTCCTCCTCAAAGTATGCTGATGAAATCAGTGCCTATGGAACTTGATTATGTTTGGGGAATGAAGATCCTGGCCTGCCACTGTCCTTAAATCCTCCCTTGGAAGGGAGAAGGTGACCAAGAACCACATGACGGGATGGGGGAGCAAATGCATCAGAAGTTGCATTACCTGTTTCCTATTCCTGCTCTCAATTGAGGCACAGTTTTGTGGGCGAGAAACTAAAGAGACATATGCGATCTCCACACTCCTGACCTCAACTAGGGGCTTTTCTTTGAGAAGGGGCAAATGAGGAAGGGAAACTTTGGGGTGGGGTAGGAGAGAGTCAAGAAGCCTGGGGAAATGAAAGAAGGCCCATCACCCTGAATACCTCACCCCAAAATGTCGTAGGCTTGTAACAAATAAGCAGCAAGAAAAGCAATGGCGCTCCTTACCCTCCTTTTTGGCTGTGGAAAACCGTCTCTGTGTCTCCGCCTTGCTCGCGCACGTGAGTGAAGACCCAGCCCTTTGCTGATCGGGTCAAAGGAGTCTAGTTTTTAAACAAAAGCAGAGATTTAGTGGGAAAGTTGCAGCAGCAAGAGCTGTGCTGCCAACTGGTACCTCCCGGGATAGCAGGCTGCTCCCAGAAGAGGGCGAGGGTTAAAAAGTTACCAGCAGCATGGGGGCAAAAGGCCCATAGCACATTCCACACCCAAGAGCCTTTTCTTCTGTGGCTGACAAACCTGAAGGGAAATCAGCCTCCAGGTCCTGCTCCAGCTCTCCTTTGGAGAACTGCCTCGGCTCGGGCTCAGGCTCAGGCACCGTATTTGAGCGTAAGGCATAGTGGTTCAGCTCCTCCTCCCAGCTGTGAGGGGTCGACACTGCTTCGGACTCTAAGTCGCCACTGTATGTGCTGCCTTGGTCTGTAATTGAGAGGGGAGAGAGACAGGTGGTGCTCAGGAAGAGAAGCCCAGCAGGCAGAGACAGAGCACAGCCTATTAGGACATTCAAGGATGTGAGGAGTCACGAGCCCGGCTGCCTTTGGCAAGCAAGAGCCACAGAATTTTACAAGAGTCAAAAGGGAAGCATAGTCCACCCCCATGGCTCATTGGAAAATTGACACCTAGAGGATCTCAAACAGGTGGCTGTCCAGTCTCTGCTTGAAGACCTCAAGCAAGGGAGAAGCCACCTTTGCCCCGTGGTATTTCTTTTCATTGTGCTCTGCTTACAAAGTGTCTCCCAAATGTTCAACCAAATATTTACCCAGCTGTAACTTAAGAACAAATTAAGATTAGATCTGGTTCTGTCCTGTGGGTCCTGTCTGCTAACTATGCAGAGAAACATTATAAAAGCTGATGCGCTTTTACATGCTCACTCCCCAAGTAAGGTATGAGTGGAGGGGGGTCTCATACTGGGCATGCATATATAATCAGTGCAGTTTTGAAATCAATGCTTCAAATCAGTGTGTTTTCAATAGGTTCAGTCTGCCATTTTGATTCAAAATAGTATCCAATTATATCCAAACATAGACAGAAGGCTGCTCCTCAATCTCAGGATCCATCATGCAAAATTTGGTTACGATACCTGTTCACATAGTGAACAAGCTACTTTCCAAAATTATACAGTAGATGTGAGTGTATTTGCTAAGTGGAGCAAGTAAGCACCAACCTTTTTCAAATATCTTAGGGTCGAGGAACAGCTCATGCTCAGATGTTTGAGAGCCTGAAACAAGTGAAGGAAAAAATACAGGTATACCAACACAGCCAGACCAAAAGCACCAAACACCGAAAACATTGACTCCATATGCAACTACCATGTACTAAGACAGACCACTAGTACACCTATCCCACGACTGCCAACTTTGAATAGCAATAGCTTCCCAGGATCTCAGGCAGAGAAAGGTCCTCCTGACCTTTATAGCTGGAGGTGGTGTGAACTGAACCTGGACTTTCTGCATGCAAAGCAGGTGTTCTAACACTGAGCTCAAGCCTGTTCAGGGCTAAGTGTCAGTCAGGATGCCTAATCTTGCCTAATTTCCTTTATTTAAAGCATTTATAAAGCAGCTTTCATACATTATTTCCAGGCATTTTACTTAAATGGGCTAGTGGTAGGCATGTAAAACTTCATGAGGGAGAACAGCTCCTACCTACCCCTCCCATAAAGCTATTTTTGTCCTTCTCCTCCCCCCACCTCAACAGCCCCGACTCCAGATTTCCCTAGAATATATGAGTTGTTGAAAACTGTTTAGTGGCAGAATTGCTTCAATTCGCAAAACTGGAAGGGGGTAGATTACTCCATTTCAATGTGGCCTTCTCTTTGGGAGATTTATACAGAACCCTTCTGATAGAATCAAACGGAAAACCTAACACAGTCCAGAATAAGCCTATGAAATAGAAATCTGGGTGTATAAATACAACTTCCCCAGGAAGGTTCCCTCCCCAACCCCTCCACTGCAGTCACTCTCCCCTCCTCTCTTTCTCCCACCCCCATTCACCAGCTCCTCAGGTTTCCCTTAAAAAAAAAAAAAAAAGCCTTGCACCTCCTCTAGAGTGTTCTTTATCCTTCTCATCCTCTGCGATCATTTCTGCCATCTGGAGGAGATCTGCCTCAAATGCGTTGGCGGAGCTCTTCTCCTTGATGTCTGGAATGGTTTCTATTGCCTTGCCAGTATTCTCCGGGGCAGATGGAACCAACATAGGAACTGGGACCTGGGGGTGGGGGAGAGGTTTGATTTGTGCAGATGAAAAGATCCTATAGCAGGGAACACACAACAACATTTCGTGGGTAGAACACACACAAAGAAGAAGGCTCCATGGGGAGGAGGACAAGCTAGAGAAATATTCTCTGGGTGATGCATATCAGTAACAAATACACACAACTCCCCTTGCATCCTACCAGCTTTCAAAGCTGTAATTGCCCATCTTGAGCCTCCTCAAACAAGGTCCTTGCCATCTCAAGAGAATCCTGTCTCTGATGGGTTATCAAGCAAAGGTAAACATTTTTAAACTGTTGGCTTCAGTTAAGAGCCAGCCACTAACTGGGTGTAAGCAAGGCCTATCCCATGATCCCTACTAGGTGGAGGCCATGGTTTATTTTCCACCTCTCAGACCTCTAAAGAAAAGGTGGGCAACAAACAAACTCACCAATTTCCAGAGGACCTCTTAGTGCCTCTTGGTTGCTGGGATTTCTTCAACTATGGAAACCCTGGCCTGATCCAGCAAGACAATTCTGATACTCTTTTGCTGGAGTACATAGCATCCCTTAACACAAATGATGCCTTTGGTGTTAAGAGATTAGGAAGCTGCCTAATACTGAGTCAAGACCATTTGTCCTCTACTGTTGACACTGACTGGCAGTAGCTTTCCAAGCTTTCAGGTAGGTCTCTCTCCCACTGAGCTGTCCCCAGATCATGAGTGCAATGAACTGACTTGCACTGGATGTTGGGCTTACTTCAGCCCCACCACAGACACTCATGCTGAGACATTCGGCATTGTCCAGGCTGGCCACAAGCTGACCCAGTGAGCTCAACCTTCAAAGCCACTGTACGAAAGCCAAGGTGCCAAACACATCACTTACGGGTATTGGCATTCCCAGCGGAACTGGTGTGTATTGGGTGAAGAGGTGGAGAGGAACTGGCACAAACACTGGTACAGGAACAGGCACCATGATTATTTTGGGTGGAACTTCTTCTTCTTCTTCTGTTATGTTAAAAATAAAAGGCATGATCCTTGGAGAAGAGAAGCCAGCTGTTCATTCATCTCTCTCAACAGGCTGTTAACTTTTCTTTGCTAACCACAACTGCTGCTCCTAACACACCACCCCTTTCTACGTGGATGCACCCACATATGTTCTCTGGGACTCCTCTGTCCATGCCATTCTTACGTGATTATTCCAAGCCAGGGAACACAGCAGATGACCAGGCCAGCCTTTGTCAACCTAGTGTCCATCAGACGTTTTGGACTGTAACTCCCATCAGTCCAAGGCAGCATGGTTGTAATGCAAGTTGTAGTTCAAAACATCTAGACGGTACTAAGTTGGCCAAGGCTGAAAGCTTTCTTTTGCCTTTTTGTAAACTTAAAACCCTAATAAATACTATTTTTTTAAAAAAAGAAAGCTTGCTGCTGAAAGTCAGCTTGATTCTGTGCTGGAATTTTCACTTGTTCATGGGTTGCCATAAACAAAGGGGGAAGATGTGAGTCAAAATTCATTATGGGTTTGATTGCTGGGGCTGCCCTGTTCTCTACTACACTTATTCACACATACAGAAGATGGTTGTATCATACATAAGAAATGCATACATGGGATACAGAAGACCATTTACCACTAATGGTGGGACTTTGACTACAGAGGAAGAGATGCCCTCCACGCACTGGGCAATGCCACCTAATTGGGCCTCTAAACTTAGGATACTACTTTCCTAATGTAAGGACCATGATGTTTCTCTTAACGTCTGCTCTCTGGCTTGCAAAGTCCCAGCATATTGCACTGGTAGAGAATCCACTGAGAGAAATCCAAATAACTACTTGTTTTTACGTTTCCAAAGAGAAATATATCATTGCTTCTTTCTCCCTGGAACCTTTAGTGCAAAAGAAGGCTCCAGTTCTAGGCTGACTAATGCCTTGAACAGAAATACTCCCCTGGGTACTATACACTGCAATATGGTATTGAAGGTCTGTTTTTTAAAACCATTGCTGAATGGAACTTTTTCATCTTCTACAGCTGCATCCAATATGCTCCCCTACTTGCTCACTACTGCGTGATATTTTAGCTGGTCACAACAAAAAGCGCTTACACAAGTTTTTACATTCACATCTCTCTGTCTCCCTCTCAGAACAACTGCACATGCCATTTCTGTATCACATACCTGTCTGGCATTCCTTGTGTTGCGTATGAGGCTTGCAAGAGGTGGCCTTGGTCTGTGTTATAGGCTTGCACAGTAAGGCTTTGTTCTTGAGAAGTCGGGGAGGCTGGGAAGGAGGAAGCTTCAAAGCATCCGTCTGAGTACTTGCCTGGTTCAGGGCAGAAAATGAGGTACAATAACTCTTTGCTGCCTTTTGTAAATGTCATGCTAAGATCAGCTAGTCCTAGTTACCAGTCCACTAAGCCGCCACTTCTTCCACTGCCTCTACACCTCCCCCTCTACATACAGTGCAAAAGTGCCCAAAGACTTTGAGCAGTGTGTGTGTGTGTGTGAGTGAGAGAGAGAGAGAGGAGGAAAAAAAATATAAATAAATACTTTACTAGATGTCCCAAAAAATTTCTTGAAAAACTTACATCTCCAATAATTTTTGCTGTCACAGTAGGAACTGCACCTGTTAAAGGGGGAGGGAAAGCAGGAAATTTGTTTGCCGCTCTTCAGAATATCATGACTAGTTCTAGTTTCTGGGGATTACAAAAAGGGGGCATTAAGCAACTTTCTTAGGGCCATGCTTGTTGCTTTCCACAACAACAAAATGTAAATTTGCATAGATGTGTATGTGTGAGAGACACACACACACCAGGAAGTGCATTTATCGCTGCCTTACCTTGCAAAACATTGTTGGAATTGGCTGTGGGCTGGGCAGCAGGAGCACTGGCCAGGGACACCACGTTTGCTATAACTGGAGTAGAATCCTTCCTGAGAGACGGAGGGGGCCCCACCGAGGACGTTGGTGCCATGGAAAGATTTGCTGGGTAGAGGAAGCAGAATGAGTTGAAGTAGTGTAATGTGAACGACACAAGTAGACAATATTTATACGTCAATCACTCTATTTCTCTGCAGATGCAGCAGTTAGGTCATACGTACATTTGCACCCCTTAACTATACTTTACCCACTCTATCATACTGGCAATGAAAATAGTTAGAAATGAAATCTCATTGTTGCTAATTGTCAGTGACCTTCCCAATTTAGACCTATTTGAACCATATCACTGTGTATACTTGAGCTTTTTTAAAAATTAGCTTGTTTCGTCTGGTCACAAAATAACACACAATAGAAGGTTAATTAAATTGTAGACGTAGTGATAGTCAAACACCTTTTATCTGGAATTAATGGCAGCCTGCTAAGCACATTTCCTTGTGGAAAGTCAATTAAAATGTTCATCGGCCAAACCCTGTTATCCTTATATCTTTGAAAACTAAAATAGTGACTTGAGTTGGGGGAAAAGGAACTTTGAGCAGATATGACTTTATGCCAGGACTGGATGATTTTATCCAGGATGTGAGTCTCCTTTTTGTTCAAAAGAATACAAAATACCAATATGGCTGCAATTCTACACTCACCTGCCTGGAAATAGCATACTGTCCCAATCAAGGGAAGTACAGTGGTGCCTCGCAAGACGAAAAGAATCCGTTCCGCGAGTCTCTTCGTCTTGCGGGTTTTTTCGTCTTGCGAAGCAAGCCCATTAGCGGTTTAGCGGATTAGCGCTACAGTATTAGCGGCTTAGCGGATCAGCTGATAAGCGGCTTAGCGATCAGCTGTTAAGCGGCTTAACGATAAGCTGATAAGCGGTTTAGCGGCTTGGGAAAAGGGGGGGGGGAACCCCGCAGGAACTCGCAAGACATTTTTGTCTTGTGAAGCAAGCACATAGGAAATTCGTTTTGCGCAGCACCTCCAAAACGGAAAACCCTTTTGTCTAGCGGGTTTTCCGTCTTGCGAGGCATTTGTCTTGCGGGGCACCACTGTAATAGTCCTGCTTTTTAGACCACACCTGGAGTACTGTGTCCAGTTCTGGGAACCACAATTTAAGAAAGATATGGACAAGCTGGAACATGTGCAGAGAAGGGTTACCAAGATGATCAAAGGTCTGGAAACCAAGCTCTATAAGGAATGGTTAAGGGAATTGGGTATGTTTAGCCTGGTAAAGAGGAAACTGAGATGAGAGGTGATGGCCACCTTCAAATATACAAAGGGCTGTCAAATGGAAGATGGAGCAAGTTTGTTTTCTCCTGCTCCAGAAGCTAGGACCCAAACCAATGGTTTTAAGTTACAAGAAAGGAGATACCAACTAAACATCAGGAAGAACTTTCTGACAGTAAAAGCTGTTCAACAGTGGAAAAGCCTCCCTTGGGAGGTGATGGATTCTCCTTCACTGGAGGAGTATTGGTTGCAATCTGTTCCTATCACCAGCCTAGTCCAGCTAGATTCATGTCCAGTCTGCTGTTCAGTTGAAAGAAACACAAAGGAAGCACCCCTAGGCATGCTTTTTCATTGATGTGGGATTTGCCTGTAGCTGATGTCCCTACAGCTTCCCTGGCATCCATAATAGCAGCAGGCCTTCTTTTACCTGTATTGTTCTGAGGGGGGGGTGGGGGTGGCGGCGGTGGAGGAGGTGGAGGTGGCGGTGGATCTGATGCGCACTGCTGATTGCAAAACATCAAAATGCAAAGCAAGTTGCAAAAATGCTTAATTTCCCCTCGCCATTTCAAGGACTCGCCAAGTTTGCCCTGCCTTTTGCAGCTGTCACATTTGGACATCTACAAAGAAGAGAAAAAGAGAGTACAATGTGCATATTGTTATTTTTTAAAAGTAAAAAAAATATATTGTTCATACATATCTGACTGCTTTTCTCAAATGACTTTCTTATTGTAGTTTGTTTGCATCCTGTGAACAATCTGCTGACACAAATAATATATGGCCTCCATGCCACTGAGGTCACCTAAGCCTCAAGTGTCAGCAAGGGATCCAAAAGTACCCTCAAGCTACATACCCACTCCTTCAGAGGGATCGTAGCCCCATCAAGAGCAGGCAGCCTCCCATCCATCCACTCTAGGAAACCACCCACTAACAGTGCTGCAGTCTTATCTGGAATGAGCTTCAGTTTGTTGGCTCTTATCCAGTCCGTTACCAAGGCAAGACCATCGGTCCAGCACATCCACTGCCATCCCTGCAGATGTAAAGGAGTAGAGCTTTTGTGTCACCAGCATATTGCTGACAATGTACTCCAGAACTTTGGATAACTCCACTCTGAAGCTTCATGCGGAGGTTAAACAGCTTATGTAAGGAATTAAGGAACTGAAGATTGCTTTGAGGCCCACCAATAAGGCTGAAGCAAGCTCTGAAACCCCACATCAAAACTCAATACATCTGTACAACAGATCTCACATAAGAGACTTGCTTTCTATCTAGAATTTTAATTTTTAAAACATGTTTGAACTCCAGAGCAGCTTACCTGATAAAACAAAACTGTGAATTTTGACATGCAGTCTTCTGAACAGAACTCCTCCACCTTGCCCCCAAAATGATTCTGAACCAGCTTGGGAGATGTCTGCAAACAGTAGCTGCACATCTTACAGTGGTTCCCCCAACGTTTGGCTAAGTCGTGCTTATACAGCAGCTTGCAGCCTGGAACAGCACAAGAGAACAAACAGCAATCAATTAAGATTTCCCCTCTACGCCAGTTCTCAAAGTAGGACAATATACACAAATAACAGGCAGCACAGACATCCCTTGTGAACAAAGCAGCCACAAGCAGTAACATATGGCTACTGCCTAAACACTACTTTGTGACATATTGACTTAAAAATAAGCAACAGGTTATTTTGCCCTTGTAATTAACAGACTAGCTCCTCAATGAATTGGATAAATTTAGATCCCAAACCATGTGGTTTTACAACCCTTGTCAAAATGTAACCTCAAATTCACATTTTGGGATTGAGGATTGCTAAATCCTCAATAGAGCCCTGTTCCTGTGGCAATAGGAAGCTCCAAGGTCTTGGAACAAAATGCCTTGGGACTGAAGTTTGAAATACACAATCCAGATCTGTCCCTTCTTACCCTCACTACAGAATGACTTGTCAATGCCTGAGAATCGCACAGTCTCTTTGATAATCTTCTCAATCTTGCAGTATTCACACATCGACATGACACAATTTATCTTCTTATACTCATCGCAGCAGGTCTTGCCACAGAACTGGAACATTTTGCCCTGCAATTAAGCAAGAATACTTTGGTCAAACTGAATCCTCCAAGGCCTGCCTGATTCAGGAGAGGACATGCCACCTCATCCTTCTTCAGTGGGAATGCAAATTTGCCCACTTCCATTAAATGAAAAATCGGGGCCGAGTAAAAAGCCACCATCCCACAGAAGTGCGAGAAAAGCCTAGAGTAGAATAGTGAGCAAGCCTGGCACCAGTGGCCAGTCAAGCTGGGCCCTGGCTGAGGCCCAAGAATTCAGAAGAGTCCCTCATTGGCCCAACCTGCTGTCCATCTGCCATGAAACTTGGCTGGTGACCACTATGACTCTGCCTTTTCTGGGCTCTAAGAACCAAGGGGGTCTTCTTTTCAGAGCCTAGCACTCTCAGGGCCAACATCTTAATGCCAGGCACTGCCTCTGTCATCACTGCAGTTTGTCAAAGCAACTACAAAGGCTTAAATTTATTTATTTTTTAAAAAATCTACATTTAAAAAATCTTTCTAGTGACTATGGTTGAGGCATGGGCATTCTCTTGGCTACCTTGGTGATAGAGAAGCTGCTGCTACTGCTGCTGCTGTCATTTAAAGCCCATTTTTTCAAAAGTGGGGGACAGGGAGGAGTATCAAAATGTGCCAAGAGTCCCCTGAGGTCTAGTGCCAATGCTGGTAGTGAACGTAAATCCAAAAAATGCAGGAAATCTAGTTTCATATAAGAAAAATAACAACTTCCTACATCTTGTGGAGGTAAAGATATGCTCCAAAGTGTGTGGCCAATGTCTGCTGAAATCTCAGAACTCAAAGACATGGCTGAATCAATTTGCCCCAAAAAAGAATCGTCAAAAAATTATACAAAAAGGGATACAGTGCAAATCAGCCCACTTTGCATTTTGTATACAAATGTCAGCTTTCCTTGGCGCAGTGTATTTTAAAACTTATTATTAAGCATGGAATACACACAGCCTTGCCTGTCACTGGGCGTCTGGTCCACAATTAGAGCACCCACGTGTCCGGCTTCAAGAGGTCTGTGAACAACAACAACTGGCAGGTGCCAATTACCCTGTAATCGAGCAGTTCAGGCTTGGTTGCAAACAGGCGGCTACAGTGTTGACACTTGAGTTTGACGACAGTGCGGGCAAAGGTAACTTGCTGGGACTGAGCGGCGAGTCTCTGGAGACCAGCTGCGGCTGAGCTGCTGACTGAGCTGGGGGAAACCGTGGAGGTAGTGCTGCCCGCTGCTGAAACCGTGGCTCCTGAGGGGATACTGACAATCACTTGGCCCTGTGACAAGGGCACCACTGATGAGTTCATTCCCGCAGGCTTGTTGAACAAGTTCTGTTAAAGCAACAGGGGATGGAAAAACCTTACATCAACAGGATTTTCTGCCAAGTTTGAGGGGTTCCTAGCATAGGATCACCTTTTCAAAATTCCAGGAAGGAGCTAGCAATTTTAATAAGGATTGCAATAGCAGCCTGCTAATCTCTGGAGGTACACCCCACCACCCCAATTCCCTGCCCCACAGCCAACCTATGCCGTCTCCATGCTTTTCTTTCCTTTTAGTTGTTCTCCATCTGTGGAAAACAGAATTCTTAATTCTTGGGAAACTGATCTCATAAAAGAGTATCATGGAGAACAAATGAAGTCACAGAAGTCTGTGTTATATCAGAGAGGTTATACCAGTGTTATACCCTCTCCACTGTCTTTTTGGTACCTGTTGAAGTTTTTTCCTTTTTCAACAAGTCTTCAAAGTAGAGAAGTTTTCTCCTAGCTGGAATCCGTGTTGGATTTGAAATTGTTTTTATATATGCCATTGTTTTTTCCCCAGATGCCCACCCCCTTTCTAATTTTTTTTAATGCCAAGCGCATAAAACTGAACATGAACAAGTTAAATATGTGCAAGTTGAGAGCTTACTCTGTGTGTGCAGGTGTGCATATTATGAAACCACTTCAAGATCCTTCATAGCAAGCAATTCTTACGTTAAATATTATATTATTAATTATTATGATTATTATAATTTAACTGACACATCTCTGCGCTATGTCTATTAAGTGTATTAGCACTTTTATCAGGATGAAACATAGCAATGGAGAAGCTAGTGGTCAAAAGGAGAGGGAGTATGCCCAAGGAAAGATTGGCAATGGCCACAAGTCCAGGAAGGGGAATGAGACTAGCACATCTGACAAGCCAATTGAGTAACTAAACTGGAAAACAGGACATACCTGAAAAGCCACCACGCAGCTATAGCTGCAAAAATTGCGTATGCTGCCATCTGACATAGCGAGGTGATACTGAGGGATGGCTGAGGTCTTACAGCTGTTACACTGAACCTGGACGCCTGCCAGAGAGAAAAACAAATAATAACAGAAAAATAATAATTTAAGAAATTTTATTTCTTAAATAAGGTCTCTTGATTTCAGAAAATGTATATATGAAAAGGACAACACAACATTTACCTGAAGATGTGACCATTTTAACTCTGTGTGCTGACAAGCAGTTCACAGAACAAAAGAGCTCTGTTTTCCCCACATTATTTGTGCTTTCAATCATCTCAGCTGAAGATCTCAGAGATTTACACAGTGCGCAGGGAGTGATTTTTGCTGACTTCTGTAGAAAGAGGAACAACAGAGTTTTTCCCCTTCAGAGAGCTGAAACAGTTCACTTGCCCACATAGCTCACTTGCAGGTGAAAGAAATAGGTGCGTCACATACACAAAACAGAAGTGAGCTTAGTATTTATTTATTAAGTCAATTTACACACCACTCACTATATGTAAAACATCTTCAAATCGTTTCCAAAAAGGAGTCAAAGATACCAAAGTAAAGAGTCACAGACTTGCAACAGTATCTTTTACAATGGGAAACAAGAACAGCCCCCGATTTGCTTCAAGGGGCTGAACTACATGACTGTTTAAGACTCAGGTTTCCAGGTTTCTAAGACTTTCCCAGGAAAGTCACTTTGTGAGGGGATGATCCTGCAGCAGGTTTAGAGTGCAAAATTCTCTCCCTTATACCCAGAGCTGTTCACCTGTGCAGCATGGCCAATACCCATCTGGCCCGGAGACATAAAAACAACTGGTGGTAAGCTCCCCTTTCCTGCCCACTACAGGTTCTCTCAAATTTTCCCCTTGTCTCAATAGAAGGAAAGTAGAATTCTGGCCTTTATGTTAAAAGCACTCCCTCGCCTCCCCTATCTGGCTGCTCTCCACAGACACAACTATAAACAAGTTTCATATTATTAGCTATAGGGTTGAGGCTCCACGCAAGCCTAGTGTGCATTAAAATAATGATTTAAAACAGTAACAGCAACACACACCAGGAACCAAAGAAACCATGCACAGACCTGTTTGTATGCAGTGACACACGTTGAACTGCAAAACTTTTTGGACTGCCCCTCGATCTGAAGCATGTGGCACTGGCCTGAGGCACTGTAACAGTAACCCCCACAGTTCTCACAGCAGTTCATGGTCAAGTTGTTTGCTGAGCGGAACTTGGAGAAGCAGGCGTCACTGCAGAGTTTGTGCACAACATTCTGGTAATTCACTTCATGCCGAATCTGAGAGAGCAAAGAAAAACATTACATGGGAGTATTCCAAGGCGTTCTTTCTCTCAAAATAATTATGCACTTTAAAAAATCTAGTGGATTAAAGCATTTCCCCCCTCCCACCTACCAACTCCCTTTGATTTTTTTTAATTAAACAAAATAAACTTACAGAAGTGTTTAAAAACTGGCAATCCAGGCAAGTAAATTTTGCATCTTGCAAATTTTGAATTTTCTTACAATTTACTTAATTTGTATACTACCCTCCATCCATAGATCTCAGGGTGGTTCACAAGAGAAATACTAGGCATTGTGAGTGAATCATACTTACGATAGGCATCAGATTATCTGTCATGAAAATTAAAATCAATATTTTAAGATCCCCAAATGAAGTAACTTGTCAGACTTGCTACAAGTTTTGTTTCATCGTGAATTCTGATTAAAAATTAAGCAACCGAGCAAACCCATTTTTGCTTTTCTGAACCACAAAGGCAAAGAATTTCAGTGATTCAGGAGAATTCCACTGGAATGATGCAGTAGAAACTTGGGGGTAAGAGTGGGAAACAATACTATATCCAAGAAGTAGACTCTAGCACAGCCTTCCCCATCCCAGCTTGCTTGCTCACATCCTAACCCATTACTGATTCCAGACACTGGTTCGGAAATTCAACGGCCTCCTTGGTTCAAGATGCAAGTGATAAGAGGAGAATGCCATCTGCATACTGGTGACAGCAAACTCCAAAACTTCAGAAAATAGGACTCTTCTTTGGAACTGGATTCTATTGCATGGTGGCTATAGCTGCCCTCACCTGCCCTCACCCTCACAAGTGCAGATGTACTAAGTGCTCTTTATAATTTTCAACTTGGAAACCAACCAATGAAGTTAGACAAGCTAGTGATTTGATGAAAGCAATATGCAGAGCTTCATGGCTGAGCGAACACTGAATGTGGCTTTTCCCGCACCCAAAGCCGATTCACTAATCACCTGGCATCCTGACCAACCAAAAATTTAGAGAAAGGGTTTGCGATTTCAGTTACCACTGCATTCTTCTGGCACATGCTGCACTTGGTGGAAATACTGTTTGTGTGAATGGTGACGACAGGCTTCCTTTTCAGCTCGTACATGGATAGACATGACTGGCTGCAGAAGTCCTTGCTGGAGTTAGTGTTGTCAAACTGAGCGGTAATCACATCCTTTGGATTCAGAATGTCCCTACACAGTTTTGAAAGAGGAAGAAATCAGGTGTTCAACTTTCACAACCACAAATTTACATCCTCCACAGACCAGTGAGGTTCTCTGCAACACCAAATGTCAGCATAGTGGTTGTGATCCGTCTAGCTAGCATGTTCCACTTTACAAATGGAGCAACTGATACCAATGAGTGTGACCTGGCCTGACTACAACAGAATCACAGAAGTAAACCCAGGGCAAGCTTCAGTTACTTCGTGGGTACTTCCAGGGATGTACAAGCTCTGTATCAATACTTCCACAACCAGAAGATGTCTTCAAAATTTATCTAGATCTAGATCTAGATCTATATAAAAGATGGTTAAGTTCAGTCAAAGGCGACTATGGGGTGTGGCGCTCATCTTGCTTCAGGCCAAGGGAGCCGGCATTTGTCCACAAACAGCTTTCCAGGTCATGTGGCCAGCAGGACTAAACTGCTTCATGACGGAAACCAGAGTGCATGGAAATGCCTTCTACCTTCCCGCCACAGCGGTACCTATTTATCTACTTGCACTTGCGTGCTTTTGAACTGCTAGGTTGACAGAAGCTGGCACAGAGCAACAGGAGCTCACAACCATCATGCAAGTTCAAACCACTGACCTTCTGATCGGGAAGCCCAAGAGGCTCAGTGGTTTAGACCACAGCGCCACCCGCATCCCTTCAAATTACATTCCCAGGGCTGTTTACAAAATAATAATATTAGTGCTATGTTTCTTTCCCCTTTCACAAAAAATAAAAAGCAAAAAAGGCTAAGATTTTTTCCATTCCTTCTGCTGATTGTCAGTGTCAAAAGTCTGCTTTGCAAGCATTTTATTTTCCTTGACTTGAGTACATGGGTGCTTCCAGACTGTCACTACCTTTGGGGTGGAATTCAATCACATACCAGCAAATCCAAGTTACAAAACTGAGTTGATGCTCTTATGCAACAAACCTCTCCCCCCCCCGCCCAAAGTGGACTTTCTGCAGCAAAGGGAAGTGTGGGATAACATGTACTTGACACAATGCCTTCTAAACTCCCCACAAACAATTCAGAATGATTTGTAGCACATTTCAAAGCCTCAGAGCCCTTACTTTGAGCAGCTGGAACAGGTTTTCTTGGAAGAAGCTGGTGGTCGTGTGGCTGGTACAGTATATCCCGTGAGGCACAGTGTGGAGCAGAAGAGCTGAGTGGAGCCTTTCCTCTGATAGGCTGTTTGCCCCTTCTGTAGGATCTTCTTACAGCCTGAACAGGAAACCCGAACAGCCGTACTCGGGACTGAAGGAAGCAGTTTGTTCATGCCAGAGGATGGTGTGTTAGGTGGGAAATTGGAAGTCAGCTGTGGAGCTTACCAAGAAGAGAGGGAAGAAATATGCTGCTATTGAGGTCATCTTCAGAGGCTCTCCTCCAGGTGCTCCACCTCCACCTGAGAAGCAGGTGGTGACTAGAGGCGGGGGGAGCTTCTTGGTTGTTGCGCCTTTTTAGAAGTCCCTCCCCAGAGAAGTTTGCCAATGTTGCTATTTTTTTTGTAATGTATTACTGACTTTTAATATAAAATAAAAAAATCACTACTATTACCCTTCTGCTCCATTTGCTCAAACAAAATACAGAAAGCCATTTCTTCCAAGGCAATTAGTATATAGTTATGTACTACTTTGGAAACCGGACTTATGAACAGGAAGAAGTCAAATTACTGGCCACCAATGCCCCATTAAATTATCTGTTTTCTGTCTCCCTTTCTGAGTCCTGATTTTCTGTGTTGAGCAACGTATTCATAATTAATAAATCCCAAACTGTCTGCACCCAATCCTTTTCTTCAGAGGATTCAATAGATTTCCATGTCTGTGCTATCACTAATCTGGCAGCTGTTAACAAATTATGAAACAATTTCTCTTGGCAAAGCCTTTTTAAAATGTCCCTAGGCTTTTTAATGCTATAATTTATTTAAAAGTTCTCTTTTGATTTCTGTTATTTATCTTGCTTTTGTAAATCTCCCTGGAAGCATTGCTGAAGGATGGCGTAGCCATCTGAAGAACAGGAGGGGCAAGCGCAACCCTTTTCCTTACCAAGAGGGCTGCCACTGACTGAAAACACAGCACTGATCTTCAGTTCCCCTTCCTGAGTTTTTGGCTGCTGGCCATATTCCTGAAACAAAACAGCTACAGGTAAAATTCCAGCCACTGTGATCACCAGTACTCAATCTATCGTGTAAATCCTGGGACACATTTGAAATAATTGTGCCCTAACTCCAGTACAATAGTAATAATAATTAACAATAATAATAAACAATCACCTTCTGCAAGGCCCAGACTCACCAGTCCTACTGAAGAGGCTCCTCATGAGGCTGGAGGAACATTGCCTGGCTGTGAGTGTGAGGGCCGCTCCCTGCAAGGCACTTTGCACCTGGCCGAGGGGGCGGGGCCCACACTCACCAGCCCTAGAAAGAGGCTCCTCATGAGGCCGGAGGAACATTGTCCTGCTATTGTTTTATTGATTTAATATGCTTTAAACCGCTTTGAGATTTTTATTAAAAATGTAAAGCAGTATAGAAATTAAAATGAATAAATAAAAATAAATAAACATCTCAAGGTGATGTATAATAAAATAATCCTCCACTGGGTTGGATGCCATGACAGATCACTTTCCCTATGCAGTGTGCTGGTGTCAGCCACGTTTGATGGGAATGGCTCACCAAACTCCATCCCTACTTTACTTTCCTCCATGCCCCTGCCCCACTTATACATGCATCCAAGATACTGCACTTTTCCATGAAAAGAGTTATTCTGAAGGCAGCTATAAAAGCATCCAAAGAGCTAAGAACAGAGATGCAACCCCGTCCCTACTACCTCTCAATATCTTCACCATACAGCTTTAACCCAGCAGCCAATGCTGCACTTATAACACAGAGAGACAGGTCAAGGCTAGGCAGTTTATGTCCCATCTTACCTCAGTATTATCTGGTTCATCCTTAATTTTGTTCAGCAGCCCCTGCTGAGGTGCAATAGCTTTATCGTAGTCATTGTCCAAAGGCTCTTCCTTAATTCTAATATTTGGTGCATAGGAATTCCCCAGCTCTTGACCAACGGATTCCTTATTAGCAAACAGGTAGCTAGACTCCTAGCACACAAGAACAGTAACTTCAGCAGCATACACATTTGGGAGATAACTTTCCCATTTACCTCTGAATTTAGCTACAGTCCACTTTCCCATTTTTCTCTTCTCCAGCAGCTTTCCCCATGACCTCTCCTCTTGTTCTTGTTACCCTGAGTTTCTATGTTTCCATCTTCTATGTTTCCTGACCTAGAAACTCCTCTCCCCCATTCCCTGGTCCACTTTTTCTCTCTTACACCTACCTTTCCTTTCCTAGACCCTTGCTGCTTCTCTCTTTCCTAGGATCTTCTACTTTGCCCCTATATAAGATCAGAGCAGCTCAGAGAATGACAGTCCAGGACCCTTCAACTAGCTCCACCGTTCTGTGGCATTATGGCAGCTTAGCCAACTATTAGCAGAGGGTTCAACAGCAGCACAACAAAATCTCTACAATATTCCTATTCCAAAAAAATGCACTTTGATTTGCCAATCAAATAAAGGCCCACAACTTACCCTGAAGTTAGTTTCTGGTGTTTGTGGTGCCAACTGTGTCCGTAATGTTTCATCCACTTGATTAGTAACTAGGGAAAAACATATTCAATTAGCATCCCTTTGGAAAACAATTCACATCAACCTGTGGACTACTGCAGCAATGAAGGGTGGGGAACTGCATTCGGCTGGCAGGCCCGATCCTGATCTTCTGATTTCTTCACCCACTTCACCCACAGGTGGGCAGTCAACCAACATCATGCAACAACTTCACTCACTGTCAGCACCAAACAGTTGAACAGCACTGTCAGTGAACCCCACTTGTCAAGGAACAATTGGGAGCACATGTTAATTTTTTTAAAAAAATAATCCTTTGCAGCAAAATACTTAGCTGCCCCACATTATGTCATCAGGTGTAAGACTGGTCAGTTTGGTTTGGGGGAAATGGACTCAGGGGCCAAATTAGAACCCTTGCCAGGTCTAATTAAGTCTGCAGTCCAGAAGTCCCCACCACTGCAGTACTATTTTGTTGATCAGTTTTTTCAAAAGTTGATGGAACTGAGTATGTCAACCAGATGCAGCCATCCATGAGGCAAAGTGAGTGCCATTAAGCGTGGCAGACAGATCTGTCCCATGGTGTGTAATCCACTGGGAATTTCCTTGAAGATGTTTCACTGAAATAAGCAGAAACTCATTAAGTTTAACCTAAACCCTAAGGTTTGCTCTCTGCTTAACCTTAGCAAACAAAGTGTTACCTGATTTATCGAGGAAACTGCTTTTCAATCTGGAATCCATTTCCTTCGGCATTTTTTCCAATCGTTTGTCATGCTCCTGAAAAGGTCCTTCTCTGGCTTTCTCCTTTGTCAAAAAAATATCTTTAGCATCATCTCTTCCTATGCTAAAATCTTTCCGAACAGACTTAAATACAGAGGGCCCTTTGTCAAAAGGGGAAGAGAGGTCTTTCTGAATCACATTTTGCATCTGTGTGTCTTTCTCATTGTCCACTGCATGATCCCGAACCCTCCTCATATCTCCCCGACTATCCTCAGGGCGTGAAGGGAGGCTATCCTTTGCAGGAAAAGTTTGCTCGTCCTCATTGTCACTCCCAACAATAGGAATCCCTGTAAGATCCCCAGAGTTCAAGAAGTAATCACTGTCAACCAACAAAGAGTTTGTAGATCCTGTTCGATTCTGCATTCTGTACGGTATGCTGTCGAAGGCAGGGGTTAGGTTGTGAACAGTTTTCTCAGACATTTCTGTAGGTACAAGCTCACCACCTGGAGAAGGAAGAAGAATAAGATGCTTTCCAAAACCAACATATTTACAATATGGAAGCAAATATAACAATGAGGATATTGTTTTGGGCTTTCAGCTGGCTATTACAGTTTGTAATTCTGATGTTTTGTATTTCAAAAGTTGTTTTTTGCAACCTTGTGACTGGATGTGAAAGAGGGAAGGAGACTTAATAAAATAAAATATTTATGTGTGCCCCAATGTATTTACAGTGGTACCTCGGGTTAAGTACTTAATTCGTTCCGGAGGTCCGTTCTTAACCTGAAACTGTTCTTAACCTGAAGCACCACTTTAGCTAATGGGGCCTCCTGCTGTCGCTGCGCTGCCAGAGCACAATTTCTGTTCTCATCCTGAAGCAAAATTCTTAACCCGAGGTACTATTTCTGGGTTAGCGGAGTCTGTAACCTGAAGCATATGTAACCTGAAGCGTATGTAACCCGAGGTACCGCTGTATTATACTTTAGGGCAGTGGTGTCCAAGTTTTTTTCAAAGAGGGCCAGATTTGATGAAGTGAAGGGTCATGGGAGCCAACCAAAGGGCCAACCAAAATTTGGATCCTTTTTTTAGGATTGAAGTTGTTGAGGTTTTTTTTAGGATTTTACCCCAGGAAATGAACTGCCACAGGGGCCGGATTAAACCGACCAGTGGACCAGATTAGGCCCCCAAAACGGACTTTGGACATGCCTGCTTTAGGGGATGGAATAATGTCCTTAATCTGTCATGAACACACTGCTGATCAACTTCTTTGGAAGACTCAAAGTTCCAGTATGCTAAGAAGAAACAATTAACAATGTTCTTACCATTCTAGAAAATTCCTGGTTCCAGTCTTCCTCCCCACCCTTGCCCCAACAATTTGCTGTTATGTCCAAAAAGTACAGACTGTAGTTAACCTAAACTAGAGTTCATTGAAACAAGCCAGGGTCAAACCATGATTTATGATGCACCCTTAAGACTTGACCATGAACTAGTATAACAACCAAAATGGGGCACTCGTTTCACCTTTTAAGGCTATTTGACAATTATAGAAAGCTTTGTGCCAAGACCTTAAGATAGCTTTCTTTGGTACATACAGCCAGTTTAAACACTATTAGCCTACAGTGTGGTCCCCCAATATACAGCTACTTACACTGACTCACCAGACATACTAGTTCTCATTACTCTTAATTTGCACTGTTCCGCAATTTTAGAGCTCTCTGTGGGGTTATCAGGAATTGCCACAAATACTGCAGATGGGTGGAGAATGCATCCCCCCCAATGGTTTTGCAAAGTGTCAGTATCAGAGTTTTGGAATACATGTAGTAGCTACCAAACTGGGTTATTAGTTAATGATCTGGAATATTTTTTGTTACTTACAACCCCACCACTTAATGACTGGACTTAAGCCATCTGGAACTGGGATTCTGGCATCTTTTAAGAAAGGGACAGAAACTTTTAGCTCATAAAGAAAGGAGTTTCTGAGGAGGAAGGAATCTTTCGTAAATAAACAAATAAAAGAAGCACATACGTTTTTCTGCTATACTCCCAAAAACTGCATCAGCTTTGTCTTCATACTGCAAAGAGAAAAGGAAATATATAATTATTCTGGTTTATTCACATAATTTCTCATTTATCTATTTATTAAATTTCTATGCTGCTCCTTCATTCAAGAATCACAGGGTGGTTTACAATATAAAAACACAAAAATACATGATAGGAGAAAAGTATTTTCCTCTTCCAGTTACCAAATTCCCAGTGCAAAAACTCACAACTTTATAATGCAGTTATCTTACAATTCAGCCTTCTACACAAATTAAAGAAACAGAATACCTATTCCTACCAAGACTTTCTTATTTTATACAGAAAGGCATAAAATGACCATTAAGGATTAACCAAACAAAATAGATTCATTCACAACATGAAAAGATTTTGCAACTGTTGATAATCCAGTGATTTTTTTAAAAAAACCTGGTGGGTTTAAGAGATAATGCTATTTCATGTTGGTACACCCTCAACTAAGTTCAGAAATTGGAAGTTTGCAGATGGCCCACCCCATGCCCTGTGATTGGTAACAATGCGGGGCTGTCTCAAATTTTGTTTGCTTACATTTCTCTATGCACCCACATTTTCCTATGGTTTTTCAGGCCTATATCCAAATGGGGAGAATAGGACCAGAGAGAATACCCACATCGACCTGGTCCTGTGATTCCAAATGAAGTTTCTGAACCTTAGTGTATTTCTAGAGGAATCCTAGGAGTTGACAAATGCCAGTTTCTTGCTTATTTCAGTAGCTGACAGGAGAGTTGGTTTCTCTGTTTAACAGTACAGTAGTTAAACAGTGAGAGATGGTTCTCCTCTGATCAGCTGTGTTTGATGGTATGGTGCAGGCAAAGTAGTGTTACAAACCTGGCTTTCCAATGCTGAGCACTACTGCTGTTTACCAAGAGGGAGAGGGTCAAGGCAAGGAGAGCTCAGTAAGGAGCCAATCTGCTGTTCCTGTTGTTGCACCTACACCAAGCTATGCACACCTCATCCTCCCAGTAAGCGGAAGTGAGACTCAGAATTGGGAAGCCAGGCACGCAACACCACCCTGCCTGCACTGCTGCCTCTAACATAGTAGGGTTGAGAATGGTACAGTTACTAACATGGTGCGGTACTTGTAGCTGTGCTTCCTAGTGCCATAACAATGGTTTCTGGTAATTAAAAATGTCAAAGCATTTTTTGAAAATAATCTACCCAAAGAGGTACACTGACAGGTGAGGAATGTAGCGGCCTAATTATTCACATTTCAGTGGATTTGTAGACCAGTGCTTTTTCCCCTCTAAAAGGCACTCACAGGGTCTCATAGATAATATCAAGTTAGACCAGTAGTATAAGTGTTAGCAATACAGTGGTGCCTCGCAAGACGAAATTAATCCGTTCCGCGAGTGTCTTCGTCTAGCGGTTTTTTCGTCTTGCGAAGCAACCCTATTAGCGGCTTAGCGGATTAGCGCTATTAGCAGTTTAGCGGCTATTAAAGGCTTAGCGGCTTAGCCGCTAAAAGGCTATTAGCGGCTTAGCGGCTTAGAAAAAGGGGGGGGGAGCGAAAAAAAAATCTCAAGACTCGCAAGACATTTTCGTCTTGCGAAGCAAGCCCATAGGGAAATTCGTCCTGCGAAGCAACTCAAAAACGGAAAACCCTTTCGTCTAGCGGGTTTTCCATCTTGCGAGGCATTCGTCTTGCGGGGCACCACTGTACAAGTGTTAGCAAACTAGAACACACTGTAAAATGTACAAGTGATGAATACAATTAGCTATCTGTACAAGCAAAGTAGAAAATATTATAACAGAATAAGTTTAACCACACTTTCACTTGGCCCGTATTTTGATTGTATTAATCTTACCCGCTGAATCGGATCTGATCAGATTTGAAGAGATTCTGCTTAACCGAGCTTCAATTCAGTGGGTAAGATCAGATTTTCACAAGGCACAGCAGTGGAACAGCGAGAAAAGCTTTAGAGCCTAGGGAAATTAATTGGTACACAACATGATCAAAATATGACATTGTGAGAGGAAACTGTTTCCTCATAACATGTGTTTCTCTCATTAATGAAAACTTAAGTCCTGCATATAATTTTGTGTTCTGGTATTTTAAAATTTGACTATTCTCTGCTCTGTCTGCTTTTAACAGATGCCATTTGTCAGGAAATACTCTGCCATACTGGTCAGGGAATATACGCTCATGTTTTGGCTTTTATATTTCAAACCTGCAGTGTCCCCCGTAGCACTGTTAACTTATCTTCTACCAATGTGTCAATTTCTCCTGAACATAACATAGGTATTTATATACACTTTGAGAACAGTCTCTAAATCTATAGTTCTAGGAACATCATCTTCCAATTAACATTAATTTCTGATTCATTTTTTTTCAAAGTCATATTGTGAAATACTAGGACTGTAAAGCATCTATTGCTGCTTTTTTAACTGTGTATTTTTTGTCTCTACTTAATATCATTTAATTGAATTTACCACATTCCTTCAAAGTTGTCATTAACACTGAGCAAAAGGATCATCATTTATTAATAAGACAAAAACTATCTCCTGTTCTCTTATGTCTGTACAAAAATCAAATCTCTGGTCCGATTCTGCTTTGTATTCCAAAGTCAATTTACCTACCCTCATGTACCTATCCAACAACCAAACATACTCATTCATCTTCACTCTGTCTGACAGACTTTGTTAATTCTTCAATCACAGATGAAGAAACATCAGATACTGAAGTCACTTGTGTTATGGCTCCACTTGTTAATGTTCAAAAGAAAGGATTGCTCTTTTGCAGCATGTTTCCAAAAATGATACTATCCAATAAAACATTATTGGTCATCATTAAAATGGCTAAGCTCACATTCAAGGCAAAGCCATAGCTAGGGAAACCAATCATGGTTTCTTCAGCAAATATGTCTCACAGATAAGTAAACAATTTATGGCTTGTTTCCCCAGAGCTTGCTTTGTTTTCCAGCTGCTGATGTGTCTGTAGCTTAGCAAGCATATGGGGTGGGGTGTTCTAACAAACAACAGTTAAACAAGACCAGTGGATTCAGACAGAGCATTAAACCATAGTTTAAACAAGCCATGGTTTCTCATGCTGGTTCGTTGCCAGAAAACAAACCATGATAAAACTTGCAGGCCATATATGGACATTCCTTTTTTGTATTTGTATTTAGTTTTATTGGTTTTAATGTAAACAGTGTAACAGGTAACAGAGGTTTAGCAGCCAGATTTACAATTACAACAAGGGTGTGATGTATTGAAACGTAACACTGTGAGACATCTACCAAAACAAGATGAACATAAAATATCCATTCCAACATAAACCATGAGTCACTGGGTACCAATAGCCAGTATTATATTTATTAATAAAGCTTATAAACAGAAACCAGATGACAAAGTTATCATGTTTTGCCAAACCCTTAATCACTGCATGATGATGACATGAGTGTTCTGAAAGAGCAATATCCCATATTCTTGACCACCATCTCTCTTTGGAGGGCCCATCTGGGGCTTTCTAGTTTTGAGCAACTTCTAAGCGTACAGCAGCCAGTAATAAGGAGATTAAATCTTTGTGATACCTTGGGGTTTGTCAGATTTTCAGCTGTCAAAAATCTTTCAGAAAGACCCAGTGCATTCAGATGCAATATCAGAAATTCAGGGGAACCAGGCCAATTTCTTGTAATTGTAGATGAATAAAAGCAAACATATTAGACACAATGCTAATTTCATCTATGATTAAAAGTAGTAAAGGCTTAATGAGGCTCTGTAGAAAGGCAGCAGTGTCAAGACCTAACTTTCAATACTTCATCCACGTGCTCCATTGGGAGCATAAAACAGCTTACAGGATAATCACACTACCAATGCTGTACTGAGTATAAGAAGAGCCTTGCTGGACCAAAGGCCCATCTGGACCAAATTGTTTTCACATTAGCCAACCAGATGCCTACGGGAAGGTCATAAGCAGGACAGGGATGCAATAGCACTCTCCTCACTTATGACATCCTGCAACAGGAATTCAGAGATGTACTGTCTCCAACAGTGGAAGTAGGACATGGCCATTGTGGTTAGTAGCCACTCATAGCATTCTCCTCCGTGAATTTGTCTAATTCTCTTTTAATGCAACCCAAGTTGGGGACTGTCACTACCTTATGTGAAAACGAAATCAGGAATTTATGAAATGTGTGAACAAGTTTGCTTTTGTCTAACTGGAATCTTCCGATATTCAGATTCACGAGATGAAGTTGGTTCTGGCATTATGAGATTTCCCTATCCACTATTCATGCATGTTCTCATACAACTCAATTGTGTCCCCACCCTCACCTATTTTCTTTAGTTAAAAAGCTACAAATGTAACCCATCTTCACAGCGGAGTTGCTCCATCCCCTTGCTCTATAGCAGGGGTAGGCAAAGTTTTTGTGGCTTGGGCCGGTTCACAGTCCCGCAGACACCGCGGTGGGCCAGAGTGTGTGCGCACTCACGCATGCGCAAATGCTATTTTCAGCGTGGAGGAGGCGTGCGCAGCTTCCCATTGCCTGAAGGAGCTTCCTGCAGCCAATGAGAAGCCGGCCAGTGTCGCGAAAGGCCGTTCCCCACTCTGCTCCGTGCCAGTTTAGCGTGGCACACAGGAGCCGACCGAGCAGGCAGCGGGGGTAAACAGCTCCCATGGGCCACTTGTGGCCCATGTGCCTTTGGTTGCTGACCCCTGCTCTACAGTTCACTTCTGTCTCTGGTACAATGCATTTGGTACAACACATTGTGAGCATTATACTTTCCAAATTTGCTTAAATTATAGCCTTGTAACAGGGTGGGCTCCCGTTGCTCGGTCCCTGCTCCTGCCAACCTAGCAGTTCGAAAGCACGTTAAAGTGTAAGTAGATAAATAGGTACTGCTTCGGCAGGAAGATAAACGGTGTTTCCGTGTGCTGCTCTGGTTCGCCAGAAGCGGTTTAGTCATGCTGGCCACATGACCCGCAAGCTGCGGACAAACGCCGGCTCCCTCGGCCAGTAAAGCGAGATGAGCGCCGCAACCCCGAGTCGTCCGCGACTGGAACTAACAGTCAGGGGTCCCTTTACCTTAACTTGATTAGATCCAATATTTTGTGAACACTAATTCTCACATAAGACCTAACAAGTAATAGTAGAGGATAGAGCACTAAACTCAACAGAACTTTGCATTTCTCACAAGCTTCTATGACTGAGAATATGAGCTTAGGTTTATCTTTGGGCTCAGCTCATATGTAATGAAGTCCTTAATTTTATCTCTCTTTCCTATACTAATTACTGATCTTCTAGCAATGTAAATAGTGTATGCTGAACATTCTTAAACTCAAAGAATGATCATTACACTGAACTCTGATAGCACTGACTCAGGTGTTCTTTTTTCAATTTTTCAGTTCTACAATAATGAACAGAACCAAGCATTTTATTTATTTTTCATCAACAATATTTAACCAATTCACCTAAGATGGTTCACATGTAATGCTAAGCCAGACTATGTCTTAGTGCACATGTCTAAGTGTGACTGAGAGATCACAATCATGATCCTTGCCTAGTCCTCTTGCTGCTGCACTGCCAGAGGTTGTCTTATAGCATGTTGTCTAAACTTAAGCTCATAGTTTCTCTTCTCCAGAAAGCTGTAAAACTAAGAACTTTGCTTACAGCTCACAATTTGTCTAGCATGAGGCAAACCAGGAGCCCAGGTTTGGACCTGCTAAGCCAAACCATAGCTTAGCTCACAGCAGAGCAGCAGCAGGACCAGAGGAGGAGCAAAGTGCTCACAATTTCCTCTCCGGGAGCCTGCATGCACATGCATTCATGCTAAACATAGTCTGGCTTAGCATTATGTGCGAGCCAGCTCAGAATCATCATGGAGTGTTGTGGCCTTTTGCACAATAAAGTACAAACTATATTTCTGTACACAAATCATTTTCCATATTTTGATTGGTAATACATGAGCTCATCTGTATTCAGTTTTCTAGTAAAGCTACTTCTGTTTTTGTTACTGAGAACATGATTCATAAAAATAATTTACAGTGATGACAGTAATCACTATAAAGGAGTATTCAATAAGATGAGACATTCTTGTAATTCTTTTGTATGGTTTTATGGCATTTTATGTGTTACAGTATTTGCATATATTACTGTGATATTTTATGTGAGTGGGTGAGTTTTATGTGAGTTTACAGTTTACAGTTGTTTTAGTCTTTCAGAATGCCTACCTTAAATTTATTCTTCTCTTGTCTAATCTGCACTGCTAAGTTGTCTGTATGAGTAACCAATTGTTTTAGATTTAACCTTATTTGAAATTTTGTTGTGACTGATTTTAGAGATCCAAAAGAATTCCTCATAACATTAGCTATACTGTAGTAAGGGGCACAAAGTATAAGACATTTTTAAAGAAAAGAAAAGCTTTAAAATCTATCTCCCTGCTCTCCCTCCCTTGTCCCTTTTTTGTCTTTTGATAATAGGTACTTTTTAGACCACACCTTATTTCCCCTCAGGACACATTTTGTCCTATTTCTTTTAGCAACGTTAGCCTAATTTTTGGCTTTATTTGTTATGTTTATTATCTGATGTATCTCTGATTTAAGTGTGGTCCCTGCAATATTTCTCCTCACCCCTTTTAGCTTTTTGAGGTGGTAGTATCTACGTCTCTTCTGTCGCTTTCTTTGTTGCTTCGATGGCATTTTTTCTTCTTTGTATTTTACTCCAGATGCTAAAAGAATAATATTCAAGTCTGGTTAAAAATATTTAGTGTTGATTCTAGTGAGGCAGCACACTTAGTCATATTTAGCATATCTCTAAAACAGTTGCAGTATATTCTGAATTATGGTTGGGCCTTAAAATCATCCTTGTGATACACCACAGTACGTTTGAGTCAAAAAAGTAACAATAAACTCAAGAAGCTGCTAAAAAACAAAAGAACATCAGAGCAGAATAAGACACAAAGCAGTTTGCTTCAACACAAAGCATTTCAAACTCATCTAGCCCATATCTCACCTAAAATAAGCCCATGTATGTGTGGGTTTCATACTAAGTAGGCATCATTGGCAAAGAGGAGAGTTGACTTCTCTACCAAGGGTAATCTGGCTCCTGGCTTGTCTGCCAAGGGTAACAATGTAGTTTTATGATATACAAAATTATCCCCCAACACTAACAGTGATTTTTTACACTTGAAGGGTAAAAAATTACTATGAAAGTTGATACAAATTATCACTACTGACAGTTCCCAACTTCCTTCCTCCTAGATTCATAGAATCTGAGTTTGCACCTTAATTTTTAACAATGTTGTTACACAAAGGAAATTAAGAACAGAGGACCAAAATTCCCAACACCAGTATGTACATGAACCCAATATGACATAATTGTTACTTTTGCTGTTGGATGTTGTATGTTTAAGTAATCTTGAAATGTGGCTTTTTGTATGTTATTATATTTGCTATTGTTGTGCTATGTTACTATGAAATTGTTACTATGTCATTGTTTGCTATGTTATTATAAAATTGTTTTTGTGGTATTTGCTTGAAGTGCATTCCTGTTTTCTGTTGTAAGCTGCTTTGAGCATGATTTTGTGTGTGGAAAAGCAGCATACAAATAAAATGAATGAATGAATGAATATTGGGATGCAAATAAAATGGTTCCAGCAACATTTGCTTCTTGAAACTATTAATTTAATATATATTAAGATATTTAGAATGTGCAAATAAAGGAAAATTAAACAAAGTATTTTGTTTTAGAATTATTAATTTTTGAATATAATTGGTAGTTCTTAGCAATATGTGTACTCTCATTCACAATATAAGCTCTACACTTCACTACAAAGGTTGCATGTGGCAGAATGAAATGCAATTCACAGTGCTACATAAGGCGTGTGCAGAAAGTTTGGTCCAGAAGATCTTAAAAATAATGCTTATTTTAAACCAGTAACCCCATGGCATCTGATTTACTACTACTACTACTACTACTACTAAAAGAAGAATATGGCTTTAAACTTCATTATGTTCAGTCAGTAGGCACAGACAAATCTGGTCTAGTTCTAGGAGTCATCTTCACACCGTAGCAACCAGGGCCAATAGTTGACAACTAAACATTCTAGGGTGGGTGAAGAAGGAATGCTTCAGCTTAGAGCGGTTTGCCAGACTCATGTGCAGAAGCAGAACTTCCCATCAGACAACCACATGAACCTAAACTTTAGGCAACAGAAAGCAAAATAATTTCACCATTGAGAGATGGCTCCAGAATCATGTCCATAATTACCAGTAGGGCATACAAACATCTGAATAATGTACTAGAGTTTATAGTTTCTGCAGCTGCAATCTCCCATCCATGTTTCCCAAGGTATAGTGCTAATTTCTGAGTAAAGTTTACATCGACTTGAATCCCCTTTCTTTTCCCCTTCCCTCTCATCCTTTCAGTGTTCTGTCATGTGCAAAGTCAACGGCCATTAACCATCTCTCTTGCTATGTAAACACATCTTGATTTTCTGTCTCAAAGATTTTTTTGATTAATATAAACTCAGTTGCACAAAGTGGTGTAGCACAGCCTCCAACAACCTGGTGCCCTCCATGTGTTTTAAACTACAACTGTCACCCTATTGTTGGGATTATAATTAGCTTTAAAAAGTTTTCAATGCTGTATCTTAAATTGCTGTGATCTTAGGATAAAAAGCGAGTAACAAATTGTTGTTGTTGTTGTTTGCTGCTGCTGCATCTGTCTTAAAAAGAAATCATAACACTTTTATCCTACCCTTCCTCCAAGAAGCTCAGGGTGGTGTACAAGATTTTCTGCCCATTTTATACTCTCAACCACCCTATGACTGAAAGATAGTGACTTGCCCAAGGTCACCCAGCGGGCTTCATAGATTGGAGAGAAGGGAAGATCTTTATTGCTACAAGGCGAAAAACAGCTTTTGAGACCTATTTATGCAGCATTCCTGTACAGAAGGGTTCAATTCATCTCCCAGCACCATGACATGTCTGTTTTAACCCTATCTTTAGACAATGGAGATGGGGAAAAATCAGAGGGGGACTGAAGAAAGTGGGTAAATGTGAGCATGCATGTGTAAGTTTAATTTCAGAAGAAGAAAGAGACGCATGAGAGAAGCTGGGATGGGGATGATGTAGAGATGTAGCATTAAGTTGCCTGCTATAATTTACACAATGCGTGAAATCCAGGCTCTAGTGTAAAACGTGAATCCCCTCACCACAAAACAACTAGCAATCACCATCACATGAGAAATACCCTGGCAAACTTAAGATACAAGAGAACAACTGCTGGAAAAATGCAAGCAGACAGTACTCCCAGTATCCTATAACTGATTTTTAAAATGGCCTTGAAATCTGAAATGATTATTGGGTATGTGCATCTTTGATCGCTCCAAAAATGCTGAAGCATTATTATGATTGCTAAAGGTAATATTGTTACTACTACAAAGTTAAAGGGTGTTCCATTAAACTAGCCACAGCCCACGAGAACACAAATAATAATAATGTCCTAAAAATACTGTTTATATTAAGCCAGGGCAAAATGGAGTGGCTTGTTTCCTTAAGTGGGCTGGGTCATTGGTAGAAGTAATACCACTGCTCCAGCTTTCCTTTGTCTTCTGAGCACAATATGCAATGCTAGTCTTTAAAACCTTGGGTTCCACAATGAAAGATGGGATTAGCAATAGAAGACAGTAACAAAATAAAGTCTGTTTCACTCCAGCCCCCTTTTCCATAGCCCACAACAGCCATTCATATCTACCCCTTTATTTAAAAAATATCGGGTACCATATCCACACAACAAGGGCTCTCAACAATGTACTATTGGCAGTTACCTCACAACGATGGGAATTCGCTCCCCAAATGTTTCTCCAAGCCCAGGCTTGATCATTTTCTATGGCTAGGATAAGACTCTTTGAAAACTGAAGGTTAAGTCTGGTGGCTACCGTTGTCTGGCAGGAAAGAAAAGAAGAAGTTTTGTGTGTGAAACACTGGATTTAATTTACCTCAACCATCAAGTTACTAGCAAACCACTCTTATTTGCTCTTTAATCCCCATCTGCAGTATGTGGGAAATTATAATGGCCTACCTTACAGGGCTTTTCGACTGATTTTATAGAACTCTGGAGGAATGCAAAGAGTTCTCAAATTGGGGAACAGTAAACAATTTTTTGAAACCTAAAAATAATCCTATGGATAATGGGATCTATACTTGGAAAGAGCAATATATAAATACTAAGAATATGATTAGTAAGCAAACACATTATTTACATATTTCAATAGAATATACAATTTTGTTTCATTATATTATTTTCTGCTAGTTTTAAACACTACCTACTTTGAGCCCCAAAATATTTGACAGCATTTCAATTTTACAACTAACTGAAAAACATTTCTACAATATCAAGACATCACATATTCAATTAAATTTTCTATAAATATGAGCAGACAAGCTATCTGTTTGAGTTCATTAAGAAAAACTGACATGGTTCAACATTATTTTTAATAACATCATCATCCAGTTGCTATCAACTTCCACCACAATTACAAGTTCTTAGATGCTTGAAATAATACTACGCCTTCCTGGATTTCTTTCTGCTCATTGTACTACAAGGTTTATTTACTGGGGGGGGGGGCACAGAGAGAAACTATAGAAATGTAACTTTAAAAAATATATATCAACTTTTGTACAGAATGCCTTCAAGCATACCATTCCTGGGAGCGTAAGTAATAGATAAATATTGTTTTGTAATAGCATACAAAAGTCAGATATTCTTGAGCCATGGCCAAATAAGATTAAAGAAATAGTCAGAAACACTGATGGGGGGGGTGTTCAACTAGCAAGTGAATCGCACTGCCCCTCCCAGGTCTGGGAAACATTGTTTAGCATAAAATACAGTGGACATTCCATCTTCAAGCCCTTCCCAGGGTTGTGTTTGCAGAATCATAAAAGCAATTCATTGATTCCTACCTTCGAAGCATCTAGGGAGAGAGGAGTGCAGTGGGTAACAAAGAGCCAGCCTGCTGCATATACCTGCTGCAGGAAAAGAAGCACTTCCAACAGGAAGTGAACCCCTAGAGGTCAGGAGAGCCATAGAGAGCAGCTAAGGAGAGAGCTTGTATGAGTTGTGAACTCAGAAGAGCTTTGCCGGAACTGTAGAGCCCCCTAGCAGTGTCAGCTGTTGCAGCCGCCTGTGTCTAACGTCTGGCACTGCGACTGCAAGGGGAGAATGGATATGTTCATCCTAGCCTTTCTCAATAAAGTTGGACAGTCACATGTTCTTCAGGGTTTATTTTCAAACAACATTCCCTGCATGTTGAGAAACATGGCAAATGTAAAACTCTGCTCAAAACAAGAACCTAACCTGCAGCATTCATTAAAAAGAAATAAAAGCCATTTACCCATGTATTGCTCCCTAGTTTAAAATAAAGAACACTGAAACAGCAAATAAATTATTTTAAGCGTAATGACTGAAAATGGCATTTTGAATATTTATCTAAATTTTTCTGATTTCAAGTATAGGATGATGTGATTAATGACAATGAGTGATAACCAAGTACAACCAATGAAAGTTATGTAAGCCCATTGATTTTAGTTGGTCTACTCTGCATATGATTAACAGCAGCTATCAAGTTTGGGCAAATATTTTACAAATCCACTTAGATCAGATGTCATGGGGAAAAGCTACTTTCATAATTTCTCCCATTAAAAATGTTCTATATGAATACCAAATAAACAGACATTCAAGTGGGCCCTGCAAAAAGCATTGCAGTGTGGAATGCTTCTGTTCAGAGTTCCAGCCAGACATATTTTGATCACTGCATATGCTCAGTTCTCATTAGGCTGTTTACTCTTTTTTTTTTTATAAGATATTTATTAAGGTTTTTTGAAATATTACAGTGAAAATGAAAAAGAAAAAAGAAAAATACAAAATAAAAACAGTTAAAAACACACATATTTTCTATTACTTATTTTCCTTTAGCTTGTTTCCCGGACCTCCTCATTAGGCTGTTTACTCGTTCCCACCACCAGCACCGTTTCCCCTAAAGCTTTTTGGACTTCTGCAGTTTGCCCCTAGGCTTGCTGATACAGGTACATTATTCATTGGCTGCAGCAGTTTTGGCTATACTGTATAAGCACCACTCAGATAACTAAGTTTGCAATTAGAGGGGGGTCTGAAAGTGGGGGATATTAACACCAGTCCCTTGGCATAGTAGAATCATTTCCTGTTGAGATCCAGACTTTCAGCACCTTTTCCACTTTGCAGAGGCAAGGGACCTATTAGGATGATCTGCCACTGGAGGCTAATGGATACAACTGGCTTCCAGAAGCCCTGGTCCACCTGTGAAATATATGAATGGCTCAGGAAGCTGACACTATCACCCTTGAGATCCCTCCACCATGTCATAAAGCCCACTTTGCTCCTTGGTAGACCCCCTCCTTCATGTCCACCCTCCTTGGTAGGTCTGGAGTGTGGCAACATAAGAACAAGCCTTTTCAGTGGAGGCTCCATACTTATGGAATGTTCATTCGAGGGGGGCTTGCCTGGTGCCATCATTGCGTAACTTTAGGTGCCAGGCGAATACATTTCTTTTTTGCCAGGCCTTTGGCTCTTACTTATCTGTGACCTCCTTAAGTGGGTGGGATATTTTAATCTTTCCTTTTAAAAATAGCACAGACTTTTAGATTTTTTTATGGCTGTATGTTTGTTTATATATTGTAACCCACCTTATGCCAATAAATGCCAATAATTAAATACTGTAAGCCACTTTCTGTTACCTTGGTAAAAAAGCAATCAATAAATTCAATAAAAATGAGTATAAATGATTCTATTCTATTCTATTGGGGTGCTTTCCTGGCCCCCCCAAAGACACTGAGTCATATAAAGTAATGCCCAAGAGTGGATTACAATCAACATTTGGGAAGTAGGAAGACTAGGGGATTTCCTGTGCCAACAAACACTTTTATGTATTTAATACTTTTGTTATTTTATTGATTCCCCCCCCCACTTCCTCCAGTCATGCTCATTGCACCCCACAGAATTAGACACAAAAATATTAGCCAAGACCACAGGCGCTGTGGAAGTTGTCTTATAGCACATCAGACAATTGGTTCATGCAATTCAGTCAACGCTAGGCATCCCCAACCTGCGGCCCTCCAGAGGTTTTGGCCTACAACTCCCATGATCCCTAGCTAACAGGACCAGTGGTCAGGGATGATGGGAAGTGTAGTCCAAAACATCTGGAGGCCCAAAGGTTGGGAATGCCTAGTCAACACCAACTAGTTCTCATGTCACTTTAAACCAGGATTGGGAAACCTCAAGCATTGCCATTTAGCCCATGATGCCATTTTGCAGATGATTTAAGGTGTGGCATGGGTAAGGGTGGGGCTTCAAAAGAACACCAGGGCACTCCCAACCACTCATCTGCACACCTCGCTGAAGGACTGATGCTGACACATTTTCCATTCTATGGAAACCTAGCCCTCCCAGTGCTGCTCCACAGGGGGTGGGTTGAGGGATAAGAACAAAGGGGGGAAAGTCTCCCTTTGGTTTCCTCACCCCACCTCTCTGCTGCTGGCTCATCCAATGATGCTGCTATGGGGAGTGAGAGAAAAAAGCCTGCAATTTAATATGCAAGCTTTTCTCTCTCACTTTCCTCAGCAGCACTTGGCAACCCCACAAGCATTTTGACTGCTGGTCAGGACAACCCTCTTGTCAATTATGTCATGCCATAAATACATCATGTGGGCTATCCAACTGTGAAATCTGGCAAACAAGGTCAACTATATGGATCTGGCCTGTGGAACTAAAAGGTTCCTCACTCCTGCTTTAAACCATATAGTTAAACTTAGCTATGTTTTAAATGTGAATGCATGGTGTGCTCCTGCTACTGCCCTGCTGCCATGATTTAGCTTAGCACTACATTCAACCCCAGGCTCGTGGTTTCTCTCCAAACAAACTATGTGTCATGACCTGTGCATCCAACAGTGAACTGGACAGTGTTGAAGGAACACCAGTGGAGAGCCAAGTTTGGGTCATGGATCAGAGCTGACTACAGAAAATAGGGAGACCCTTGTGCCTGAGGCAGTTGGACAGAGAAGCCTCACAGATCACCAGGGTCTGTAGAGCCAGAGCCTGGACCCTTGCAAACACATTCAACTGAGCTAGAAGAACCAGATGCTTTGCATTACACACCATCAGTTGAGGGAGGGTGGCTACGGAATGAAGGACTACCCATGCAGGACTAGTTGAAATTCCTGCCCTGCAGGGGGTTTGACTAGAGAGACCCAATTACCGGTATATGATCTGCAGGTGAGAGGGTCAGTCTGTTAAGGCTCTTAAATTATCTCAAGGGGGTGGAGCCTGAAGAAGGCAATATGAAGACAGAAGCATAAAGGCCTCAGTCTGAGCCAAAACTTTGTTGGAGCAAGTAGCTCACCCGAAGCTGACCATGGTCCAGGAACCTTTAACTAGCTTTGCTGTGCCCCCATGCTTGCCATTTTCCCTCTGGATTCCAGCACTGGACCAGAACAGAGAACTATGAATGGTAAATCATGGCTTAAAATGATGTGTGGATGAGACCACTGACTGGTAGCAGCTCTCCAAGATTTCAAATGAGAGTATTTCCTAGCATTACTTGGTGAAGTCACCAAGCATTCAGACAGCTGCACAAGTAGTAACAGTGGTAGAAGTTCCTATAGGAATTCAAGAGTGGCTTGTAAGAGCCATGAGGTCACAGCTGCATCAAACAGCTCAGACCTCCTCACACCTGAGCTTCTCATGTTGACTAGAGGGGAACAAGGGCTTAATGGCCTAGTCCCTCCCATGGTGAGCTAAGCCTGGCAGGACAGCACACTCTATGGTCTTAACTGCTTCATTACTATAAGCATGTTGGTTATATGAAGGTGGTTATCACACAGATATAAGGCAGCTTCCTATGGTCAAGAACCATCAGTTCACGCATATAACTATCATGGAAAAATAAAGTTAGATACTTGCATACATAAGTAAGATTTATATCATTCAACAGGCAAAGGGACCCTTTGGAGGTTTTGCCAGCAGCAAGCAATTTATTTTTAATGAACTTTACACCTGAATGGATTGCAAGTCCACACTGAAAAAGCATAATTATTATTGGCTAAAATAAATTGCTACTTTAAAAAAAAAAATCCTGCCTGTGCTGCTTTCAGCATACCTGGAAAAGACCACCCCTGCCCTGGCTTTTAACAAGACAAAGATGATAAAGCTTTGATACTCATGTGCTGCAAAAGCTTCCTGTGGCTGTTACAGTTGTGGGTTTTTTTACACTAAAATGCATTTATATTTATGTTTTTAAAATGTTTTAAGTTGCTTGCAGACCCTTTGAGTAACAAACAATTAAGAAGTCTAATAAATGATAACGACAGTAATAGCTTATTATAAACTACTTCATTGCCACTTTGGTGATAATTTTTGAAAATAAATAAATAAATAGCTTCCTGCTGTTGCCCACCCTCTTGCTTCCAACCTCTACTGCCACACTATCCATGGTGCAGTGCCTGTGCTTGCACTGGGGCAGTTGTGGTTACCCAGTTCTGTAATAGTATATGTCTACTGCTTTAAAAGACAGAGACTTGCATATGCAGCAGTTGCTTTTTAGGCTAAGCATAGGGAGTGCTATGTATATTTGCAATGATGTGCAGTGGAACATTTCCTACTGTTTAGAAATGAATCATTTCAGAACAACATATTGAATGAACAAAACAAAAATGAAGCTGAGCAACTGGTATGGATACAAAGTTAGACAAATAAAAAAATCAAAGTTGTAGTTAGGACTTTTTCCTGGTACAGTGGTGCCCCGCAAGACAAATGCCTCGCAAGACGAAAAGCTCGCTAGACGAAAGGGTTTTGCGTTTTTTGAGTCGTTCCGCAAGACGAATTTCCCTATGGGCTTGCTTCGCAAGATGAAACGTCTTGCGAGTTCCTGCGAGTTTGTTTCCTTTTTCTTAAAGCCGCTAAGCCGTTAATAGCCGCTAAGCCGCTAATAGCCGTGCTTCGCAAGACGAAAAAACCACAAGACGAAGAGACTCGCGGAACGGATTAATTTCGTCTTGCGAGGCACCACTGTAACTATCCCTAGGAAGCAAATGGGCACACAACTCAGGGCAGGCAAAAAGCAATGGATTGAATTCAATTTCACCACCTGTTCCTGCATGGTTATTTGACCCAAGGTACATCTTCACAAATGGAAGAGAAGGGGAAATTTTTTTTGCCAATTCACCTTTTCCCATACAGGCCTCTGAAAAAGTGTTCCAAGGGGTTGGGGGAATCGTCAGAACAATGTGGAAGATGGTATAGAGCTGTGTGGCAGGGGAGAAGGCAGAATTGGCAAAAATTTCCTCTACCCCTTTTCAGTTAGTGGAAGCCTCAGCTAGGCTAACCATTGTCCATAAACAGAAGAGCACATCTAGATACAAGATACAACAGTTAAGCTTCCAGGGCCTTCATTTCTTTTTCTTCTGGGTATTAAGGAAGAAGTAAGATATTTACACAGCATATAAAAGCACACTTTACTACCTTCATTTACCAGGCAAACAGGCTAAATTAGATCTCAATCCATTTAGGGAATTGAATACTTTTCTGTTTCAGTTTTCTTGAGACTACCCATACTAATATATACACTGCCCAATAAACAAACAAACATTCTACAGTGATATCTGCACGAGCATTCTCCAATTAATAAAATTCTGCAACTTGTATAAAATGTGTGAATGAAAAAAACTTGCACAAGTTTCCACAGTGAATAAAAATGACAATTACATAATTGTATACTATTTTGCTACCATGGGGAGAGGGAAGGAACCTGCAGAGCAATGATACACTACCGAGTTGTTGTTATCTGCAATTATATCCCACCTTTTTCTCCAAAGAGCTCAAGGTGGTAGACATGCTTCTCCCCCTCCTCATTTAATTCCCACAACAACCCTGTGAGGTAGGATAGGCTAAGAGGCAGTGACTGACCCAAGGTCATCCAGTGAACATCACAGCTGCGAAGGGTCCTAGTCAGGTGCTCTAACCACTACACCACACTGGTTCCTATTAGAGATTATGTACATTAACAGAGCACTTCTAAGAACAAGTCTACTTCTACATATGCTCCATTAAGTTCAATGGGACATACTCACAGCTAAATGAGTATGGTACTGCAGCCTAAATGTTCTGTGTAGCCAGATATTCAAATGACACCTACATTTTCACTGTAAAGAGCAATATCCATTTTCATTGTAAAGAGCACTTCTGAGTGACTCCCAGTTCCCATTGGATCTTTTGCTTTTCACTTTACAGATATATTGTGAGCTCTCACATTTGCACTTTGAAAACATTAACTCTCTCCACTCAGCTGGGTCAGAAGACGTCAGCATTTATTATGTTTTCAAACTTTCAGACTTCCGGGTTAGCGCCATCGGCGAATGGCGGAGTTCCTCCGACCGGAGGAACTGGCGCCGTGGAAATTGGGTCTTCCCGCCACAGCGAAGGTGGGGACCCGCTAGAAATCCCAGGCAGAGGAAGCCTGGGAACGTGGGGTTCGGCAGGGCACCAGGAGCGCCTCCCCTACTCACAGGGAACCCCATTTCGGGGTTCCGGAGCGAAGTGGGGTGAGCGGCGCGGTGCTACGAACTGATTGCTACTTTCACGGAGTGAAGCCGCACAGCCATTGCCGGAGAGCGCTGACTTTTCCTGTGGACAATTGGATTTAAAACAAGTATCCGTGAGTAGAAACGGAAAATTGGATCAAGAAATATCCTAATTTGGCACCGAAGCGGGAAGGTTCAAAACAGGAAGTCCGCCTTCCGCTTTTTGTATATAGACTGAGGCAAAAACCTTGTAAGCTAAAGCCTGAAAAGTCGTTTAAAAAGTTTAAATTTCCTTCATTTATAACCACTAAAACCCCCTTGGAAGCAGGAGAAAGGGGGGGGGGACTTTGTTTAAGCCTGCAGGAGAGGGAGTGAAGAAAGATAAGTTTCCACCGTCTCTAACCTGGGAACGGGGTGTCAGAGACAGAAATTGTTGGAGAGGTTCACTGACTGTGAATGGAATACTTTGACAGATAGCTAAAGAAGAGAAATAAACTGATTCCAATGTTGCCTTTTGCATTCTAAAGAAACAAAATATCTGAAAAATGAAAGTAATTTTCCTTTGTTGGACTTGCCTTAAAAAGATGGATACAAATAGAAATTGTCTCCTCTAGAGGGAGCTTGTTAAATTGTTGCTGCAGTCTACTTGAGGACTCTACAGCTGTGAGATTAAGATCGTGGGACCAGTCCTTTTGACCTTGTATAAAAATGAGCTGGGAGGAAGTTTTGGTGCTTGCTTTATGCAAGACAAGTGCTTTGTTGGAACAGATGCATGAGAAGATGGATCTGATGAATGAGAAAACGGATTTGATGACTGTTGTGGTCAATAACTGTGGACAAACAGGGAATATTGATACAGAAACCATTCAGGGACCAACTCAGGAACCTGTATTGATTGGGCAAGTGCAGAAGATAATGGAGGAGGTTGCGGTTGCACCTCAAATAATACAAATGGAGAGATCCGAGGCCCTGCAGGAGCATAAGCCGCTGTTTTTGAAGATTGAAGTTGGAGTGGGCCAGGGGGAGTCTGGAGCTGAGGAGGTTCTTAACTTCGGAGGGACTTTGAAATATGCTCTTAAATATTTTTTGGATTACATTGATGACTGTGGGGAGTGGGACTGTGGGGAATGGGCTGGTTTGATGAAGGGAGATGGAGATAATTTTGGGCTGGAACCTCCCAGAGACCTACTCCTCAATGAGAAAGGAAAGAAATTAAGAAAGAGACCAACAAAAGACAAGGAAAAGTGCAGGTATAAACAAGAAGAAGAAGATCTGCAGAAGGGACATGGAAGAGACTTAAGAGCCTCGGACATAAGATTACCAGGTTGATGGACTAGATGGAATGGACAGTAAGGACTGACATGACCTGAGACCAGGAAGAAGAGACGTTGGATGAAGAGTGGAAGAAAATTTATAAAGAAAAATTTTTATTTAGGGAATTAGCCTAAAAATTAATGAATATTAGGGAAAATGTTGGAATGAAACTATATGGTTTTAGTAGAAATGATATAAGGAGTCATGTATAATTGAGTATTAAGTTTTAAGCTCTAAGGTATTTTACGGTAAGATAAGGTTAAATAAATCAAGGCAATTTGAATAACAGAATATGGGGAAAGATGGAAAGGATTTGTTGAGCTAATTATTAGGTTAAATTGTTAAGATAATTATTTAATAAAAATTGAGAAAGATGGAAAGAATTTGCTGAAATAACTAATTAAACTAGAATACAAAAAGGGAGGTGTGAGGAGGTCAATGAAACAAGCAAATGGAAGTTAAAGATACGTAATATGGGATTTGTGTGTGTTTGTTTGTTTTTTTGCTGTATTGTTGTATTGGTTTTTATGCTTTGTTTTTTTCTTTTTTCTCTCTTCTTTTTTATGTATTGTAGTGTTGTTTTCTATTTTTTTTCTTTCCTGTAATTCTGAAACTTTTAATAAATATTATTTTTTTTAAAAAACAACAACAAACTTTCTAAATTTCTTGGCCTGCTCCAGTTCTAGATTTTAAGCAGCTAAAATTATTATTTTGAGCATACGGGTTGACTAGCCTCTTGACCACTCCTAGCCGGCAATTTGCATAGTGAACAAGTCCTATTTTATGTCAACTAGATACCTTATATAGCCCTGGTTCTCCAGCTAAGGATGGAAGGCTACAACTAATCTGTTGTGGTCCTTGGCCTTGAAAAAGTTATGTACCCTTGCAACAGCATGCCCCAGATATGAAACTACCAGCATCAGAAGTGGATTCCCTGGCTACAATGAACTTACAGAAATAAAAGATTGTGAAACAGGAGTTACCACCACAACAATCACTGTCAGAATTATTCATTTCTATGGTGATTTTAGCATGTAACAGTCTTTACAATCCTCATTATCTCATTCTTTACAGAGCAACTAACTGTCAGATGAATAATTAAAATGATAAGTCTACAGATGAAGGACAACAGCTTTCTAGAACAGATTTGGAAAACATCTTTCAAATTGGGCACCAAAACCTATTTAAGGAACTAGAATTTAATTTTTCAACATAAATTAAGGACAGGGACAGAAAACAAGATGACACAATTCTCATGCTTTGACAAACCTACGTACATGGCTTTGGAGCTGATTCTCCCCCCACCCCACCCCCCCCAAAAAAAGAAGAGTCACCAAATTGGTCATTTATGACAAGCTCCATAAGGAGTGCTGCTGCTGCTGGGCAGAGGGCTCAGTTTTCTTTTTGTGTTTTTTTTAATTGCTTTTATTTTTTATCTATGTCATTTTAAATTGTGATTGATATTAATGCTGTATTCTTAGTTTTAGATTTTATGATTCATGTGGAAATTGTTTTCCATCTGGTTGTGTACTTTTTGATGTGCTTTATTTATTGTTTATGACTTTGTTATGTTGGTAATTAAATCTTGTCATGTTGTAAGCCGCCTTGAGCATTATTTTATCTATGGAAAGGCGGCATACAAATAAAATAATGAATGAATTTATGAGCACTACTTCACTGGGTTAGTTCAGAAATGAGAAGCGAAATCTAGATGTGCAAGGGAAGAGAGAAACACCAAGAACATGCTTCATTCACTTAGTGCCAAGATCAGCCAAACCATGATCTGGCACTAAGTGAATGAAGTTTGTGATGTTTCTACTCTAAGTCATCCAGAGAATGTATTTGCATAGTGGTGTATAAATTTAATTAAAACTGCTACATAAACAAGCTTCAGACTGATATACTGCTACATCCCCTCCCCTCCTCCAACATGGATACAGTTTGTTATTTCATTTGAACTGGGACAAAATGTACTTACCGTATTTTTTGCACCGTAACACTCACTTTTTTCCTCCTAGAAAGTAAGGGGAAATGTCTGTGCGTGTTATGGATGACAGGGGGATCTGCTGCAGTCGTGAGCAGAGGATCCATGGTGGGGCCACAATGGTGCAAAAACATGGTTACAAAGCATGGATCCACATGGATCCTCAGGATTTTTGCATTGGGCTACCCCAAACTCACCGTCAGATCACATGTCTGTGGCCGCAGCATGAACCACAAAAATCATACATCCACTGTTTCGTTTAGAATATTTTTTTCTTGTTTTCCTCCTCTCAAAACTATGTGCGTGTTATGGTCAGGTGCGTGTTATAGAGAGAAAAATACGGCAGTTTAAACTTTTAAGTTTATGGTTTGTCCAAACAACCCAACTTCAAATACTTCCACCCACTCACTGCATTACAATGCTCAACTTTTACTAGCTACTGGGATAAACTTTTCAGATATTTATATTGCTTATAAAACAAATATATTTTTAAAGTTTTGTTTACTAAATGGAAATCAAGCAAACATGTTACAGGGAACCCACTACTTAAGCAGGGTGGGGGTATGTTCCGCAGATTGTGCCTAAAGCCAAAACCATGTATAGTCAAAACCCATTGGGTTAAATGATGGGTGGATCTGCCAATATGATTTTTCCTGGTACTCCACCCCCTTTCTAATCTTGTTACTTTTTTGCCGCACACACAAAGCTGAATGCCCACAAGTTAAATGCGTATAGGACAATGGAAAAAATCTAATTCAAATTTTCCCAGAAAACCCCCATTAATCATGGGGAAATGGGCTGAAGGCTGGAACCTAAATCCCTATACAGTGACTGCATCTTACGTGATGGATAGGTTCTGGACGGAGCGAACATACACAAAATTGCACATAGTCAAGAACCTTGGACTCCTCAGAATCACCACATTCCATCCCAGGTGGGGTCCTGGAAAATCACCTCCCTCTTTTCCTAGCTCTAAATGCTCACTGCAGGGTTGGTTCTGACACCACTTTCCTCACTGCTAGCAGGTCAGCTGGCAGCACAGCCTCTTGACTAGAGAGCGACCGCAACAATGCCGCCACTTCTCCACTCCGCTCAGTGATGTTCCTTGCAGAAAAATGGCTAGACACTGTTTTAAAAGAGGAACTTTTTTCCTTGGTTCCCTACTTGAGGGGTCTTTCCCCCATAAACCCAGAGGGTGAAGCCAAGAATATGAAGCTGAATCTGCGTAAGTAAAATGTGTGTAAGATGTAGAGGAATTTCAGTTCTCACCAAGTCTACTATGAAACTTCATTTATAGTAGAAAAAGAAACCCGCACAATTAATATCCATTTGAACTAACAACCCATATCCTAAACATAATGCATAAAAGTTGCAGTTATACTGTAATTTACATCCACAGTAAGGTGGTTAGAATTACAGCCAAGAACACCCCAAGCCTGACCTCATTATACACAGGGGCACAAGCAAAATTTGTAATAATTAAAAGAAATTTTCCATTTTAAGAAGTTGCTTCTATCCAGGCATGCTATCATCCCAATAATCAATCAAGTACTTTAAGTTTTTCCCACCTTGGGAGCTGACAAAATATTAAACTGCATCTGGAAAATATTTATTATGTGCTGCATTAATTAAAAGATATGCCATTCAATAGTTAGTGGTACAAAACATCTAAGTGTTTTTAAATTTAAGTAAACTTTTGGTGCTGTGTAGATAGGCAAGACTTCTGCACAGTACTCAACCTCCTAGAATAGAAGTTAGCCCGTTTAGACTGCAATACAACAGTTACCTGGGAATAAATATAATTCAGTCGGACTAAGTTCCAATCAAAAATGCACAAGATGTGACTGTAAATATATTGACTTGGATACTAAGGTTGCAGTTCTTTACTCATTTATCTGGAAGTAAGTGCCCTTGAACTCAACTTCTGATTAGGCACCACAGAATTTTACCACAAGTTGTTTTTCTGCTTTTATTAGGGAATGAAATTTCCACTGATTTCTCCTTCAGTTTGCAGCCCCCTGCATGATTTCCATGGGTCCCCAACAGTCAGGAACAGACTTGGGGGGGGGGATAAGGAAAGCCCCATTCATGGAACTCTATTCCATTTTTTAGAGAAGTTAGGATCTAATCCATTATGGCCCCATCAGAAATTGCATGGGAAAAAAGCAACTCACACACATAACCAGCATCCTCTCCTTCATCCAAGATGCACATCAGCAGGCATGCCATCTGTTCTATATAGCAAATGCCACCCATTCTATGTCATGACATCATAAAACATGAGTGAGGCTGCAGCAAAATTCTGGTTAAAAAACCATGCAGCTTGACCAGCAAGAGGGAAAATTTAAAACAGGTTGTTCATCTATAAGATATAGAGTTGCTTGCACATTAGCCCATTTCTCTGCAATTACTATCCTTCATTTGCTGCAGAGAATCCAGTGATCATTGCCAAACCATATCATTCTGCTGTTTTCTGACAGGGTTTGGGGATATCCCATCTTTCTGTATGAGTTTTCCTACGTATCCTGGGCCCAGTGCTACAGATGCTCCACTATACAGTTCCTTCCTCCTTAGCTGAACTTTGGGATTAAAAAAAATAAAGTACAAGAGCAATAAAGTTCAACACTTTCATTATTTTGATACAAGCACAAATATTTGAATAAAAAACAAATGAATGAGCCAACAACAGGCCTGCTCAAGCTGCAAGCAGGAAACAGCTAACTGGACAGCAAACGGAGGAGAAAGGCTAATCAAAAGGCCAGTTCATAATGCCCATGACCAGAATGCAGCCCCTCAAAAAATCCCAACTGAAGAGCCAGGATGAGGAGAAGCAAGATTTTTGATGAATGAGACTTACTTATGAATAAATGAGTTAGGATCCTGTCTGTGGGGATGCGTACTGGAGAACTGTGGAAATAATCTTTTTCTATACTTATTGGTGGTACCAATCTTCCAAAGCAACTTTGTAGGAAGCAAGTAGTTTTGGATTAAGAAGATTCACAATTATGAATAACTTTACTACTGACAACAATGATACTGATGCCCTTGACCAATACTGAATTTTCCTTTCTTCTAAACTAATTTTAAGATAATTTGCCATTGTTGTGTATCAGACTTGTGTTTGACCCTTCCAGATGCATATTTTGACATTTTCTTTCAGTTTCTCTATAAAACTTAAAGATGCATGCAATTTCTAAAATACCAATTACAGCTACAACCATGGCTTTGAATCAAAACTGGAAAACATTTGAATTCCTAGTAGCCTCCATATAATATTTTGTGATCAGCCCTTAGAAAGCATTTAAATATGTAGCCTCCAGCATCAGATTATTAAGCATCTGAATGAATGGCCTAGGGTTTTTTGGTCTCTGTGTTTAACACCAGTTCTTACTTAGAATGTAATAAATATAGCAGCATCCCAGACCCAGTTGATAAGCTTTCATATCAAACTGAATGCAAACCACCAAATACATGATAAACCTTCTGTTTTTCTATCTAAAAGCCTGGGAAAACCATGGTTGTCAAGCATTCAGTAAGTCTTAATGTAAGTTGGTTGGCTGTGTTCAGGTCACACATTACAAAGGCTTGCTCTCAAGGCTATTTCATTTATGGGTCACAAAGGAGAAGTGAAAACAACACTAGTGATCAAGCTTGTTCCGAATGACACTGATAAAGCTTCTAAAGGTTAGTGGAACTAATACAATCTTACATCTGAAGCATCTTTCCACACAAGAAAAGTTGCCTTATCCAGTTTACAAGACTTTATCCTTTATGAAACCCTAGCATTAACCACTAGTACAAAATCCCCACCATCAGGATTACTTTGCCATTTGTAATCCACATCTTGACTAACAACCCCCAAAGCCACCATCTTGGTGCCTAAATTTCATCTTTTTCACCCTTATAATCATGATCCTCCAGTTCCCTAACCCACCTATTACACTTTATTCATGCTTTCCCTCACCCTCCCAACAGACATATACCATTACCAGCCTTGACACCCATTAATATTCCAAAGATTCAAGAAGTACCCACCCATCCCCTTTCCACAGTACTGTATTCACCCCAGGTGCCTCACCCTTGACACCCTAATCTTTCAACTCACAATCTCCCGCTCAATGTAGTCATCAATGGACCAGTTAACTCCCCAACATTTCTTAGCCTCCCCCCAAAAAATATGTCCCATCATCCCAACAGCCACTTCAAACTCATAACTCCCCGTACAACCAACTTGACTCCCTCCCACCATTTCTAAGACCATGCACCCCCACCATCCTTGGCAACCGTTATCTTTCCGGCTCCCCAACAAGTGCGCTTATCTGACTCCTCCTGGGTCCCGCCCACTGCAGCCTAAGCCCCGCCCATTCACTCACGGGCGCGCGGTCCTGGCCCCTCCTCTTTGGCCGCCGCCATATTGAGGGGGGGCGCTGCCTCAGAGGAGGGGAGGAGAAGTTGTTGTTTTTTCCTCACCCCTTGGCTGAGGTGGTTGGGGGCAGGCGCTGTAACCTCAGGGGGCGCTCCAAGGGATGGATATCCAGCGGCCGTGAGGAGGCGAGCAAAGGCGGAGAGTAAGAAGCGCCTCCCTCTGGAACTCACGGAAGGGGGGGGTCCTTCTCCGTCAAAATAATAATAGTAATAACAATAATTGAAAAAAACACACAACAATTGTGGTGACGGCCGGACTCAACCCTCCAGGCCCCGCGAGCCCCTTAAAGCTGCAAAGACCTGCCCAACCAGCGAGGGGTGGGGAGAACTTCACTGCGCATGCGTCCAGCGCACGCGCACGCCTGCCGGCCTGAAGCCCTGCCTTCTTTTTCCCCTTCTCCTCCTCCTTTTCCCCACCCCTTCGCGCATGTGCGTTGGGGAGTCTCTCTGCTCGCTCGTAGGGAGAAATGGAATTAGGACGGGTCCAGGAATGGCGCCCTCTTAAAGGGCCATGCATCAATTTCGGGTTGGGGGCGGTTGAGATAGATCAAAACTAAGCAAAAGGGATAATAAGAAAACGTGTGCAAAAGGAAGAAAGGTTAAAAAAATCTTTAAAATATGAGGGGAGCTGCTTGGGGAACTCTTAGAAGAAGCAGTGCTCCATTTCCACAGCACATAAGGCCCCCAATGCCTCAGTGCTCAGACCTCAAAGTGTGCAAAGGTGTGGCTCATGCTATGGTTGCTTCTACAGCCATTATTTTTGAGCACAGTTTTCTTTTTTGGTAAAAGACTTTTTTCAAATTATTTAAAAAATAGTTCTGCTAAATTTATTCTAAGATTCAAAAACCTTAGATGTGAATCATGTGGTCACATAGTTCCATTGCACGTAGAAAACCGTTATCAAACACCAATAAAAAAGAATGCTGGAAACTATTTTTAAATCTGTCATGGTGTAAGCTGCCTTAAAGGTGGGATAGAAATATTTTAAATAAAATATTAAGAAGAATAAGGCAACTCAAGGATGGATAAATGACTGACAAGATCACATCATTAACCGATCAGACAAATACCACATACTGAAGTTACAAAATCCATTGTCTTTCAAAGGGTAAATTTAACAAAATAAAAGCACTTAAGTACATATAAAGTTATTGGTCAGTATTCAACTAAATTTTACTCCGAGCAGATCCATTAACCCACAACCCTGAGATTGAGATTAAGAGTCTTATGCTCAACCAAGTCATCCCAACTGCAGTGAAGACACCAACCCAGTATGTGGCAGCTGTAGAAAAGGCAAATTCTATGCTGGTGATTATAAACATAAAATACATTATAGGGTTAGCAAGACAGCCATAGCAGAGAGAGAGAAATAATATACATGTGCACAATTTTTAAATGAAAATGTAATAAAATCCAAAAACAATCAGAAATAGACCATTTTGATTCAGAACTCATATCTCCCTTTAATAATCATGACCTAGTTTTGAGGGCTATCACAAGGAACTTGGCTATATTTTTAGTTACCTTAGGATTGGAATCGGCTGTTAAAATTTAAACATAGAATTCAAATGCCTTACACATAAATGAAATATGCTGGGGGGAAAGAACAGGCCAATCATATGCATACTTATTTGGAAGTATGCCCTCCTTACAAATTCACAGGACTTACTTTTAAGTAAGTGTCCATAGGATAGAAACTTAAGATCCAATTTCTCCATAAAAGTACATCAGGGCAGAAAATAGCACATTGTTGTTATGGCATCTTGTCTATCTCTTTTTGTACCTACTGTATAACCGACTCTAAGGGATTAGGACAGTTGTCAGCAATTGCATATAAACTGAAACAACAATTATTCCTGAGTTTGAAAAGCTAATGTAAAGCACTTAAGGATCTATCAAAGTGCATTTAAGCATTAAAAATTGTGGTAACGTTTAGATCAGAAGCAGGGAAGCTGTGGCCCCTTGACCAAATCTGGCCCATCAGGAGGTTCAAGTTGGTCCACAAGCATATTTTCCCACAAACCTTGCTCACCTGTCCATCAGCTGGCACTACTGTGTGTGATTCAATTCCTTTCCACCCATCCCCAAAAATCAACTTTGACAGATGGGCACAACCACTCACCTAATATCAGTAGGACGTCAGATATTGACAGGTGAGTGGCCCCATCCACTATATCAAAGTTGATCTGCAGTGGAAGGTAAATACCTGCCCCAATGGGGCAAAATATTTCCCTACACCTATTTATATATATTGCCTGAGGTGTCAAATAACTGCTTAGGTTTGCATGAGGTGCTTCTGCTTATGAAATCTTCTATATGCCCCTGAAAAGGCAGAGATACCTTAAGAATTCAGGGCCTATTCATTTTATGTTTTGTTTATATTTACATTTTAAGTGCTTAAATTCAACCTGGGAATATGATTGGGGATGGCAGTAATAGAAATATATGTAATAAATAATTACCCTTGAGGCAACCTCCATCAGTTCAGGTAGAGAGAATCTCAGCATACCAACATTTCTTGCAATTTCTCCCTAACATCAAAACATCAGGTTAAAAACAGATTTTATTGCTGGCCATAGACACACACGACTGAACGCTAAACAGGACATCTGTTAAATATTCAGATTTCTTTTCTATATTTACAAAGAGCAGTTGGTAAGTATGAAAAAAGCTGCAACAATATTACAAAATAAAGAATCCTACAAAATAAATAAGGTGTCTTTAAGAAGACCAACTTCTGCTGGACAAGGGCTACGCCAGTTTCCTCTTTGGTTCAATGTGACAGATTGCTGGGGGATGAGTTGCTGCCACAGCCATTGGGAATGTGTGTGGTGGGGGCGAGGAGCACTTTCCTGATGGCCTAGAAGGGGAGGGTGGCAGAAAGAGCAATCCGTTCAGCCATGTATCATTCCACATCCTCTGTGCAGAGCCCAGTGAGGAAGGGAATTGAAGCAGGGAGAGGCAAGAGTTCAGTCTGCAGGGGAGGGGGCAATTCCCATTACCATGGCACTGGTGATGTCATTGGGATGCACTCTGCAGAGGACAAAAGGCTCGCGCGGGAGCTGAAATCACACTGATTCTTTCGCTCATTTGGATCTTTCCTTATGCTGAAGCCAGTGTGCCTTGCATCATCTGTGCCTCTGAATCTTTCTCTCTCCCCTGCCTGCCCCCAACTCACTCACAGGCCTGACTGTAAAACAATGTCACTCATGTTCAATTTGCATGCATTCAGCAGCCTCAGATGTGCACTCACTGGAGAGTTTCTAGGAACACACCATAAAACACCTTAATTTATTTTAAAATATGTATATGCCACCTATTTTGAAACACCTTGAGGCAGTTTGCAATAAAATCAATTTTAAATAATACGACACCAATGAAACAAACCCAGCAGCATTAACAGCAACAGTGCTGACAACAGTGGCTGGCATACAGAACTAGGGAAGGAGTCATTAAAAAGGTACGGTTTCAGTGTACATTTAATTTACTTGGCATCCAGCATGTTAGTGTGCTTCTAGATGGAAGAGTTTTCAGAAGTCAGGATACCTTTAGCAACCCACCAGCCACCTGAATAATGTTGTTGTTGTTGTTAAGTCCTTCATCAAAAGGCGTAAATAAATAGTTAAAGTATAAACAACAAAACAATATTATAAGAGCTAGGTGCAGAATAGAACCATATAAAAAGAATGGCTCTGTACTTATAGGAATAATCTGCCTGAAGAAATTCAAATAAGGAGGACCCCCCCAATTATTTTTTTACATTATTTTAATTAGATTTTCAATTATGCATTATATGTGTGTGTGTATGTGTGTGTGTGTGTATATATATATATATATATATATATATGTGTGTGTGTGTGTGTGTGTATGTATATATATATATATATATATATATATATATATATATACACACACACACACACACACACACACACACAGACAAAGGAAAGAGTGCAAATATAACCCAAACATGGGATGGATATGAAGTCAAAAGCTTACTGGTGTACAATTGTGAGGAAGAAAAAAGAAAATCCATCTACAATGAGACAATCATAAAAAAGTCTTATGACAATATAGGACATAAGACATATACTGTATAGGACTGCATATCTGATGTACTGGGATACAAAAAAAAGTTCTACCAAATAGCACTGAACAACTGTTATTTATTTTTCTCTTGGAAGAGGTGTACGTTATAGGTAATTTTTTCAAGCACAGCAATAGGCCAAATAGTGCTGTATCAGGCTTGGAGAATCAAGCGTTTTGTTTCAAAGTCTTAAATTGTTTAGCTGTATTTTGTTGGGCTGCAATCAATAGAAATAATAAAAGTAGTTTAGATTGAATATATTTGCTTGGCCCATAGAACACTGATAATAAGAACAGTTTGGGTACAAAAGGAGTGGGTTCCTTTCCTATCCTAAAAAGTTCATTGTGGACTGGGACCCAACATGTGGGGGCATTGCCACCAAAGGCAGAAGTATGTTCCTTAATAGCACATCACCTCCAGCAGTTAAGGATTTTAGCAGACGTGATATGAGCTAATTGTGCTGGGGTTCTGTAACAAGATCCCAGGGCAGTGTGACTCATGAAGGATTGCCTCTTGGTAGTTTGGGTCTACAGGCTCTGAGGTGCCATAGCCCTCCTTTCAACAAGATACACAGGCCTCCTCCAGACACTTGCTTTACTGTGCATTCATGATGATCTGTGTATTGGGGCACTGTTGGGGTTACATATGATGCTGTTTTCAGTACTGTTATCAGAATTTTAAGGTCTCAAATATAGAATATTCATAAATGCACACATATCTATGAACCATGTATCTGAAATAGTATGGGAGAGCAATCCTGAAGCCATTTTGACTCCCAATGACCTCAAATATTCCTCTGCAGTAAGGGAGGCAAATGGCGAAAGCCTTCCCATTGTCTTGCAAATCCTGTCTTAAGGGCTTATTTGTGTATGAATAGGGTGAGCCTGTGACATGGATTCAGGAACTAAAGTATTAACAATCACAAAAGAATGGCCAGACTGCCCAGGTAATGCAGTCAGTGACCATTATCAGGTATCCTGGCAGGCAGGATTTCTGCTGTAGACTGCCTCCTTCTGTGATGTATGTATGATGTTTTCGGGGGTGGTCTTGGGCTACAGGGTGGGCAGTTTCAAAGGTCTATATAAGAGCTTGTGCACCGTTGTTCAGGGTTCTCCGCCCTCTTGTGTGTGGTGAGTGGGGACCCTGTTGCAACAGTTCCTTTAATAAAGATCAGGCTTACTAGCTGCTTTGCTTCTCAATATACTCTAGTTGGCATCCGTTATTTTCTCCTACCGATAGGACTCTATACAGGCTCTGGAATACCCCATAAGGGAAAGGGAGCAGTTTAACAATGTCCTCTCACTCTTTAGGTGGCAGGGTGCCTTATTTTGCTTACATGTGTCATCATCTTTTAGTTTTTATTTAAATAATTATTATCACTATGACTATGGGCCTCAAAACCTGGATGTGGCCTGGACTTCTTTGGACCTTTGAGGGGAGCCTGTTCATTACCCACTGTGATCTGACAGAAAGCCCTTCTGATCCACTTGTTTTTGCAGCCTTTTTACTGAGTTTTACTCTCTTCCTCCTGATTTGGGTGGTTGTTGTGCTCTGCATTTTAGTGTCTTCAGGTTGGATATTAGTTTTATTATTTCTGTCTTTCACTGCTGGTTTTATTGTTGTGGTTGTTGTCTATTGCATTTGAATTGGAAGTCACTCTGTAAGAATTTTACCCTTAAAGATGGTCTAAACATTTTTTCAGTAAGTAAATGCACACTCATTTAAAAAGTGGGGGGAAGAGCCAATGGGATGTAGTGATTTGGACTGTTGGACTGGTGTTCACACTGCCACTCAGCAATGAAACTCACAAACTGCATACACATTAACAGAAATGGAGATGATTGAAAGATGAGATACTGTGCATCGTGTAACATAAAACATATTAATTCTAATCCATTACATTGTTTCAACATATTGTAAATCTGTAAATTTTGATGTAACTTACTTTAAACATTCAGGAAGGCTGGGGGGGGGGAGAGAGAGACTAGTATCTATTAAATACATCACTGAGAGGCAGCGTCTCTTTTGTATAAGGATCTGGCTTCATTTGCTAAGAAATAATTCTGCAGCTGCCAGGCCTTCTGTTCACTAAACTGCATGACAGGAGCGGGGTGGTGAGGAGTTGCTGGGTGAAACATTAGACCCTTTGGAATTCAGCTTCCTTCTTTTGTCCCACCCATTGGTAGACACTTCCTGGACTTCGTCCATCTGGGGAGAGGGTGGGAGGAGGAGAGCAGCTGCTGATCTATTTCAAAATGAAGGGTTTTTGTGGGAGGATAATGTTCATTTTAACCCCCAGTCTGAGACGGTGTGCATGTTAGAGGCAGTTTGAAGCTAAACCCTGCACAGATTAATTGCTGGCCCCCACCAGATTGGTGTGTTGTTTCACGAGTGTATTCCACAACATGCAATTGGCACAATAATAGTACTGTATGCTAGTGGCGGACTGGCCGCACATCATTCAGTGTTATGTTGTTCTGCAATACTTCTCTAATTTAGCCACAATCTAGCACAACAAAAGTTTGGGATGGGGGAGGCCTGGAACATTTGTCATATGAAAAGTTCCAGGATTTCTGCAGGCAGCTACAGGACATGCACCTATTAGAAATTAAGCAGTATGTACAGCACATCCTGAAACATTTGCAAACAGTTCAGTGGTACCTTGGGTTACATACGCTTCAGGTTACATACGCTTCAGGTTACAGACTCTGCTAACCCAGAAATAGTACCTCGGGTTAAGAACTTTGCTTCAGGATGAGAACAGAAATCGTGCTCCGGCGGCATAGCAGCAGCGGGAGGCCCCATTAGCTAAAGTGGTGCTTCAGGTTAAGAACAGTTTCAGGTTAAGAACAGACCTCCAGAATGAATTAAGTACTTAACCCGAGGTACCACTGTACCAGAATAACAGCCACCATAGTCAATGCATGTTCTGTCTGGGGATGCAAGTAGAGAACACACAACCAGAAAATATTGTTACATTAGACCCTCCAAGTGTCCCTATTTTCCACAGACGCCCCTGATTTAGAGAAGCCATCCCGGTTTCTGATTTGATCCCAGAATGTCTCACTTTTCCTTAGGATGTCCCTATTTTCAATGGAGAAATATTGGAGGATATGGAGTTATCTGACCCCCAAGCCATCTGAAGGCAATCCTGTATAGGGAAGTTCTTTTAGTGTTTAATGTTTTATTATCTTTTTATAAATATTGGAAACTGCCCAGAGTGGCTAGGGCAACCCAGAAAGATGTGTGGGGTATAAATAGTAAAATTATCATTATGGAATGCGACGTCCCTGTTTTCATCGCTGAAATGTTGGAGGGTATGTTACATGGCACCCCAATCTGTGAGCAGTGAGACTCCAGGGGCTCCAGTTCTTTCCCAGAGTTCAGTTACCTTGGAATGAAGGTCCAAGGTGCATTTAGAGAGTGTGGTGCATTATGGTTTAATTTATACATATATACTGTACAGCCTGAGCATTGCTTCTCTGTACAGCCTGAGCATTGCTGAGATCTTGCTTCTCTATTAGGGTTCTATGGAAGCCCCAAGTCAGAGCAGACATGTCTCTGTCTCTCCAGCTTCCAGCATCAGCCATATTTACACACACAACTCTTTCATACACAGCTGCACGCCACCGCCACCCCCAGCTTGGCCTAGTATTTTCCATTCTAGTATGACCTGGCATCCAGCCAGTTGAGGGGGTGGGGAAAATGCCTTCCTCCTTCCTGAGAGCACTATCACTTAGCTATCCCTATGGCAACCTTTCTCATTTTTAGATGCTTATGAGAACTTAACAGGCCAAATGTCGCCATTGGCTTACAAAAAAACAACAACACAACACTTGTGAGAGTGGTTCAGCAGTCTCCTCTATCAGATCTTAAACCTCACAGGCTCCAGGTACACAGGTCTGGCAGGGACTCATGGGTATAACTCAGACTGACAATTAAAAAAACTGCATTCCTGGAAATCCTAGCACAGCCCATCAACCAGGGGTAAGGACACCATGGGCATAGCCAGGGGGGCTGTTGCCTCCTCTAAATAAAGTAAATAAATAAAATACTTAAACAAAAGTATAAATTGTAGAAAGGTTTTAAAGATTTTTCTGAACACTTGGGATCAAAAGAAAATAATTCAAAACAACTGTTTCATTCCGAATCTGCCAGACAGAGCCAGAGTATGATGACAAGTGGGTGTCCTGCCCTCCCCAACATAAATCCTGGCTATGGTGCTGTGGGTTAAACCACAGAGCCTAGGACTTGCTGATCAGAAGGTCGGCGGTTCGAATCCCCACGACGGGGTGAGCTCCCATTGCTCGGTCCCTGCTCCTGCCAACCTAGCAGTTCGAAAGCACATCAAAGTGCAAGTAGATAAATAGGTACTGCTCCGGTGGGAAGGTAAACGGCGTTTCCGTGCGCTGCTCTGGTTCGCCAGAAGCGGCTTAGCTGTACGCCGGCTCCCGCGGCCAGTAAAGCGAGATGAGCACCGCAACCCCAGCGTCGGTCACGACTGGACCTAATGGTCAGGGGTCCCTTTACCTTTATGTCTATGGAAGACTCCCCTCAGAGGCAGATTTAAGGGAGTGCACACTGGGCGCAGAGACTCCAAGCACCACAACTGTTATGTAAAATAGGCGGGAGGCAAGGAGGGGGTGCTGAGTTTTGGCATTGCACAGAGTGCCACTGAAATTTGAGACTCCCGGGTCCACCACTGTATCCCTCCCTGCTGCATCACCACATGCAGCACACCAGACAACCCCACTCCATCCAATCTAGCAGTTGTCATGCCCAGTTTCTGACCCGGTGCCAGACAAGGAGTCCTCAGAGGTTGAACCAGACACCCATAGGTCAAAGACCTTAAGGAGAAGGCAGGGAACAAGTGCTGAAGATCCCCTTGAGACCCAGCCCTGCAAAAGAACCCTTGGAGTTGTCAGGGGAGGAGACACAACTCAGTCCTTGAAAATAACAGCACAGTGGTACCTTGGGCTAAGAACTTAATTCGTTCCGGAGGTCTGTTCTTAACCTGAAACTGAAACTTTATATATATATAAAACCACCCCAGAACTGGCCCTACTGGACATCTTCGGATATAATAATGCCCACTCACATTATAGAGAGCTTCTAACCCACCTACTCTCAGCAGCCAAAAGCATCATAGCCAGACACAGGAGAGACCTGTCAGGAGTAAACATGGACCAATGCTATCTAGTAGTATGGGAAACAGCCTTACTAGAAAAGCTAAACAATAAACTGAAACTGACACAGGGACAAATAGAAGAAGATGCCTTTCACTCTGGTACGGTTTCCCTTTATCACATACATAGCCCAACAAGACAACAGTAATCCAGGAACAGCATTTGAATCATGGCTAACTTGATCCAAAAATCCACCCCCTCACACACAAACAAATTTCACTACAGCCATGGGAACCCTCAAGGCCTCTACGGGCTCCGGAATACCCCATAAGGGAAAGGGAGCAGTTTTTTCTAATAACTCTCCTAAGGACATAAGGCTGGGAAGCAGCAAATGGGACATGGAGCCCTACTGGGGAAAGGTGTGATGGACCCCATTCCCCTTTGGATGTCTGATTTTAATAAACCCAGACAGGACTCAGTAACTGAATTGTTACTGAGCTGATGAGTCTCTCTTCACAAAAGTATCACTGCAATTTACAATCTATTAATAAAAACTAAACGTTTTGAAAATACAAAAAGCAGCTAAATCTAAGGCTTTCTTTTTTAAAATAATGCAAATAAGCACCCAAAGCTGAGACCTTAAAAAAAACACTGTTGAGACAAAAATGTTGTTGAATTCTGCTGGAAACTACAAACAGTTGGGTGCCTGTTGTATTTGTTCCATAAAACAAGGGCAGCCACACTGGAAGCTCTGCTCTGACCTGATGTGGAGTGTTGGTTTTCTGATATTTTTAGGGACTTCACGGAAAGAAATACTCTCCTGCAAGACACAGTAACTAATGGGCATGTAAGGGGCAATATATAAAATATATAATAAACAAGCTTGTTAAAATGGTGTAAGACAAAACAGCCATCAAAGCAATGGATTCAAGTCAGGGAATCTAGAAAATTCTTGTCTAAACATGTGTGTCTTCAAGAGCTGGCAGAATGCCTGTATTGATGGGGAGTCCCATAGTTCAGCAGGGAGAGCAGTCCACAACACGTGAAAAAGTCTGGCTCCTTGTTACCACAAATGCAGTTCCATAACTGGTGGAAATAAATCCCCACCAGCACTCATGATACTCACTTCTGGTATTGTGGCCATTGTCTTTAGGTTAGAGAGAATAGGATGAGAGAAAACAAAGCAGGGGGAAAGGAAGGGGGCCTGCATTGTACGACAGTTTAATTCTGAATTGCCTTGTAATTCTTTACTACAATTCATTTTTCAGTGACAAAAATGAAGTCTGGAACTATGCTAGCCAGGAATGACTCTGTCATTGAGTCTGCCAGTGAATAAATAGTAGACTTAATGGATGAGAGCAATCCCACTTTTATCCCTCTCAGCAGCATTTAATCTGACTATTATACATTGCATCAATAGTTTTAAAAAGAAACCAGGTTTTCAAAGTGGTATAATCCATGATGAATCTTCCAGCATTTACATTTACGAGGTAGGAACCACTGGCAAATAGGAACCACTCAGGATAATTAAAAAGTCCGCCCCCCCTTCTTACTGTCTTCTGGCAGTTAGTAAAGTTTAATTATTGCAGGGTAAATAATAATGAAGAGTTGTCTTTAATATGTAAGGCCTGCTTCCTTTTGTATTGTAACAATGTTGTTTTGCAACACCTTGATTTTAATTTGCTGCAAGCTGCCCACTTTAATGTGTAAGTATTAGAAGGGCAGATGGGTCAATATTGAAATAAATAACTGTTGCAAGGAAACCAATAACTGTTGTAAGGAGCATTTACAAACTGCTTTCCCCGCCCCAGAATGGGGAATAGCTGACCATCGCCTCCTGCGGCTGTGCTCTGAGACACCTAGTGGTAGGAACATTTTCTGTCCTTGGCTTATGCAGCCTCACCTCTGAAAAGGACCGTCCATTTTGTTTAAGCGCGGCCATCACCATCAGACTCATTCTGCTGACTGCTAGCACCACTATAATGTCAAATTGGCAATCAAGAGGGGGAAATGCCTCCGGCTTAAGGTCAAAATTCCCACTAGTACAGGGTCAGAACTCACAATCGTTTTGAGGATGCTTAGTAATTGGTAGCGACCGGTGTTTTTTTCTAGAAAAATAGGTTCTGGTACTCACCATGAAATTGTTACAGTAAGTGCCACAATTTTTAACAACAACAAAAAAGAGGTGCTGGCACTGCGTACCATTGAGTACCCCCTTTAAAAAGATCTCTGGTAGTGACCATGCTGGGGGTTTACTTTTGAGCAATGGGGCCTGGTAATTTCACAGCAGGCTTACAATACAAACTTTTGCATGGGTTTGTCGGTTTCCTTCTTTCCCAAAGGACACTGGATATTATGATTTTGTGAAAGAGGCAAGCAACTGCAAATGAAATGGTTAACTTTAGAAAATATGATAAATGCTAAAATTTGCTCTTTTACGGTTGTTCTGGTCTTTTTTGCTATTAGCTCCCTTAATTTGAAGCATACAAATACAGTACGTTTTTCACCCAAATACAGAAGGGTTGTTGTGTAAGTTTGTTTCAAGCAAAAATGAGTCTTGTTGCATCCTAAATTGATTATGGCAGAAACTTTCCATCACATGCATGAGGTATTACCTTAAATTGTGCACACATGGATTGGCATGCGGTGGGGAACTGCAAGCAGGAACAGCAGGGCAAGTGAAAAAGGACCATGGTAGCAGTTTGGTGCTGGACCCACTTTAGCTGTACTGTATAGCAGTTTTAAGATTACTGTCATGACCACGTTAACACAGCATTTATGGGAATATAATGGTAACAGTTGCACAGCTATTTATTATACGATGCACGTAATAATGAAACTGGGTTAAACCCATAGCGAACCACGTGGCACCCTTAGCCCCCGGCTAGTCTGCAGCAAAGCTCTCTGGTATGCGCACAATCTGAACCTCTCTATTAGTTACATATATTAGTAAGCCACGCCTTCTGCTGACCAAACGACCCAATCAAAGCAGAGAGAAGTTAACGGACGTTGCCCGCCTTCTATCTACCAACTCAAATGCCTATTGTATAATTTCCCTGTCAATCTTTCTTGTATTGCGCCTCACTATTGGTTTAGTGAGTTGCATAGAGGGAGAAGCGGATTTTCCCTCCGCCCTTTTTTCCTGAGAGGGAAACAACTTGACAAACTGATTGGTTAACGTCCCCATCAATCCGACCAGGGCGATTGTTTATTGGATTCGCCGTGGAGGGGAGAAAGAGAGGCGGAGTTTGCGCTTGTACTGCGAGGCTATATAAAGGTGGGACAAAGGCGGCAGCGAGGCCGTTTTTACCTCAGCGCCTGCCGCCATTTTGATCTTGGTCGGACTCCGAGGAGGAGAAAAGAGTCGTGTCGCTGTACGGTACCACCCCAACCGCCACCATTTTTGCCATGTCGAGAGACCGTTTCCGTAGCCGTGGAGGCGGCTTCCATCGGCGCGGAGGCGGCGGAGGCCGAGGCGGCCTCCCGGGGAACCACGACTTCCGTTCTCCGCCGCCGGGCATGGCAGGCGGGATGGGCCAGTCCCGCGGGGGCCACCACCACATTGGCGGTGGTCTTGGAGGCCCCCCGAAGCCGGAGCCTGCCAAGCCACCCAGCTCGGCCTCCACTCCGCCTTCCTCCGCGGCCTCCGTCTCCGTTTCCTCCAGCCCAGCAGCCGCGTCGCCTTCCGTGGGGCCCACCCAGAACCAGGTCGGCCAAGCGCCTCCGGTCTCTTCCTCCGCCCCCACTCCGAACTCGACCTCCGCTCCGGCTGCCTCCGCGGGGCTCCAGAGTGGCGGCCGTGGTGGGGATCAGCCGCCGTCTCAGCAGCAGTCTGCGCCGCCCAGCCAAAGTCCGGTCCAGGGGGGCCCTAAAAAGGGTCCCGGTCAGTCCTCCGGAGGCGGCGGAGGACAAAGTGGCTTAAAGGGCGGGCCGGGAGGCCCCCAACAAGGAGGAGGCCCCAAGGGCGGAGGCCCCGGACAGCACCGCGGCGGCGGCGAGAGGCGCGGAGGACAAGGCCAGCATCAACACCAGCACCAGCACCCTTCGCAGCAGCAGCACCAGCACTCGCAGCAGCAGCAACAGCAGGGTGCCGGCGGGGAGAAAATGTCCGATGCGGAGGTGGGTAGATTTGTGGGCCCTTAACAAGCTCTGTCATGACAGGCATTCGGGACAAGATGGCGGCTCATACGGCTCGCTATTCTCTCCTCGCCCTGTGCGGCGTTCCTCGGCGCCATTTTGATTGCTTGAGGTGCGCATGTGCAAGAGGTAGTAGTGTTCGGAGAGGCTCCGCGCGTTTGCTTCGGGGGAGTGGGCGTGGCCATGAGTCGCTGAAAGGGGTGGAGTCAGTGGTGGGATTGAATAGGTAAAACTCCCTCAACTTAAATCTTGTGGTATCTTGGTTTTTTAAAAAATATGTCCACCGTTATTCACATCTTGTCCCGAAGTTTACTCTGCCCCAAAATTCTTATTCCAGATTTTGCATTCTGTCGTAGCAACAGCAATGGGAAATCTTGCTCTTTAAAGGCGGCGCTTTAAAGCTGTTAACAATGAAAATAAAGTGACTGGAAGTAGTTTACGGATCTTAAGATGGGGGTGAGAGAGGACAGGCATTTAGCGCTACAATATACTTAACAAATGAAATGATTTGTTTTTTGAGATAGGCGAATACCCATTGTGCCTATTGCAGTTTGACAGGGAAAACACTTTTGAGTGGAGTGGGAAATCATTAACGTCCCAAAGGCTGTGTAGAAGTGTGATGGGTGTGTGAGTAAAGAGCAAAGGAGAGCTTGCATTATGGTTGCTGATATGCTCTTACTAGTTCTTGAGAAATGTAGGCAGTTTAGCCCTACAGTGGTCTGGAATGCTTTTTGTTGAGAGGAGTTTTGCTCCAGATGAGGGGCTGGCTGTACTGAGGCTGCTGTAGAAAAGGCAGGAATTTGGCTTGTCATAGAAGTCTTTCTGTACTTGTGTGTAGGTATTTATTCTAGCCATGTATTGGTGAACTCTGAAGAATGGTATTAACATGATTGTTTCAGTAAATGACATTTGAATGGACTGGAGCTTAAGTGCCTGTTTGTTTTGGAAGCGCTGTATTCACAGACTTGGGGATAGGGTGGGTTTGATGAGCTACAGTGGCGGTAATGTGATAAAGCTAGTTTCCAAAGCAGGATTATACCACAGAATGCAGCATGGTATGACTGTGAAATGTAAGCATTGACTGTAGCACGCTATGCCACTGATAAAACTCCCAATTTATGTTCAGTGATAATTCTAGTGAGTGTACAGATCGTATGTTTAGTAGGGATAGTGTTCAATAAGGAAATTAATGCACTTTTTGACAAATACTTTTTGTCATGATTCTAATTTGGAAAAAGTTATTCGGTCTAGAGGAGCATATTTTGGTAAGAATTTTGTATGACGGGTGGAAAACTTTGAAGTACTTTGGAAATTGCAGTTGTCATAAAAAGACAGCATTGTGGCAGGCATCAATTAGAATATATTTCCTTTCCAAAAAAAACGGACATACTGGAATAGGAGTTATTGAGTAACATGTACACTGATTGATTGTGAAGCCTAGTTGAATGGGAATGGAAAATGACTAACCAAGTGGCTGTAAAGCTGCTTGGTAGGGGTTTTTTTTTCGTCTAAGAGGAAAACTTGTTTATTAAAAAATTGCAACCATTGGTTATGTAAGCAAGGTGGTAGCTTGGGGTGGGGCAGAAGAGTACGGTAGAACTGATTATTACAGATCGGTGTGCTGGTCTGGAATTTTGACATGCATGTAGCAAGGCACTGGAAGTGTGCAGTTCTGTAAATGTACATAAGAAAGGGAAGGAGTTAAAAGTAACTTGATTGTCTTTTAGAGCAGACATGGGGAATCAGGAACACACATACCCTGATGTTACTGAACCCTGCACTTCCTATCAGCCCCACCTACTATGGCCAATATAGTCAGGGATGATTTTTTTATATGTAGTTATAGATATTTGCTATGTATGTTTTTTGATATTTTTGATGTACAACGCAACTAAAGCATTTGTTGAAAAGTGGTTTCTTAAGCCTTAAATGTAAGCAATAGGAGGTTATAGTTTAGCAAAATCTGGAGGGTGAGACAGATTAGCTGCCGTTATTCTTGGGAGTAGTTCATATTTAGCTTAATATTTGCAGAGTTACCGTTATTCTGCATAGTTAGCAGTTCCTGTCAGCTTAGTAAATAAAGTGTGTCATTAATTGTATTTTTAGGGCTTTAAAGCCAATTTGTCGCTTCTGAGACGGCCTGGAGAGAAGACCTACACACAGCGTTGTCGTCTCTTTGTTGGGAACTTGCCTGCTGATATAACGGAGGAGGAATTTAAGAGGTTATTTTCTAAATATGGTGAACCTGGTGAAGTCTTTATCAATAAAGGAAAAGGCTTTGGCTTTATTAAACTGGTGAGTGTCATTTCTATAAATTTTTCATATGTGTTATACATAATATATTATTGCTTAACGTTCTGCATAGTTTGAAGGTTAAGAATTTAAAAGACGTAACATTTTTGTTAATCTATTCACAGGAATCCCGAGCTCTGGCTGAAATTGCAAAGGCTGAGCTTGATGATACTCCCATGAGAGGACGGCAGCTTCGTGTGCGTTTTGCCACCCATGCTGCTGCTCTTTCTGTGCGTAATCTCTCCCCATATGTATCCAATGAATTGCTGGAGGAAGCATTTTCTCAGTTTGGCCCAATCGAAAGAGCTATTGTGATTGTAGACGATCGTGGCAGATCAACAGGAAAGGGCATTGTTGAATTTGCATCTAAGCCAGCAGCTCGGAAAGCATTTGAACGTTGCTCTGAAGGTGTCTTTCTTTTGACAACGTGAGTAAATGTAATAATTGATTGGAATTTGTGTGGTTATGGTATTTTTTAATCCATTACATGCAACTTGAAATTTCCAGCAACTATTTAAAGTGTCTTTTGCTCTTTTAGTACTCCAAGACCTGTTATTGTGGAGCCCCTTGAACAGTTGGATGATGAAGATGGTCTTCCAGAAAAGCTGGCTCAGAAAAATCCAATGTATCAAAAGTAAGCACATTTACTATTGATTTTACCATAGATTTTTTAAAAACTCTGGTTATTTGGGGGTCTGTCAGTCACACCTTCTCAGTGATGTGTGTTTTCTGAACCTAAAAAGCTTTGAGAAATTTCCCATTAAGCTAAATGGATAGAGATCTGATTTGACATATTCATTTGATTGTTAATTTTGCTTACTAAATGCACATCATATTACATGATGTATCTGAAAAGTTTTGTTAATAGCTAAAAGTAGTTGAAGTGACATATATTGGCCGAAATTCAGTAAAATGCAATTAGTGTGATGCTGAAATTAAAACTTTATGTGGGATTACTCTAAGACATGGGAATTCAATAGCATACTTTACTCCAGAATTGGGAAATTCTGAGGCTCCGTGGGCCAGGTCCTTGTCACAATCAATCCTGCACACCAAATTTGACAGGTTTGTTGGATTTCAGACCTGTCAATCACATGATGTCACACAACATGATTGACAGGCGGGTTGTCTTAGCCACCCATCAAAGCCTCTTTCTTACCACCTGGCCAGTGCTGCAGGAGGAGCGAGCAGCAGCAGCTGAAGGGGGAATGAAGACAATAAAAAGTTTGGGTTTTTTTTGTTTCTGCAATTCCCTCCTGTGGGAAGCACAAGAAAGAAGCCTGCAGTTTACATACTTGCTTTGGCTTTCTGTGCAGATATATAGCCCATGCTGGTTAGCTGATGAGCAGGAGCCCTGGCTGGCGAAATACTTAAGCAGTGCAATTCAGAATTTTACCCTGTCTTGCCATACATCGGCTGAAGTCAGCAGTGTTTGTCCATGGGACATGGGTTTCCCACCCCTGCCTTCCATTAAGGTTAAGAGGGAAAGGGCAATAAACCTGCTAGCACAACATAAATTCTGCTACTTTGGGATAGCAATTTGACACATTTTACGTTTGGCTAGTATTGCGTATACCTTGAATTTTAAATACGTGATTTAATGCTGACAGGATTAGAGCCCAAATCAGAACCACTGAAAAATGAGAGAGGTATCAGTCAGTATGTTGAAGGGCAGCCCAAGGTTTGCAGAAGTTTAAAAAATCAATTGCAAGCCCCAGCATCCTAATGAGAACAGAACTCAGTAACTACAGGATATTGGATTTATTAGAAAAGGAAACAGAAATTAGTGTGGCCTTGTTCGGAGACAAGGAAAACATCCAACATGTTACTTTAGATTCCACTTATCTATTTCAGTGGCTTATTAGACATGTTTTTGTCTTTAATTTTATTTTATGAAACAGCACCTTTATAAAAGTGGATAATTCTCTGCAGTACTTTTCCCATCCGATATTTCTGTTCATTTGTCTTAATCAGAAGAGTAACTCTCTGCAGTTTTTTTAGCTGGTCCTTTTTTCTATGATATATTAATGGTTCTCAGTAACTATAGTGATACCAATCTAAAAATTCCTTTATGTCCTAAATCTAACTTTCCATATGGATTTTCACTAATCCTGAATTTCTCATTTCTTCTTGCTGCTGACCATTTTGGCAAATCAGCTCTACTGTCATTATTAACTGGATTTTCAATTGGTATCTAGGGAGAGAGAGACTCCTCCACGGTTTGCACAGCCTGGAAGTTTTGAATATGAATACTCTCAGCGATGGAAGTCTTTGGATGAAATGGAGAAACAACAGAGAGATCAGGTGGAGAAAAACATGAAAGATGCCAAGGACAAACTGGAAAGTGAAATGGAAGATGCATACCATGAGCATCAGGCGAATCTTTTGCGCCAAGGTATTGTGCCAGTCATTTATTGATTTTCCACATCTCCCTAGACTCAGAGCGCTTGCAAAACTTGCCTGAAGAGCATTATCAGCGGAACTGAGGCCTTCTGAAGCTATGTGAGCTTTTCTGGGAAGAAGCATCTTCACCTATTGGTAAAAGGGTTCTGCAGAACCTTCTGGGTCCACTATTCCTACAGAGGCTAAATAAGCTCTGGTTCCTGCATTGCCAGGGTTGTGCTAGACTACTATTGGGGGATACCTTCCAACTCTATAGTGCTAGGATTCTGTGACCTACTATTGTATTCAAATATGTTATGCAGCGCAAAGTGCATTATATCTTGCTGCAAGAGCTAACTGTAGAAATCTTTAAAGTACCTAAATCCCATTTACAAATGGAAGTGTAATGGTTGGAATGCTTCTTGGAGAGGCACTGCAAGATGTGAATGTTGTCCACTTCAGACTACTGGCTGGAAGTAGTTAGGTCAGTGCCAATGCATTGTTTGCCCCATATAGGTATATATGCCATCATAAATTTGAGGAGAACAATGTGAGTTTAAGCAGGGGAACTAGACAGCTGGTTGTATTATGTAGGGGATAAAAATTTCACTGCTAAAACTTACTTTAGCTTAACTTCACACATGACTGCTTTTTAAAAATTTCTGATTCTGTCTTGGAATGAGCAAGATGCTTATTATGTATGGTGAATTGGTGATAATGTTAAATTAAATTTTCAGATCTCATGAGGCGACAAGAAGAACTGAGGCGTATGGAAGAACTTCACAATCAAGAGATGCAAAAACGCAAAGAAATCCAGCTGAGGTAAAACTACATGTCTTGGAGTGCTGTTTATCATGTTTGTTTCTTTAATTGTGTTCAGATTATCATTGACGTTGGCTCTTTCAACAAAGTTTGACAGTTTCGTGATACTTAAGTACAGAGTTTTAAGTTTACAGAGATGCAGAATTTAGTGATATTCTGGAATCTAATGGATAATCTGAATTTTCAGACAGGAAGAAGAGCGCCGTAGGCGGGAGGAAGAGATGATGATCCGCCAACGTGAGATGGAAGAACAAATGAGAAGACAGAGAGAAGAAAGTTATAGTAGAATGGGTTACATGGACCCTGTAAGTTAGGGTTATGAGAATCCCAGTAATTGGTTGCCCAGGTGCTTGCACCTCATGTTTTGATCCCTAGGAGTTCAAAATACATTCTTGATTCTGTACTTGGAATTCTAAATTATTCCTCCAGTTTTGCTGTCTATTTCAGCAATCTCAGGAGACATAGTGCTATCTTACTCTGATTTGTGTACCAAGAATGCAAAGCATGAAGTGTTTTACTCTTTCCTAAAACTCTGTATTTTGCTTTTTGTAGAGGGAGAGGGACATGAGAATGGGAGGTACCAGCACAATGAACATGGGAGGTAAATAATTTTTCAGTTAAACCTTTCACACAAGAATGATTGTAATCTATCCTGCATATAACCACCTGGATTTCTTTTATAGATCCTTATGGTACAGCTGCTCAGAAATTCCCACCTTTAGGAGGTGGTACTGGCCTTGGCTATGAAACCAGTCCTGGAGTTGGACAAGCATCTATGAGTGGCTCCATGATGGGAAGCGATATGGTAATGTATCCTGTGGCAGCTTGACTTCAATTCCAAACAAATTCTGTAGATGTGAAGCACCTCTTACCTGTTTTGATTCTAGGTGATCTGCATTTTGAGTTAGGCTTCCTTTTTCCAGAAGTGTGAATAGTGCAAAGCAAGGGGCTTGTTGGGCAATGAAAAGCTGAGCCATGTCTTTGCTTGGTATGGTGGGAGGTCTACTTGGACACTCCTGCTTCGGGTATTGCTCTTACAGTAGCTGGTTGGGTTTGGAGTTCTTTGGTTAAGCTTGGAAGGAATTCATCAAGTTATGTCTTTGGAAAAATTACAAGTTCTTGTTGTTAGCTTAATGAGCAGAAGTGGTCTGTCACTTTCTGAACTTGAGTTAACTGTGGGACATAAAAGTGATAGTGAAATACTTGTAAAATAGATGGATGCACACTCTTCCAAGCCTAATTATAATCACTGCACCCTGTGAAACCCATACTTTTTACTACTTAATGCAGCTGATTAGTCACTTGTAGATAGTAGTGAGCAGTCAAATACAAACAGTATACCGTATTGTATTTGTTGGCTTCTGCCATAGTATGTGAACAAAGCAGTTCTTGCTCGGGGTAGGCAGGTTCTCATTGTACGGTACTTATTAAGTTGCTTGTTGATGCTTAAAGGACAATATATAATTCGGTCACGATGTTTAGATACTGCTTAAATTACCTTACTTAAGAGCCCTGTTGGATGAGATCAAAGGTTTGTGGCCAATCAGATGCATCTGGATGACCACAAGGAAGGCATGAAGGCAGTAGCGCTCTTTGAATTTGCTGCTCCCTAGCTAACTGGCATGTAGATGCATAGTGCCTCTGAATTTGGAGGCTCTGTATAGCCATGGTGGACTAGTAGATATACTGATAGATTTTTCCTCCATGCATTATGCCTGTACTAGTACAGTAGGCCTTGTAAAAATATGCAGTCACACTATATGTGTGGTACGGTCTCTGGGCCTGCTTTGAATAACGTAATGGCATGGCAGCAGTGCTCATAACTGGTAAAAAATATATTCTGTAATCCAAGTGTAGTCAGTGCTGGTGTGGTGTACACATACACCTTAAGGGTATGCTCTAATCCATGATTTAAAATTCATGGCCAAGTGTGGGGACAAGATGAATGTGTGCATTACAGCTTTTTGCTCACTAAGATAAACTACTAGTACCTTGAGTGCCACTTTTTTTGTGGAAACAAAATCCCCCCCCCCAAGGAAAACTAGTTCTTAAGATGGTGTCTTATGAACTAAGTGACCTTGCAGTTTAAAGGATTAGCAATTAGTTTTAGGCTTCTATTGAAGTCGTATAAACAGTGCATATGAAATACTCAAAAGTCTTGGAACTGGTGGTATTGGAAGAATGCTTGAAGTTCCAGTGGGCAGTGCTTTGCATGTAGCAATGTGCTGCCTTACCTGCTAATAACCTTTAAAAGTAGACTTTCCTCACAGGATATGCTCATTCTTGGCCTTTGGGTATTTTAAAATAACCAGGAGGAAATTTTACTAAGGTTGCTTGTTTGCACACTAGGAATTCCAGACTCTTGGTGATTCCAAGATTGGATACCTATGCAAATCAGTGAAGGGCTCATGCATGTGATTTGTCATTAGTGATTTTTGTGGTTGGAGCGTTCTAGGTTTTGGTTTGTGGGATTACTGGGGAGAAAACTGGGTGTGTATATGAGCCTTTCACAAAATAAATCTGCATGTGTATCTGGTTAAAGGGATTCATACAGTTAGTTTTCAAAGGAGCCATGCTGAATGAATTGGCTTCTAGAAAGCCTTTTTTGTATGAAAGTAGTTATAGGTTTAACGTCACAGGACTAAACATGAAATATTTGATCCATTTCACTCTACTTGGTGCCTAATAGCTCAATAAAAGAAAATACAGCAGATAATTGGAAAGCTAACTGCTCTGCTTTATCATTGTCTGAACTTTTGTGAATCCATGGGAAACCAATTGAAAGCGTTCAGTAACTGCAGAGTCATAGTGGACTTCTTGCTAAACCTCATGAGGTTAGGGACCTCCATGGGGCTGTTTAGAGCAGTCAAACTACTTAAAAAGCAAAAGGCTGTGCAAACAGTTCATATTACTTTGTCTTGGTTAGGTAAATCTATCATTAGGCTCATGTTATTCTTGTTCTTCATTGGTGTCTTAACAACTTTTGCTCTCAGATTTCTGCATTTTCAGTAAGCAGACTGTAGTCTTGAGTCATGACAAAAAGAATGGTCTCATACTCTTAAACTGGTGAGTAGTCATCTGCTTTACATAAGATGACTCCTTTTGGGAGCTGAACCTGGCCTATGGCTAGGCTTACTTGGGCCTTGTTGACTGACAACTTTGTGCTGCAGTACAGATGAGCAAAGTAATTGTGGCAGACTCCCAGAACGCTCTTTTTGAGACAATTCTTAGATAAGCCTATACTAATGATTACATTTTTAGCACTTCAGGGAGATCTTTTTGCTGAAGCAGGCATTTGAGAATGGATCAAGTTGGGAACATACCTCAAGGCATGTATTAAATTAAACTAATTATTAAATTACCCTTTTTTCCTTTCTATGTTCCCGGTACCCTGTGGATCGGCTCAATGGTGATTGTATCGACGAACGTTGACTACGGAACCTTCTAAAATATATACTTAAAACACATGGACATCAACTACATATAATGAACTCTTTAATATGTTCTAATAGCGCCCAGAGCGATTTGGGCAGGGAGGTGCGGGGCCTGTAGGTGGCCAGGGCCCTAGAGGAATGGGGCCTGGAACTCCAGCAGCTTATGGGAGAGGGAGAGAAGAATATGAAGGCCCAAACAAAAAACCCCGATTTTAGATGTGACTTGTAGATTTTCATTCCAGTTTGTTTCGTTTGTCTTGTTTAGACACTACTTTTTTTTTAATTCTTGCATTTTAGTAAGAAAGCTATGTTTTTATGGATGTTAGAAACTTAATGACCTAGAATTTGTAAGTGGTCTGGGCAAGAAAAATATAATTATGTAATGCAGTGTTCAAAACCTAGCTTTTTTGATGTATAACGTCCCTACCTTGATGGCAGTGTACGGTGTGCCATTTGAATTCCCAAGTGTAAACTTTTTTTACTGTGCTAAAATAAATAGATTAAATGTAGCAATGGTTTTTATATCGTAAACGTTATCCTTCTTGGATCCAAGTATACAGAGCAAAGAAGCTGCACCTTCCATTGTGCATACATTGTTTGAAATCTAATTTGGTGTCTGGCACAACATGACCTGGGTGCTGCTTTGCCGTAAAATGTCTTGATTGAGCTACTGACCTATCAATATGCAATGAGACCTAATTAGATGAGTATGAAATAACTTAAGAGGTGGACTCACCTTGAAAATACACCTCTACGCTTGTTCCACCAAAGTTGCAATGCAGTTAGTGTTAAGGGGCTTAAAAGGCTTTAATTGCCCTGCAGTTAAGGAAGCACAGGCAATCTGATGCAGATACACAAAACTTAGACTTTAGTCTTGAGTAAGATGGTCGGAGAAGGGGAATGTGTTGGCAGACATTTGGTAGTATTTGCTGAGTATCTAAAAAGCATCTCCCATTTCAGGTTTCATAACATGACTTGTATTGAACTTCTATCTGAACTTCTTTTAAAGGATTGTTCAGTGAGACATGCCCCCAGCATGTTCAGTGTTATAAGACCTGGCTGCCCTATTTTACTGTTAATGTTTAATCAGAATGCTTAGAAAACACTCAGGATGGGAGGGTACTTGTATTTTATAACTCTTCTCGTTTGTGAACTGGAGTACAGAAATGAAAGTATCCTTTGTCACTTTGGGGTTAATAATGCATAGCATCCTGCACTGTAGTAAATTGCCAGACAAACCTGATGCTTGAGGTTCTAAATATTAAAATTTGGAAGTTTTGAACCTCAGGCCACACTATACATTTGGTGTTAAATCTAGTAGGGTGGTTGAATCTTTCATCCTTAACTTATTAAAAGACATGTATGAATTCAAGGTGTCCTGGACTCCATACCCTGATGGCACCTAAAATGCTGGGAGCAGTGTTTCCCAGTTCAAAAAATACTGTGGTTGATGAAATGAAGATCAACCTGCTTGGTTGGACCATTCTCTGCATTTTATTCTGGATGTCTATTCAACAATTGACTATTACAGCTTTTAATCCTTCAAATGTGTTACTCTGTTTTGGCAATAACAGGCTATCTGTAATGTGTTTGCAACAGGAGCAGATAAACCTTGGTGCCATCAATTATTACATCTTGATTACAAACTATTACAAACTATTAGCACAAAGCTCTGTGCTGTGCAACATTTTAAATGCAAGAATGCTGGGAAATGGTGGTTAAGGCTGCTGGATGATTGTTTAGTGTTTCAGTTGGATTGAGCTACATTTCCACAACCTTTCAGGAAGTTAGATCCAAAACCAGCTGCTATAGGAACAGTAGGGAAATGATTAACTTGCAGTTCTTGAGCTGGATACCTGTGTAGAGAAACCCTTGTATACAGGTCAGTGAAACGTAAAAGTTCAGCTTCATTGTCATTTGATATTAGGGGCTCAGTCACCTGCAGGTCATTTTCTGAAAGGGTGTTCATGTGACACCCAGTGGAAGAAACTCAGATTGACAGTGGTGGGGTCTCTGGACGTGGACACTAATTTTCAGTTTATTTTTCAGATTACATGCCATTTTTCCTTAGGATGCTGGCACATACCCTAAACCATGCTCTTTTCTAGTACTGTAATCTTGAAGAGTGAAGGAGGCTGATGGTCCCATTACCTTCCTAAGGTTCATTTCTTGTTTCATTCTGTCTAAATCTAGGCTGATGTTAAATCTGGACAGATATAGTGAGCTGCAGTTTATTCTTTTACCTTACCTGGCAAGTCTTGACAACTGCACATTTAAATACCTGTATAGTAGTTTGACTTCAAAGCATATTAAGCAGGACCCCAAGTACCAGCAAATTAATTGATTCCGAGTTCTCATTGAATTGGGTGTTCTCATTGAATTTAGTTTTTATCTTTTTAAAAAATGTGTTTTAAACACTTCTTTGGGCTTACATGCAGGTCCTTTTTGAGCAGAAGAGTGACTATTACACTTCTGCATGCCCACTATGCTTTCAGTCAACAAAAGGGCCTCTGTACAAATTCCTCTATCTTCCCGTGTTCTTATACCCCTAGCATGCTATAACCACATCCTTGCCAGTTATAATGAAAAACTGAATTTATGTTTCTGTGCGTATTTTGTGGTATCTGCTTTTTTTAAAACAACCTCTTGGCATCTCCTGGGCAACCACTTGTGGCAGCATGCTTTTTTCTGGAGTTTGAGACTGCAAAATGACACTGTTTAAAAAGTAGTGGCCTGCTACATAACAGCACTTAGTCAGCATTTTCGCAGTGCATAACTGTGAGGAACGTAGTACCACAAGTGGACATTAGGACCTGGAAGTAGTATTCCTGCTTGCTCCGAGATTCTCTTTGTCGCCTGCATACAGGTAGGTAAAAAGCACTATAATCTAACTTGGTGACTTTCTGTGTAATCTTGCTGTGGGGGTACTCTGGCATCACACTTCTGACCATGGGATTTCAGTGCAGCACTACTCATACTGTATGATGCTTAGATTTGAGGCCTAACCTGCAATCAGCATTAGGCAAGCTAACCGTGATGCTGAGATGTGTGCCTCAGACCCGTGATTCCTTCGTGCATATGACTTTTTTCCATCTTTACTGTGTACCAAAAAGATTCTTAGAGATCAATGGGGATGGGGAAGGGAGTACAACTTGTAAATATCTACTTAAGGTCCTGTTCGTTGCTCATAGGAATAAGTACTCTTAATACATTTTACACTTTCATGGCAAAATCCACATTTCAGCCCTTTATTGGCTAGAAAGCTATATATTCATATGTAACTTGCCCTGGTTGCTGGTTGGGGAGTGGTGTTTTGTAACTTTAGTGGTTAGTTATGTAATGTGTTTGGGTGGCTGTGGAATAATGGCTGTGGAATTTGTTCAAATGATACACTGAAAAATCGAGAACTCCCACTTCTCATGTTCCATATACATCTTACCAAAAAGGTGTAGCTTCTTCTGTTTCATTGATGGTGAAAATACATAATGGGGTTACATACCTAACATGTATTACCCTCCAGGTCTGTTGGCTTTGTTTGCTAGGTAGTTCAATATTTTGTGTCTTAAAAAAAGTGTTTCCATCTGATCTGGCACAAGAATTAGAAATATTTTACTTTGGGCTGAACTGTGCTTCTGTCAAATGTAGGTACTGTATTTCAAGGACTTTAATAATTGAGCAGGATTCATTAATGAATCTTGCATATAGCAGCAGCAGTCTCAGACTGGATAAACGTGTCTTCTGTACTTTTAACAGTTTGCCACCGAAAAGTGTGTGTGAAATACTGGTATGAGCAGCATATGCATTGTGCAACTAATTCTGCCCACGCTTAAGCTAGATTTCCAAAGTCTAGTGATAATAGTTCCACTAGGAATGCAATAAAACAACTGCAATAGCTGGATTGCAAATACGTACCAGCCACAGTACTCTGTTTTGACCAGTATGCCCAGGGTTTACTTGGTGTGGGATGATAACCAGTAAGTGTGGATCTCTGCATAATTGGGTTTAATAGATATTTCTCACTTAGACCAGATGAATTGGAATAAGGCTGTGGGGTACATACTTAAATGCAGTGACAAACAGAAATACAGTACATATCCTAGGCAGTAACTCGTCTGCTGAAAATACCACTTTGTCAGAGTGGCATGATAAATAACTAAGTGCTTGCATTGTATTCCATTTTTAAACTCTTCATTCTGGTCTTTGAATACTTTTGATTTCTTACAAAAACTGACTTAAGAGCTCAGAAGTGTGGTGCCAGAATACATTATGCGTAATCTGCTAGGCGGTTCCGATTACTGGTGCTGTCAGGAGAGAAGCACTTCATAACCTTGTGGGGGAGGGAGGCTTTACTATACTGAGTGTGCAAAGCTTTTATTGGCTGCAGTCCCTCCCTGATAGCTCAACAGATGTTTGAGGATAGTTCGGCATTCAAACAATATCTGCTAATGATCTCCAGCTAATCAGGAAGGCCTATAGTCACTCATTCTAAATGGAGCCCAATATGAAGAGACTGTGCTTTTTTAGGTTTGTTTGGACCATTGGTTGTTTTCCACCATCACAGCTAGCAAGGTTGGAATCAACAGGTCAGTTGCAGATCTGCCTTTATGCCACTCACTGGGGTTAAGCAAATGCTGTGAGGGTGGTGGGATTGGGAGGGGGAGGAGAAAAGGGAGACCTTTCCCACTCTGGATTGTTGCATTAGCATGTGCCTATGAAAACCCATGGTGGTGTATATAAATTCCCCTCAGACAAAACTTGCATTTAATCCCTGTACAATGTGAGATGTGGGAACGGATGACGAAAATAGCTAGTGATTGAAAAGAACATAAATTTGTGTTGTTCTATCCTAAAATGTGTGTTCCTTCCATTTTGCAAAAGTACTAAGCTAAGATGTGGACTTGAGGAAACTGGCACATTGGCTGGCTGGCAGTGTCTCTTACCTCTTAAAGGGCTGTTTTAAGAGTTAGTTACAGGTGGAAAGGTTGTCTTTTCACTTGCTATATGCCCTTAATGAGACTGAAAAGGGACTTGGGGGGGAATAGAGGGACAACTGCAGAAAAAAAGCTAGAAAGATTGATAAACAAATTCCAATTTCTGTTGTGAAGATTTCAGGAGACATTTAGACTGGCCTTCCTTTAGTTCAAAGGACTATTTGCTTCGGGGTTGGGGGTGTATGGCAACAATTCAGAAAAGCAACCACATAGTTGAATGCAATGGCTTTGCATCTGCACGTAAGGGGTAACTTACCTCTGGCTGCATATCCTTATGCTTAGGTTGGCAGTTGGGATTTAATTCATTCAGACTAGTTGTGTTTGTTCACTATAATGTGTTTCAATATTTGAAATAAAGCATTCAGCTTCTACTTGTGCCCCATGCTACTTCCCAACAACTGAATATTGATAGAATTTGTAATTTCCCCTCAATTTACTATTCCATACATTTTATGTTTAAACTTAAAACTTTGTTTTCAGAAACTCTGCAGTCTGTATTCCCTTAGTAACTTCCGTTCTTATCCTTATAGGTGAAGGCAATACCAGCTGGGTGAAACCAGAGTGCTTCTGCGTATGAGGTAAGACTCTCAAATGAATGCATTTTCCTGTGACCAGGTGCTAAACGCTTAGGGATAGGGGCTGTTGATTGCTGAGATCAGACTTAAATGTTGACAATGATTAAGGGTTATTGGAGAGCATCTCCATCATCCGTCTACCCTTAAGATGGAGGAATCCGCCTATGCAGTCCTGCACCTTCTTTCACCTGCACCATGGGCTGCAGGATCCTGCCCCTTAGCTGATTTCCACTGTGTGTTGTGGAGGTTTGACCTTTCCTTCTGGTATAAGCAAATGGATGGGGTCACAGAAAGAAAAGGTGTTTCTGCCTGCTTTTGCTTTGACTGCCCACTGCTGGTATGTAGCCCCCAACCATTTCCTCTGAGGAAAAATGCAGCTCTTTATTTGAAGGGTGTCTACCCAATATACCTTATGTAATCTTTATCCTTCCTGTTGCGCTATCTTGTTTCTTCCCTCTGACTTTGTCATTGGCTAGCAACACTAGAGCCGAAGAGGTAGCAAGTTTCTGTCTATTGATTGGTGCAATTTATGTACTATGTACTTGGTGTATGGTACAGAATACTAGCTCTGGGGTTTTTTTCTTCACTTGATAAGGGCAAGCCAATTTTCTTAAACCGATCAACTATGGTTTCAAATTAACAAATGTACAGTGATGTCTGTGGTGTTTATTCAGAAGTAAGCCTTATTGTGCTAAGTGAGACTTACAAACTTAAATAAATGATTTGCTATCTATCAGAAAATTTGTAGCATTAAATACGGAGTGGAAAAGTGGCTTTTACTTGTGCATTTGGAAATGGCTACTTAGTTGGCATTTTATGTTTGTAAGTCCCCAAATCAAGACACAGGTTGACCATGATTTTAGAATTATTATTATGTATCACTTAAGAAATATCCTGTAAGGGAGTCTCCTGTGTTATGTTGGTTCGGGAAGGTAAGCAAGAAATTATAATTGTTAGCTGTGGCAAAAAACCCCCTAAGCTATATACTAGCAAAGATCAGGAAATTCTCGCTTGATGCTAATAAAGTTACCTAAGGTTTGGCCATTCTTTAATGGTATATTTGTATAAGTGGTAGATCTTTATTCTGTGACTTCCTTTGATTACATTAATTGTCCAATATTGAATGTTACTACTACAATGAATTGATAACTAAAATTCATTGTATTGGAAGCATTTTCTTTCGAGTTAGAAGTGAAAAGAGCCAAGAGTCCCTTGCCTAAAGAAGTGAAGTTTATCCCACTGTTAGCCAGTACCAAATTACCCTTAACGTGCCTTCAGTGAAAAGCTTTGAAATAATGCCTATTTGGATTTTTTCTTAGTCATGTAGTAATTCAAACTTTACTTTTTTACAGCAAGCATTAGCCAGTAGGTCCCAGCACGATTGAATGAAGGAGAATGGAAACCCATAAATAACTATGCTATAGAGGTATGTAGTAGAATAGCTGCAGCTAAACTTTAGGACATTTTTACTGTAATAATTTGTTTTTGTGAGCAGCCATTTTCTAAATGCATACTTGGCATTACAGGACAAATGTGTTAGAAGGAAGAAAATTGCTTATGTGTAAGTTAATACTAATTCAAAACTATGCATGTGAAAATGCTGATAAGCATACAAATGATGCCACTCAAGTAGAAGCATCTTTCTGAACAGTGTTGCAGTCCTGTTACTCTGGAGGGGAAAATAGAGAGGTTCAGAATCTGGTAATGTAGCTAAAATGTATGTTTCTCTTAATATACTTGCTGTGTTAATTTGTATCTGATATGCCAGGTTCTGATTTAATATTAATACAGTAATAGCATCACTGATGTTTAGCTGTTAAAACTTTGCTCTTGTTTTAGCTGTTGAATGCATACTGTTTCCTAGTGGTAAGATTCTAACTTTTATTCCGCAGGAGAAAGAAGCTGTTCCTGCATTTCGAAGGAAAGTGTACAGGGCTTCAGTTGCAGTCTCTTAAATTTTCAATAAATTATTCAAACTTTGAAGTGTGATTACTCTCCTTTATAAAAAGTTCATGCAGTGCTCTAATATAATTTGAACTCCTTGAAAATAACAGATCTGGAAAAAAATTGATTCTCTTGTTTATCAAGGTTTAGAAGTGCTAAACTTGAGTTATGTACTTTAAGTGAAAATCTGCTTCTAGAAGGCTGAGTAGGACATGCTTAGGATTGTACTAGTAGAGGAAGTCCCACTGAATTGATTTGCAGAATGCTACAGCATGGTTACCAACAAGAGTGTGATACCCCATCAACATACTACAACTGGATGCCTATTTGTTACTAGGCCAGGTTCAAAGTTTTACAATTGATACATAGATTGGGAACAGTTTACTTAAGGGATTGCCTTGCCCCATACGTCACAAAGGAGCTACCTTTGGTGTCAATAAGACACCAGGGAGGCACACTGCTATATTGTGCTAGACACTTGCTGAAAACTTTATTTCAGCAAGTCTGCCTGCTTCAACAGACATGCCGCGCACCCCCCCCCCCAAAAAACCTTGGGAATTGTTAAGGGTGCTGAGAGGTGCTATTAGACCCCTTACAGAGCTACAGCTCAGCACCCTTGACAAGCTACAGTTTGCAGGTTTCTTTGGGGGAAATTAGGACTCTTAAATGTGCTCCTAAATCCACACTGACTAGGGACTCATCACACCCATGTCATACATTTAAAAGCACTTGGATCCATATCCATAAAGGCAGAACATTGTGGAAACTGAACTACTGTGAATCAGTTTGGATCCAGGTCTCTGGAACCTCTTGCACTTCTAAGTTACATATACTCTTTCAGGAAGAACTGATTGCCAGCTGTGTGCAAATGGGGTCTCCTGTGAGCCTAAATGCAGCAAGATTGATGTTAAGGAAGCAAAGCAATTAAAATAATTTCCTCATTGTTGCATGGGAGTAGACCATTTCTGTGAGCTGTTACTGGCATGGTTTGACAGTGCTTGCACCAAGAAACAAAATTTTGGTTTGAAATCTTGCCTGTAATCTTAACATTTAGTAAATTCCTCATACAACCCTTCACCATCTGCTCATTAAAGAATAGTGGGAGATACTACCTTGTACAGTGGAGATTCTCCCAACACCATAACATTCAAGTTGACTTAATAGGATGTGTTTTGGTGCAGCAGGGGTAGCCTCATGCTCTGGTGACTGGCTGTCTGAAATATTGTGATATGGGGTTGCCCTTAAAGATGGTTCAGAGGCTGCAGGTAATGCAGGATGCATCTCCTATGCTACTAAGTGGGACATCCTGATGAGACCATATGTCACTGGCCCTGAGAGCACTACATTGGCTGCCAGTGAGATTCTGGGCCAAAATCAAGGTGTTAGTGCTAGCAGATAAAGCCCTAAATCAGGCATAGGCAAATTGGGCTTAAATGTTCTGGGACTACAACTCGTATCATCAGGACCAGTGGTCAGGGGTGAAGGGAACTGTGCCCTAAATCCAAGTACCTGAATGGGTATCTTTTTCAGTTTCGACCATCTTGGATCCTACAATTGGCAGGTTGGGCTTTTGTGCTGGTGCCACAAGAGGGGGCTGCTTGGTTGGTGTTGACCTGCGATGGGGCCTATTCACTGGTAGTTCAGTATTTGTGGATTGCCCCTAGTATAGGGTGGTCCAACTTTCCGTATCAAGTGGGCCACAAGAATACTTGGACGCGGAACCCACATGCTGCACACTGCAGGGGTGGGGTGGGGGAGTATGGCCAAGATTTGATGCCTCCCCCAAGCCCTCGCATCAAGGCTCTGGCAGGGTCCTAGAGCCCTCCTATGTCTTCCCCAAAGCTGGGAAAGCACTAGCTCTGCTTTCAGAAGGTGGGAGGACTGTAGGACACTGTCAGCACTTACGCCTCGGTCTCAAAGCCCAGCACCTCACCAGGCTTTGGAAAGGCAGCAACGGGCTACCAAAAATGGCATTGGGGTGTATGCAGCCCTTGGGGATGTGTGTTTGATCATCCTGCCTTAGTGAGATGCAGCTTCATAGGCTTTGAAAACACCTCTTTATCCAGGCATTTTATAACTAACCATGTTCCTGGCAGCTCTTGAATTATTGGACGAAATAATGTTTTCAGTTCTCTACAGTGTTTTAACACTTATTTTTTTTTAAATTAAGAATGTGTTTTTATAATGCACTTATAATGCCATTCTGGATACAATTTTTAGCTAATGTGTTCATCTTTTAAATTACGAAATATCAACAGAGAAACACAGAACTTTTCAGGTTGTGTTTATTGAATTAGTCCCACAGCATCCCCTTTGTTTTTAATGAAAGCCCATTTTTAAAGTTTTTCTTTTGGGAAAGTTAAGCAAATTCCTAATAAAATGGGTTGGTTTGCTGATGTATTCTATTCCTGAAGGCAATCAAAAACACAGCCCCTTCCTTGCGCTTTGATATTTTTGTGCAAACTGTGAGGCTTTTCTCCCACTTCCATTCATGTTAGACTATTTTCTGTTAGTGCCACGGCCATTTCTCTAGGAGGGAAGGGCTCCTGTTACAAAGCCTGTTGGCAAAATTAACCCCACACTGTTGCTCATAAATACTGTATAGAGTTCAAGTTTTGAATTATTGATCGTCAAACTTAGATCCGATAGAAACAAAGAGGAAAAAGCAGCTGGGGGTCATTCATAAATAAGACTGCAGTTGCCCTGCTCATTAAGGAGCCTAACCTGTCTGGTAGCGGTAATGAAGAGAGACTACAGTGCCGATATTGTTTTTGTGGGCACAGGGAGGGCTCCACTGATTCCATGCCTACCTACACGCTTTTCCCATCTTGGTAGTTACCAGCCTGGCAGCTGGAAGTTAATGGAGAAGTGCAGCCGACTCCTTCCTCAGGTGAGTTTTCTTCTCTTACTGCTCTTCTGCCTTCTGAGACCTTCTGAGAAGCCTTGAGGTATAGCTATACATTACCATTTTATAAAATGAGGAACTTTAGCTTTGCCTGCTATGTAAATGGGTGGTGGTAAACCAAGACACAAAGTTTCAAGGTAAAAAAGGTGACACAAGAAATTATCATGCAGCAGTATGGAAACAACGGTTGAGGATGTGTCCCAGGGTTTTGGCAAACTGCAGTGCCACTGAATTATAAACTTAAGCCATTCAAAATAAAATTGTCTATAACTTGATTCTCCTGGAATCTTAAGATGATCATGGAGTACTAATGAATAGTAGCTCCCTACCTCTCTACAACAACAAAAACCCTGGTAAGTCTTTGCTTTGGGAAAACTTGCAGGTAGCTGAACCGAAAACAAGTTCAGTAAGCAAAGCACCTGCCTTGTGTCCTTTAGCCCTAGTTTCTCATTTGCCTGCTCCCCACAGTACTCCTGCTTCTCAAATCTAAATTTCAGAGCAATGCGTCTATGTGACATTCAGGTGGAGCAAATGCATTGCCGGTAGGGATGTCTGGTTCAATACTATGCCCCAGTTTCTGGAGGATAAGTTGTGTGAAAGGTATTTTAGAGAAGGGGTAAACAACTGGTGGAAGACACTCGAACACCCATCATTCCTAACCCTTGGCTATGCTGCCTTAGGCTGATGCGGTCCAACAACATCAGGAGGGCACTGTGTTGACAATCCTTGCTTCAGAGGAACCAGTGGTCTGGCTTTGTATAAGACAGTTTTGATGGAGACCACTGATGAAAAAATGCAGGGATGTATATTTGCATATTTTTTTTAATGGCTGCTTCAGTGTTTCTATCCAAAATGTTTTAGATGATGAAAAGTGAGTGCACAGCCTTCATTATTTAATAGCTATATTTAAGTGCAGTAGCCAGAGTTCAGGATTAAGTAATGGCTTTTAGGTTGTTAAAAAATGTATTGTTTATTTTGGAAAGTATCTGGCCTTCAGCCAAAAAGGCTCCCTGTGCAGCTTACATACAGTCCCTACCCGCAGGCTGCTAATCTAAAAAACCATGACACAGACAAGGAAAATGGGGCAGGAAGGGAAAAGGAAAATAAAATTCAAAACTTGGGCACCGATTTCTAAACAGGTGCTCTATAATGATCATCTGGCACTGTGCAGGGGTAAGAGGTGCCTGGTGGAACTGGGCCCACTGAGGCTGACTGTTGAAGGGAGACGAATTCTGGTGTTGCTGCTTAACCTAAACGAAAATTAGCAGTAGCCAGACTTCTTGACAAGTTTGCTGTTGATCATGCCTGAAATAGGAGGGTGCACCAGTAGATTTGCACAAAGTTTGTATAACTTACAGAGCTTTGGACTCCCATATTCCACACTCTTCAGCGAGCTCAGACTGCATATTTCCCTGTTTTATCCTTGCACAACAGCTCTGTGAGGTAGTCCAGGCTGAGACCTAGTGAGTGACCTAATGCCACCCACTGATCTTTGTTATTTGAGCAGGGAATTGAACCTATGTCTCCATTGTCTGGAGTGAACACACTTACTCCTAAACTCTATATTGCCATCTTCTCTGGGTCTACCTCTGAGGTCAAGACCAGGCATCAATGGAATGGCAAGACCCTCATTTCCATAAAGGTCACAAGCCACACTACCTATACCACTTGGCCGCCAAAATCAGTAGTTTTACTAGAATCAGAGTTGTAGAGTTGGAAGCGATCCCGAGGGTCATCTAGTCCTGACTCCCTGCAGTGTAGGAAATTTCGACATAGAATTGTAGAGTTGCAAAGTTTATGGGATTGGTGTAAAACATTGCTAGTTGTTTCCAACCAGTGTTAGAAACAGAGATAAGAAAGCTAGGCACTAAATGGCCTCTTAAACCTAGGTTATGGGCACAAAAACGGAATGTCTAGGCGCACTTTTTTAAATAACAAGAATACAAAGCTGAAAAATGAAGGAACTGCAGCTAAAATATGTTTATTTTTCACATGGTCCGGTCCTTCCCCTGCCCACCTCCCTAATATTCTTAAGAGGGTCTCTTCTCCAGTTTTCAGAGAGTAGCTGGAAGTGGGGAAGCAGAAAAACACCCTCCTTTTATTCCATTCTGCAGTTTTAATCTGAAATCTTAGGTGCAATACTGCGCCCAGAGTTCAGAAACTGCTCGCGCTAATGAAATTCCCTGTCGCAAAATGCGCCTAGAACAATGGGAGTTTCGAACACTGCTTCCAACAATCCAAACATTGAGATTTCTTTTTAATTAACCAGAACAGGTACAAAGGCTGGAAGAATGTAAAACTGCCTTTCCTAGAGCTTCCTGCTGGACCAGTTCAGCCAAAAGGTGTTGGAATTCTGAACAACCTCTCTTCCACTAGGAGGCCGGGCAGCTGCCTGAAGCAAAAATGCACCTATCTTCACTTTACCAGCCCTGTTCAGCTTGCTGTGAAGCCCTCTCCCTGCAAAGCTAGGTGTGATCTTCCGCCAGGATCTCGCAGGCTGGCTGCTCGCTCCACAATGCAGGACTTAATGGTCAGTGGGATGACCTGTATATCATCATCATCATCTAGAGCAAACTCATCTTTGCTGCCCCAGATTACAAGACCAAAGACAGAGATCCATGTTTATGTCCCCAATGGGAAAATGTGTCCTGATGCTGAGTCACTGGATGAAGGTTTCTTGGAAGAGATGGACAAGAAACCCAAATGATCTCGGCCTACAGGATTCCAGTTCCTGAAAAACATTCAACCCATAGCTAGCTGGGAATGGAGGGTGGGGGTTTGGAGGAATCTACTTTCTAGTGTGGTGTCAGAGTGGGTGTCAAGAGCAGGTCAGCAATAACTCACACGGTGCCAGTGAAGTTAACTGTTCAAAGTAATCAGCTCAGAAGGCCAGGCCTAGCGAGCACAGTAACTCATCCTAGTAGATCTTGCACCTATGGGGCAGTTGGGGGACTGAAGGTTGCTGCCTTCTCACAGCTCTTTGTCTCCTCCGCTGGTTCCTTCCCAAATGGGGTGAGGTTCCTTCATCTTGCTTGTCTTTGCTCTGCACTCTTGAAATATAAAAACATAATAAAACATTAGACATTAAAAAGCTTCCCTTTACAGGAATTTCTATGGCGGGGCGGTTGCACTAACACTGCCCTCTCCCAGCAGCGAAGGAAGTCGCTCAGGCACTTCGGGCAGCGCGGCGCACCATGGGGCTTCCGGAGTCTGCCTGCCTCCTCCCACTCAGTTGCCCTACAGCTGGAGGGGAGGCAGCGGGCGGACCGTCTGGGCAGCACGGATCCTGCGTGCACCAAAGCCACCGTGACACCTGGGGTGGTCCGCACCCACCACACCCCCTTCCTCTGTCCCAGCCCTCTCCACCCAGCCAAGCAAGAGACATTATCAAAGATCAAGGACACATACCTGCAAAGCTCTAGAAGAGGATTGGGCAAATTCATGGGGGAGGTGGAGGCTATTTATTGCTGGAGACCACAAGAGGGGAGTGCGCTCATGTGCTTAGATCTAGCTGAGGTTTTCCTGCAGGCACCTGGCTGGCCACTGTGATAACAAGATGGGCCATTGGCCTTAGCCAGCAACCTCTTACGTTATTAGTGTCTTTTCCTCATCACCAAACAAATTATTTCCAGCGATTAGGGAAAGCCACTATGCAGGTGCTCAGAACTTCCTTCTTTGATATTGCACCTATTCTGAGGTCGAGACCTGATGAGTCCTAAGCTTGCCACCTGAAACATGATGGCCAGTCCTTCACTGCCTGTGGAAGACCCCACCTGCAAACTCCCACATAAGTACAAAATACATTTCTAGCACAAAACCTGCATATTTGCCAAGGCATTTCAAGCAGTTGGTGATTGCTGTTTTACCACCTCTTTTAATTTGGTTTTGATGAATAACAATAATTTGTTTATTTTGCCACACGTTACATTGTTTGCATCCTACCATGTATTAATTAGGGGTGAGATTACATATAAAATGTATATTTAAAGTGTCGACCAGCACAGAACTGGTTTGGACACAGTGTTCTGCTTTACAACATTAAAATACTATCTGTAGGTGGTCTTGATTTATGATCAATTTTCTCCTTAAGCATCCTTCTTCAAAGAGGAAAAGTCCTTAAACGGTTGAGAGCAGGCAGCAGCGACACTCGCTTTTAATCAAGCTCTCTGCACATGCTTAGGGACACCCTCGCCCGTTCAAAGGTGCCAGGCCCTTATCACACCGCCTATTTACTTGCAGCCGCCTGCTCAGCAAAACAGCGCCCTCATCTTTCACCCAACTCTGTCGCGACTGTGTCGCGTTTGCACCGCCTGTTCGATTACCGAGGCCAGCGGTGGGTGGGAGAGAAGACAAGGAAAAACCCCATTTTTGGTGACTGCGTTTCCTCCCCTCCCCGTTTCCAGTGTTTATTCCCCTCCCCCTCCCCCCGCCCCAGCTACCAGTAAGCCGAAGAAAGGGAAGGAGAGAGCGAGAGAAACCAGAGCCATGGCGCTGCTCTTTTCCGCCATCCGCGTGCTCCTGGGCCTTTTCTTTTCCGTCTGCGGGGTCGTCAAGCTGACCGATCGGATTTCAGGCGAAGTTTATGAGCAGCTGGTGAGCGGCAATCGGGGTGTGCAGGGGAAGGGAAAACGGTTTAGCAATGGCTTTTTTTTGGGTGCGTGGGGGGAAGAAAGGGAAGCGTGCAAAGGAGCCCTCCTCCGCTTTGCTATGCAATTTGTTGCAACTGGGTGTGGGCGAAGCTGCGCAGAGGCTATTAAAACCAAAAAACACCCCTCTTTATTCCCCACTGGTATTAAATCGTGCAGCCGATCCTTCATGCGTGCTTGCCCGGAATAAAGGCTTATTACTCCCGAGGAAGCACGCGTTTACTCGCAAGGAAGCGCCAGTTAGTTCTGCGGAGGGGAGGGGGAATCCCTCGCCTGGCCGATTCCCGGGACACGTTCTTTAAGCAGAGACAAAACGTCGCGGGGTTTTACGGGAGGGAGGATGCTCACTCTTCACTCAGTGGACGGATTTACTTACGAATATACGTGCCAGATTTGCACGGTTCAGAGCCTGGTCGTTTATACTCGGAAGTACGTCGCCTATTGGATCCATCGGGGCTTTTATAAAAGCCCGCGTGTGCATTGCCTTTGGCGCGTTAGGCTGCAATCCCGTGCACGTTTACTTGGGAGTAAGCCCCCTCTCATCCGTGAACAAAGTGGAGCATACTTCCGAATGCACTTGCATAGGATCGGGTTGGGCACGCAGAGCATTGCAATCCTGTTAGAGACGACAGACAGTTGTTTATCGTTTTTGCAGTGTCCGCCCAACAATAATGCTTCTGCAACTCTTAATCCCGCCTGTCGGATTTGATATAAATGCGCGCGCGGTGTGGACGGGCTTTTAACAGTTTTGGAGCGAAATCTGTGATTTGGGGATTACTTGTTGGCTATTTTGCCATCGCAGAACCACAGATTATTCGAGTAGGTTTAGATGAATCGGTTTTTGTCCAAATCTGACATCTCCGCCCTCTCCTGGCTGTCTGCTGAAACAGTTTTTTGTTTTGGCGCGAATCGGGTTGGGGTTTGAATTTTGTGAGCCTTTTCCGTTTCACTAGTCGAGTTTGGCGGGAATTCAACAGAAAAGAAGAAAACTCTAGCCAGTACCTCCCCAAACCAGATTCGCTTGGGTAAACATGAACTTATCAAATGCTGCCTCCTGATAATTGATTCAGTTGTACAATAGTGTGATTAGTCTATTTATTGAGCCTGCCATTAAAAAAATATATATAAGGATGGACTCAGAAAGCCAAAAAGGTTGTAATGTGCAATTCAGAAAAACAAATATACGGAACGATATCTAAAATAGTTTGGGGTTGGATTGAAGAGTTTCATTCTGGACCTCTCTAAGCCTGTGACTTTATAGCTGCAACATTTCCCCACCCAGTGGCTGGAGGGGATGTCACCAAGATGTCTGCATTCTTGCAGGTGGAAAGACACAAAGGTTTGACTTGCTATCTGTGCTGAATCCAAAGCATTGGCCTTGGTGCCACCCCAAACCTAAAAGGGGAGCTGGATCACGTGTGACTCTTCCACTTTAAGTTCGGCCTGTATATGGGTGTACATAAACCCACTGCCATGTGTACCACTGCCGCTTTCGGCCTCTCTGAAAACGCTTGAGTAATGAGATGCAGCTTCATGAGGGATGGAAGGATCTGGCCATGTCGGTTCTCTCATTTCTCATTTTTGCAGTCTTAAATTCAGTTCTCTACATTTCTGCAGCAATCATTCATTTTATTTTTAATCCTCATGAAAATTATTTATAATTTTCATACAGATTGCTACTAATAAACATATTAATGTATTCAGTTTACTAATAGGCACATTTTTGCAAATTCCTCTAATATAATTCATTTCTGCATGTTATTTTCACTAATACAGTATATCGGTTTGAATGCACACTTCTCTCTAATATGTGTCTGTTGAAAAGGTGTCTGTTCTGCCAGGTCTGCGCAGGCAATCAAGAATGCATCCTTCCACAGTGTTTAATTATCACTGTTTTTATTTTTTATGGCTTTATTGGATGGTTTTTATTACTCTGGGATAGCTCAGTTGAGACTCTTAATATCAGGGTTGTGGGTTCAAGCCCCAAAAGATTCCTGCATTGCAGGGGGTTGGAATAGATGATCCTAGTGGTTCCTTCCAACTCTATGATTCTATGATACTTGTATACCATATGATTCTGTGGGGACACGCTTGCACCATTTTGTGGCCCTGTCACTTTTTCTGCTCTTTTTGATGTGGCAGACATTATGCCCCCCCATGGCATCCATTTTGTGTTATGCCATGTTCCCGTGGCATCCATTTTGTGACCAGTGCCCATAACTTTCTCAACATTCCAGGTGTGCCAACTAGCTCAAAATAGGTTGGTGCCCTCTTGATCTAGAGCAGTGTTTCTCAGCCTTTGGGTCTCCTGCTGTTGTTGGACTACAACTCCCACCGTCCCTGACCACTGGTCCTAGCTAGGGATGACAGGAGTTGTAGTCCCAACAACAACTGGGGACTCACATTTGAGAAACATGGACCTAGAGAGTAACTTGGAGGAGCCAAGTACTCACTGGAAAAGGAGGGGCACCTGCCATTCACCCCTTTGCAGCCATCTCACTCATGGACCCACTTCCTATTTCTGGGGATGTTTGCAAGGTGGGGTAACCACTAAACCACCACCCATTTAACTCTTTACACTTATCAATTTATGGATTTATTATATTTATATCCCACCTTTCCTCCAAGGAGGTCCTAGGTGGGCACCCTAAACACTACACCACACTGGCGCTTTTTAAACTCTTCTCTCTATTCCAGAAATCGCAATTTGTGCAGTTTGCCGACGCCTTTCCTCTGAAGGAGTTTGGCTACAAGCCAGAGCCGATCCAGTACCTGGAAACTGTGGGCTGGATAGAACTGGCGGCTGGTTTGCTCATGGCCTTTGGGCCTCAGCTGCTGCAGGAAATCAGCAATTTTGTGCTCACGATCGTCATGATAGGTAAGAGCTGTGCAGGGGTCGGCTGTTTCCCTTCTGCAAGGTAGAGAGGGGCTGCTGGAACGTAGGAAGCTGCCTTTGTATAAGTCAGACCAATGGCCCTTCTAGGTCAGTATTGCCACTCTCCAGGCCTTCAGGCAGGAGTCTTTTCCCAGTGCTCCCTGGAGATGCCAGGGACTGAACCTGGGACCTTTTGCGTGCAAAGCAAATGTTCTGAAACTGAAGTACAACTGTTCTTCAGGAGCTGAAGTCTGGCTGAAGGCCCTCGTTCTTGAGTGTTTCTGATCTCAACTGCAGATGAGGCTGTATTGGGGCTGAAAGCAACAGTGTGTTTTGTTTTTCAAGTGTATGCTTATAAATAATGGGTGTCAGCCATATTGGTTTTAGGGTTAAACATAGTATATCACTTTGGTCAGGAATGGGGTACCTGTGACCCTATAGATGCTGTTGGACCTCAACTCCCATTGGCCATGCTGGTTGGAGCTGATGGGCTTTGGAGTCTGCCAACATCTGGAATTATTCTCTGGCTTTAGTAAAAGCAGATTTCAGTTCAGCAGGTTCAACTGTGTTACAGAAGCATAGAAGTCTGCATTTTTCGCACATAGCTTCAAAACCAAGGAAATCCCTCTTATTACTTGAGTTTCAGCTCTGTCCTACCTCATAAAATTGTTTCTAAGGTATTCAGTTGATCTTGCTTGGGAAGCAGTGCTGCCTCAGTGCAGAGATGCTTGCTTTTCGTCTGCTCAACCTGTAATTTAAAAAAATAAAAAGGACAAATGGCACCATTTTCTCTCCTCACAAGGAAACTGGCTTGTAATGTAGCTCTTTAGTCCCTATTATTTACATGTTGATGTTTTATTTGGTTACAAATAGTAAACGTGACTCTATTAAAAGCTGCCCAACTTCTGCGCATGACAAAGTGTGAGTCTGTTTGTGCATGTTCCAGTAGGGGGCACCAGAAGCTAATTAGTTATCCATGTTGCTTGCTAATTAAGCCACTGCTTTGCAAAAGTTCCTCACGTCAACTGGGAAATTCTATTTTTATTCAAGACCCTGACCTTAATTAATGCTACGCACACTCGTCTTCATGATGATACCAACCGCCTGGAACCTTTTAAAAAATTATTATTACAGATGTACCATTTTCCTAGTTTTGGGTAATTGACTACTGATATAATCACTCCTGGCTCCCTTAAAGCTGCATTTGGATTTTATCAGGCCCCTGAGTTCCTCTGGGTAAAACTGACTGAAGGAGCAGGAGATCTAGTCAGAGGGTGGTGGTGGTGAAGGGAAAGCTGGACAGCAACTGGGTGAAGCTGTTTTGTATATCAGGACTGGCAAACAGAAGGATACATTTTTCTTCTATACATCAGCATCATTGTGCGTATGATGTTTTGCAGAGTTTCATGTGCCAGAAAAAGCAGGCCCCTGACCCAGGGAACAAACAGCCTGAAACCACAATCCTATGTATATTTGCTCAGAAGTCCCAGGGAAGGTTTACTGGGTTTACTTCCAAGTAAGCGTGCATAGACTTAGGAGCTGAAGGTACTTCTAAAGTTTTCTAAAGCAGAAAAAGTAGGATCCCTGCTTTATAAGGATGTCAGGAGACTGCATTATCTAGCTGTCTTCAATATCTTTTTTTAAAATCGCTTCTACAGTGGGTCTCTTTTTACTCTTGTTGATTTATTTTTATGCATCTTAGTTTTTGGTTAAAATTTGGCACGATGAAGAAAGAGATGCCTAGGCAGGAAGTATTCCTGCCAAGGCAGACGAAGTGATTTCACAGAGTTCTCTCCAGCAAATTTTACAGGAAAGCTATGTAAGCCTTAGTCCCTTCATGTGCCTCTCTGGCAAAACATGAATGGGTTTGAATGCAATAATGTCCCACAGGTAGATCCATTAAGATTAATGGATCTAAGTTAATGATGGATCTAAGTTAACGATGCCCCAAAACAGGTGAAAGTTGAGGCTAGAGATTGCCGTGGTTGGAGAGTCTTTTGGCCAATGAATCTCCTGCTCTTTTTGCAATTTTTTTTTAAATATTTCCCCCTTTGTCTCTTTGCAGGTGCCATCTACAGCCTCTTGGTTTTGAAGGAGCCCATTGCCATGTGTGCCCCAGCCACTATCTCCCTGGGTCTTCTGCTTCTCCTCAATATCCGGGGAAGAGGGAGACCCACCAAGTCAAAGTTTGAGTGAGGGGGTGTCGAACTGGAGAGGGCAGAAGGGGAGAGTTCGGAAATGGCAGCAAATCTCTTGTTGGCCCTTTTTTGTCTGTGTGCTTTCCACCCCTCCTCCCCTTGCTCGGTCCCTTTTAACTTGGTATAAACTGGGTCCTGTGGGTGTATGATCCAGGGGGTGTTTGTGACCTTGAAATCACCATAGATCGGGGGATGAAGCCCCTTTTCAGCCCAGGGGCCACATTCCCTCCTGGGTGACTTTCTGAGGGCCATATGCCAGTGGTGAACAGGGACCACAGGCAAAAGCGGGCACAGCAACAAATGAAGTTTTTACCTTTGTACTATAGGTTAATTTCTACACACGCTCACAATCCCTTCTTTACCCTCCATCCAGACAAGCCAGAGACAATTGTCAGACTTAAGGGACACATTTCAATCAGGCAAAAATGGGTGTGAAGCAGAGCCAGTGAGGGCTGTGGGCGGGGTGGGGGCGCAACCAGCAGAGTCCTAAGGGTCCCTACTCCTGCTTTAAATCGATGGCAGCTAGACTTTGGGTCTTTCTCAGTTACCCTGTTCACCAGTGTTCTTTCCCATCTTAGGCCTGGCGTAAGTGCTAAATTAGCCGGGTGCTGCCTTAATCTTTGAATTTCATAGCTTGGGGAAGCGGAGGAAGGAAATGGAAGGGGATGTGTGAAATACATTTTGGGTAATCCTTGGGAGAAAATAGAAGCACACTTAAAAGCAACAACACTTGGCACAGGGCAGTCCCTTTTTTGGCTCAGGGCAAACCATTTCTGTGGGGTTCATTGAGTGGCACTGAAGGATTTTGTTGGCTACTATGTGAGAGAAGCAGCTGCCCCTACCACTGATCTGTGGTCTGTCTACTAAGATACAGCTGCTTTCCTTTAAACATCAGATCATTGGTCCGCCTATCTCAGTATTGTCTACACTGACTTGCAGTGGCTTTCAAGGATTTCAGGTAGGACATTCCCAGCCAGGAATTGAACCTGGGACCTTCTGCATCCCAGGCAGAGCCATGGCCTTTCCCCCAGTATTTGCCTGCTGGGAGAGTGGTTCTCAGCAAGCCTGCCTCTGGAAAGGGTGACAAATGATTTCCTGCACTTATATACTCTTTGGCATTCATGATGAACGTGGGCTGGGGAGGAAGTTCGCCAGAAGAGGAAAAGCTCTCACCCTGCTGTGGACCTCTTAAGGTCCCACCATCTCCCCTCTCCACCTGCCTGTCCACTGAGATGGCCACCAGAGGCTCTTATGCAGGAGATCTTTCCCTCAGGGCAGGAATATGGGGACCAGCTGAGGCTCTCCAGCTGCAATCCCCTTCACCCCAGTCCTTTTGCCATGCTGGCTGGGGCTGATGGGAGTTGAAGGCTAGAAAACATCTCCAGCGCCACAGGTTCCTGCCCCTGTTCTAGAGATTAGGCATGAAATGAGCAGAGGTTGGATTTTTACTGTGGTTGCTTTCTGATTATCAGAGTCCTTTACTAGACAGGTGCACAAGGCACTGTAATCTAAGAACCAGCCAAAGTCCATCTTGTTTCAGTCATTATATATTTTTCTGGTGCTGGCTTTACTGATCCGCTTTGGCAATGTTTTTCTGTTTCTTTTGACTCCTTGGTGATTAAAGTGTTGACTGATTTTTAAAACATCGTTTCAATTTTTCTTCGTTTTGAGGGATGCCATCAGAGGTTCGGATAGCCAGTGTTAGGGGAAGGGGGCAGAGTCTTTTTAAAAAGTAAATAAATAAAACAGCCAGTTGTCAGCAGGCAAGATAAAAACACATCATGAATCTTATTTGGCCTGAGAGGAGAAAGAGACCATCACCCTAGCGTTGTCCTTTACTCTAGGAACTTAACAAGAGCTGAGCTGGGGGTGGAGGGAAGGCTAAAGAGGAGACACATCTGCCCTCAGTGAAGCTGGGCAGAAGAGATGGAAATGGATCAAATGAATGTTTCCCCACTGCTTCATCTCCATGCCAGGAAAGCCATCGCCTAGTCACTTCCTCTGTGTTAAACTATGTTAAAGGCACAGGCACTGAGCCAGTTTAAAACATTGGCAGCCCTTCAAATAGGGATCCAAAGTGAAGGTAGTCATGGAGCCCAAATATGAGACCCTTGCTACCTCTTATCCAAGTGGTCTGTGGGTGGGCAGGTCATCCCAACAGTTTGGCTGTGCGGGAGACGCACCAAATCATTTTGGAATAAGCAGCTGGTATTTTTGCTTGCTTGCTTTGAAACAGCAAAGTGTGGGTGTGAAGAAGTTGTGCTTTGTTCGCAAATGTGCTTAATTCCTTAAAAAGAAGGAGGAGTCTGTCTCACCATGGCAGTGAGAGGAAGGTTCCCTGCACTTGCCCTCTGGCAGCTTTCTTCTGAAAAAGGTCATACATTGTGAGACTGAGCTTCAGGCACCAGCCCCTCTTAGTCCTGCCTCCATGTAGGATAAAATGGATATTTTTAACGTCTGCAACAGGTGTGATGGGCTCCTCCAGAGATGAGGCCAATTTGCTCATTTCTCCGTTGCTGGGTGACAAAGCAACGCTCTTAGCAGAGGCCTTCCTTGCCTTGTCTAGATTTCCCTTCTATGTCTCAAGGAGGCCTACCTTGTTCTGCTTTTGATAGGGAAACCTGTCAGTCTAAGAGCTTTCTTACGGACTTCTGACAAACCACTTTTAGCCTCCCCCCTCTTGAGGAGAAAGCCACAAAGCCAAATCCCACATTCCATTGCCGGTTTAGTCCTTTTTGCCTATAGAAAGAATACAAATATGTAATATCAGGGCTGATGTTAGAGTAAATCATTTGTGGAGTGTGGCAAATAATATTGTTTAGAGCGGTGTTCAGTTCCACGCTTGCATAGCCTCATATTTCTACCACCAGCCTTTCTCCAGAGAGAAAGATCCGAGCAGCTAACCATAATTTCTTCTACTTCTTGGGAGTCTTTCTCCACTCCCCTTTTGCTACCAGAAGTTCAAGAATTTACTCTCGGTGCTACAAATCGCATGCAATAATTTGCACAGTGGTGATGAAGGCTGCAATTCTATCCCTAGATTCCCAGGGGTAAACTTCATTGGGCTTGGCAGGGCTAACTTTTGAGTAGATGTCCATTGTGTAGTGGACATCTCTTCATTACAACCCTGACGTCATACCCTCATAGCTAGGCTCCTAGACTACAGCAAAAAAATTAAAAAGTTCACTACATGATGGCATCCATATCAAGCCAGCTTTTCTCTCACTCCCTCTTCCCATTTTGCTGTTTCTGATAAAGATGCAAAAGCTTACTCTCTTGTGGCATGTTGTTGGTCATAATAAAGGGTTGGGGGTTAGTTTGGAATTTTTCAAAATGAGATGAAGTTAACCCTACCGCTTCCTCTGCTTAGCTTATTTGATGTGCTGCTCTTGGAGGAAGGCTTATTAATTTGACAAGCAGAAGACTGGCAAATAGCGTGGGAGATGACACAGTTGACCCTGCTATGAAATAAGTAGTGCTGCATCGCTGGTTGACGTGTAGGATTGCACTGTGTAAGCTGGGACTGCATTAGCTTATTGAAGAAGCTGAAATCTGTCAGCAACTGTTTGGATCCAGAGACACTGATGACATTTTTAAATAGCCAAGTCCTCTTAAATTGTCACGAGGTTCCTTGGATAATATTTCAGGCGTCAAAAGAAAGTCCTTGGGATGTCCATTCACATGGACCAGTTGGCAGAGGAATCTGCACCAGTCACACCTCATTGATGTTCATGGAAGGAAAATGTATGAACACCCCGCCCTCTTAAGCGGCTACACACTAAATCCTGGAGTTTTCCCAGTGATCTCAGTTACTTTGGGCAAGGGATTGTTTTAGAGCAGGCATAGGCAAACTCGGCCCTCCAGATGTTTTGGGACTACAACTCCCATCATCCCTGACCACGGGTCCTGTTAGCTAGGGGTGATGGGAGTTGTAGTCCCAGAACATCTGGAGGGCCAAGTTTGCGTATGCCTGTTTTAGAGTCCTCATTGCCTCTATCACTGCCATAGTTTTCTTTTGCACTAGAATAGAGGCTTCAGACGTCCTCTTGCAGATCTGACAAATGTAGGATGCTTCCAGACTGAAGGCTCCTCCTGGTCCTGTAAAACTACTGCTTTCCTATTGTAAGCTATAAGTGGAATTGCAGTGGATATCCCACACTAGTGATTGGGGGGAAATTCACATTCAGTTCACATTTAAAGATGAGCCTGCCTGCCTAATTTGCACTTTCTGAAACAATACAAGAACTGAAATACAGCCGTCCTTTGAAATGTGCACTTCTCCAAATTTGCGGTGTGGTTCTTCAAATAATGGAACAAAAATGTGTGTGCTGAGTTAAGGTGTCCATAAAAATGTACATGTTGGTGAAAAGTAGCATACAAAAGTGCATTGTTTTAAAGAAAATTTCATTGCAAAAATGTGTGTGCTTGGTAAAACTGCATATGAACATATATATTAGGAGAAATTCTCACTGAAATACTGGTGAATTTTCATGAGGAGATCTATCATCTATCTGCAGCAGAAATGTGGAGAACTGAACTTAAGTTTGGAAAAATGAGAAATGGAGAGAGCCATGTTTGAAAGATGCCTCTCCCCCATTCTACACACCAGCAGTTTGTGTGTGTGTGTGTGTGTGTTTGTGTGTGTGTGTTGCTGGAAATGATTGTTGCTGTGGGTGAAGGAAGAAGAATCCCTCCTTTTCCTTCTCTTCTCTTCCTTAGTACATTCCCAGGCTCCTTAAGTCCTCTCCAGAAAATCGTGATTTGCTAGCACATAGCTCACATGGTTGGGGACTGTTTACATGCCTTCCTGTTAATCATTTGCTAATCTCACACGTCCTAGTACATTTCACTCTCATGTTCTTAGCTGCAAAAAGTCCAGTTAAAAATAATAATAAACAGTTTGATTGCTTACTAAGGCAATGGGAGGCGGGTTGGGTTTTAATTTACTAAAGTTCTTGGTTTGGAACCCTGCAAAAGAGTGGCAGTCTGGAGGTCTGCTCAGAGTGGTTCTGCTACAGTGGTGCCCCGCAAGACGAATGCCTCGCAAGACGGAAAACCCGCTAGACAAAAGGGTTTTCCGTTTTTGAGTTGCTTCGCAGGACGAATTTCCCTATGGGCTTGCTTCGCAAGACGAAAATGTCTTGCGAGTCTTGAGATTTTTTTTTGCTCCCCCCCCCTTTTTCTAAGCCGCTAATAGCCTTTTAGCAGCTAAGCCGCTAAGCCTTTAATAGCCGCTAAACCGCTAATAGCACTAATCCGCTAAGCCGCTAATAGGGTTGCTTCGCAAGACGAAAAAACCGCTAGACGAAGACACTCGCGGAACGGATTAATTTCGTCTTGCGAGGCACCACTGTATTTGAAAAGTATAAAATTCCTTTTTTTCTCTGTAGTTTTCTTCCTGCACTCCTATACAGAAAGCAAGATGAAGAAGTAAAAGAAACCAGAATGATTGTTACTGCTATTAATTAAATAAATATATACAGCTTACATGCCAAAATGGCTTCTAAGTGGTTTATAAAAAATCATTTATAAAATTCATACATAATTAAAACACACTGTAAAACAATTACATTAAATCACAATTAATATTTACATTAAAACAAAGCAAGTAAAAAGTTTTAACAGTAAAAACAATCAGATGAAGTTCAAGTTCAGGGGAATGCTTCCCAAAATAGGTGTATTTTCAAGAGCCGGTGGCATGCCAATACTGATGGTGCTTTATATTTCAGCTTCTTTAGGGAATTGCAAAATACCGGTGCCATCAGGGAAAAATCCTGGCTCCATATTACCTTTGGTGGCAGCACTAAAGTTGTCCATTGAAATAGATACATCTATTGTGAGCACTAGATTGTTTGGAATCCACTAAAACAGATGGTAAAGAAGCCCACTGGTAGCCACTTGCAAAACGAAACAATGCAGTCATACTTCATTTACTTAAAACTTTTGTACTTTGTCTTTCCTCATAAAAAGCACAAGGTGGCTAGCAGCATTCTCAAATCATAAATCAACAGTTGAAAATGTCAGGAGGAGCTTGCAAGCCTATAACCATTTTCCTGGGAGTAAGCCCCATTGAATTCAATGAGAGCTACTTCTGAGCAGACATGGGTCTGCATTGTAAAAACAAGCAGTGAAATGTGCTCCGAATAGGCAGAGATGGTTAAAACCAATAAAAGCACCACCTAAATCATTTAAAAGGTTCTGCAAAGCCATGTAAGAGGAGCTGTACTTTCCTGTGAGCTGTAGAGCAGCCACCTTGTGGCCATTAATTTCACTGCACACAGGTGATAGTGACAATAAAGGTTTATTATTATTTATTATCCAGATATTGCTGGACTCTGAGCTTCCCCTCATCTCTCACCACTGACCACACTTGCTACTTAACAACAATTCTCAAGATCACTTACAATGATCAAATGAGACAGCAATACATAATAGAAAACATTGGGTGATAGACCATGGAATCAGAGTAGACTCACTGAAATTAATGGATCTGTTAAGTCAATTTCAGTGGATCTACTCTGAGAATGACTAACCTTGGCTATCCTCTGTTTTATACAAGCAGATCACAATAGAGAAGGGACTTTGAGCCTTAGATGGCAGTTATACCCAATCTTGGTTAAGGACAATTAAAAACAGAGTTTTG